TGAGCTGTATTTAAGAAACAAGCACAGTTGAGTTTATGGCTATGTAAAACTGATCACATTTTTAAATCCATGAGCTTCACTTAAATGTTTACCTGCTGCTTCTTTACTGTGTCGGCACAAATGGCAGAGAAAACAGCAGCGAGCTGCGCCATGTTTGTTTACTTGCGTCTCCTAGTAATGAGAGAATGCGAGTTCAGTGAGCTCCGTTCGGTTCAGCAGCAGCTGAAAATTTGAATAGTGTGTGATCCCCAATATTTCAGTCACCCAAAAAAGTGTGAGACGTCCAGTCTTTTTATAATTTGTTAGGACTTTAAAAGTCATGTAGTGAACCCAAGTCTTAACCAGGGATCATCCAGTCCACGCGTGCAGGCCTGCAGCTCTCCTTCCGAGGCTTCAGGGCTGTAAGGCGCACTCACTTCTGTAGCTATATGGTTCAGTCTCGGCGCTGTGTTACTCTGTCCCCCTTTTAATCTAAACTTAGTTCGGTCGTTTCGCATTTACCTTCCAATCCTTTTTCCTCAAACACCATAAAATAACTATTTCCGAGTTTCAGCCAACTACAGTATCTTCACCCAGTGAATCTAATGTCCAGTTTCTCTCTGCATACCATTAATCTAGCCTTCAGTGCCTGTACACCTTGTTATTAATAAATAAGCCATTATTAAAGTTGTCACTTGTTTGGTTGTGTGTGTAATTATCACAATCCCATCACTCGATCCCAGGCCACAGGAAACCCTAACCTGGGATGAACTGCAAAGTTGTGTTATGGTGTAAGTGGGAAATAGGTGAATTATATATATATATATATATATATATATATATATATATATTTTGTGCACATTTATGCACAGTTACCTTATCGCTGTTGTCGGAAGAAAACCTTTTACAGGAGAAGGAAAAAACCTACTTTACTTTTAATGTAAGTCAATGGAACCAGACTTTTTTCCAAGTCATTTTGGGCCGTTTCTTTTAGTCCATTCATCATGAAATTTACACACAATGTAAAGAGCAACAAGCATTTTCAAATCAAGTCAAAAACTGAAAAACAACAAAAATGTTTCTTCAGAGTCATTCAGAGTGGTTCGGTGTGAAATGCTCTGCTCTAGAGAAACTTACTGAGTCAGAATTATTCACAGTGGTGGTGACAGGAACCACAGCCACCTCTAAAAGCCCACTGGTGGTCCGAAATGTGAAGGACAAGAGAAAATACATAGGGGAATATGTTTTGCAAAAAAAAAAAAAAATACTAAGTATGAACCATAACTGAGAGGTTTTCTAAGGAGTCTCCTTTGCCTTACAACACACTGCAATGCATCTGCGTTAAAAGAATGTCTATATCAAAACTTTCATAAAACATCGATTTTAGACACCAGGCAGTGTATTCATTACCATTTTATCAGTGGTGGACAGTAACTAAGTAAATGTAATTCGTTATTGTACTTAAGTAGTTTTTTGTGTATCTGTACTTTACTGAAGTTTTTCCATTTTGGGTGACTTTTTACTTTCACTCCACTACATTTCAAAGTCAAATATCTCACTTTTTACTCCACTACATTATGAGAAATCTGTCGTTCCTTTTGGTTTATGTGTGTATAAAAATGCAACATCAAAATGAACGAAGTGTGAAGGAAAAACACCAATCAGGGCACAGCGGTCACTTTGTTTTGAGCTTGTTTTGACCTGTTGGTCATACTGACCCAGTGCAGCACAAGGTTCAACGTCAGAGCAGCAGTGTAAAATTTTGGGAGAGTCTATTCAACATAAATGATGAACTAACCTAACTTTGTGTAAACAGACCACAATATAGAAATATGTACTCATATGCAGTTGTGACTGACGTGTCTTTTTTCTGAATTTATACAAACACATTTCATTTTATAGTAAATTAGTTTAGGCTAGTTTATGAACAGAGACCTACAGATGCAGTTTAGTAAAGGAAACTCATTTGTGAATCTGAGTTTAAAGTTTTTATTAAACTTAAACTTGTAACTAAGTTGCAAATAAATCTTAAACTGAAACTTTGCTTGTTTGTAAAAAGTGATTTCAGAGCCACTCAGTTCTACCTGATGGAAACTGTTTGCCTTCAGTGTTTTGTGCTTATGATAATTTTAATAGACATCAGCGTCACTAATTAATGACATTCTATTAAAAGACTGGTTTACCAAGAGAGACACTGGAGTATTTTCACCTAAAATGAGTTAATTAATTGGAGTCATAATTAATCTTTTAGTACTTTCACTTTTGATACTTAAGTACATTTGAAGGTAAATACTTTTGTACTTTTACTCAAGTGGAGGTCTAAAGGGAGGAACTTCCACTTATACTGGAGTAATATTTTACCTTGGGTATCTCTACTTTAACTCATGTAATAACTTCCTGTGAGGGAGTTTTTAGAGGTGGACGTCTGGTTCCTATCACCACCACTGTGAACAATTCTGACTTGGTAAGTTTCTCTTGAACAAAGTGTTTCACACCAAACCACTCTGAATGACTGTTTCAATTGGGCAGAATAAAAAGGTGAAATCTTTTTCTATAGGAAGCCACAAAAATGTGGCCAAAATATAGGGCTACACTCACTGCAACCAGACTACGATTTATCTTACTATCATAAAATGTAATTTTGTCATTTAACTAAATAAGTATGAAAGTAAACTATGATAGATTGAAAATCTCACCTATAGTTTTGTGCTGGCCAAAGTGCTTTAATGCAGCCAGGATAAAAACATTTTATTTAAATGTTGTTTATTACACAATGTAGAAGTTTAAAGGTTGAAGACTGTACATACTATAAACAAGTTTATGTATTTTTTGGAGCTTTTTGCTCTGTAACTTCTAAAAAAACAATTTTTAGCTACAAGATCTTGTCACCTCTAGGTGGGATTTTGCTAGTGACAGTGTCCACCTACCTCCTGATTGCTGACTTCCTGTGAGGCAAAAAAATGTTAAGATGTTAAGAACAGTTTAAGGCCCAGTCCATTTCACCCCTCACCCCTACCACTCAGCCCTCTGTTCTGCGTGTTCATGTCCAGGGGTAGGGTGTCCCAATTGTGGTTGAGATAGAGGGGTAGGGCGAAGTGTTAAGGCTACATGACCCTCCAAACTGAGGTTTTTCAGACACTCCAAACAGAGAGTTATGAGAAAAAAAGAAAAAACGGCGAGATGGCTGAACAAGAGATCAAAGAAACCCACAAATGTGAGAATTTTCTGTTAAAAATTACGATAATCACTGTTTTATCTTAGTTTAACATCGTTTCAGTGTATTTTGGTTGTTTTCTTCACAACAAGCATAAAAATTCGCTAATAGCATGCTAATGTCTCTGTAGCTAGCTAGCTAACTTTCCTGTTCCACCTTAAATAGTCCAGCAGTTCTGATGCCTGAAGTGCCAGAATGTAACTGCTGCACCATTTAAGGTGGAACCGGAAAATTCGAACAAGAAGCTGGCGAATATCTGACTTCAGCTTCGTATCACTGAAGAATTAGGGGTGGGTGATAATAAATAATTGCCCCCCCCCCTCCCCCCCTCCCTTTGAAAGCATATGATGCCCTAAAATGTAATGGAGTTGACAGGGCTAGTGTTTTGCTAGCGACAATTTTAGACCGCAGACCTCAAAAACACTAGCCAGTACATGACCAGCAGACCCAGCTTTGAACACCTGTAGACACAGAAAATCATAGTATTAAGTTCACTTAATTCCAGAAATTATGTTAATTTTGGGACACAGTCACTTCAAAACAATGGGCTCTAACTTCTCACCATGTGGCCATGAGGGACAGCAGCGAAGTCTCACGTCCTGCTCTTAAATTCAGGGGTGTGGCTGAAATAAGGCTCCGCCTACATACTAAAACTCTGTATTTCGGTAGTGACATGGACGTGTAAAAATGAAACTCGTGACAAATCGAAATCTTTCAGGTTCATTTTAAAATAGAAATTAAAAAAAGGTTTTAAAATTGTAAAAATATTTTAAAAAGCTGTAAGCATTCATTTCACACGTGTAAATTCATGGGTTACGATTTGGGACAGATGCCTCCCAATAGAAAGTACCCTAGAAATGATGATTTTGTATGTATATTTCACTTATTACTATCTCTGCTAAAGCCTTGGGTTTAAATACATCAAAATATAATCCTTGCAAATATCTAAGGTCTGAATGCTTCTTAGTTTATTTATTTATTTATTTATTTTTAACCAATTCAGTAGAATGCTCCATATAAAGTTGAAACCAGCTCAGTGTTTTCTCTGGGCCACTATTATAATTCTCACAGCACGCTATTCCACAATCCCCCACAACATTAATTTGCTATTCTGTATAGAAAATGTACCGTTAAGGCTATACTGTGACTAGCTTGGCTGAAGGACTATAATCTGAATTCTGCACGAATGGATAATTTTGCTAAAATGAGTTAAAGAACATCGATTATGAGGTTTTGAGATGTTTGAGTGGAGACCACCATGGATAAACCGTGCTTGCTCTCCAGATTGGCTCAAGTGCTCTTTTACTGAAATGACCAAACAGCAAAAGTAAACAATCACACTATTTACAGTTCCGGGTAAAAGAAAGATAAAATCCAACAGTCAAAAAGCTCAAACTGTACAGCAATACTGGTACATGGTTAGGGGGGCTGCAACATAAAAGAAGGAATCCCCTCTACATCCTGTCTGGATGCTTACATATTAGAAGCCCCGTCCCTCAATCAGGGTCTGGATTATACCCCTGTGGTTCTAGCGTATAGTCATATTTATAATGTAGCCATATCAACAAAACTTAAATATTCTGACTCATGATTATAATAATTTTACAATGTTTCTCCTTTAATAGGTTACATCAATCACTGTGCACCCCCTCTAATTCCAGGATTCTCATGGATCCACCCAGCTCCTAGAAGAAGATGCTCTCTTTGGTGCTACCATTTCCATAGACACTCAGTTGAGTATACACATTGTTCACATTTTACATTTCAGTATCTTAGCATTTCAGTGTGTAGAGTCGGTAAAAATAACGTATTTCATTTATAATGCATATTTCAATTAAGTAACCTCAACATGCCACGAATTTTAACCTTAATAAAATAATGAAAAACATAACATTCAAGTGAAAAAAGAAAAACACAAAAAAACTCCCACCATAATCTTTGCCCTACCAAAATATTTCCTAGCTTTTCTACATAATAATGCCTTTAGTTTTGGTGTGAAAAGAGCTTTGTGTCTGTGAAAACCTCAAGAATTTAGGTTCTGGGAAGATGAAGAAGATGGCTTGTATTGGACCCAAGAATACCCAGATTGTTTATGTGAGCCTCAAATTGAACTTGACACTCAGATTGGAAGCTGTACTAGAAATAAACATTTCCAGGCCAGAAAGTTTAAGAAATTTTGCTCTTGATGTGTTCCTATCAGAAGACCCAGACCCTTATACATTTTACTTGCACGAAATGCTTCATCCAGGTCTGGATCACCTCCACCCAGGTGTTAAGCTTAGATACAACTAGAGAGAGGTTTGAAGGAACCTACGGTTGTGCATCAGTGAAATTATATGTCAAGCCGGCTGATGATGTATCAAAGGAATGGGTGTAAATAGTAAGAAGAATAGGGCCAAGGACAGATCCCTGTGGTACTCCACAGGACAAGAGTATGTTCAAGACATTTAGCCCCCTAGTGAGACATATTCTATCAGTCAGGTAAGACTGGAACCAGTTCGGAGCAGCCCAAAAGTGCCCCGCAGACACTTGAAAAGAATGTTTTGATTCGCTGTGTCAAATGCAGTCAGATCCAGCAGAATTAATAGGGGGAGAAACTCTGAATCACCTGTCATTAAAAGACTGTCACTCTGAGAAGAACTGTTTCTGTGCTATGTGAGGCACCGTACCCAGACTGGAATTTTTCATAGAGGTGGTTATGAGTCTGGTGCTACTTAAGATGAGCGTCCACTACTTTGAGATTGGCCTGTAGTTAGCCAATATGTTCAGCTCAAGTGTAGATTTCTTGAGGTGGGGATAATACCATTTAGACATTACCTGTCAACTCTCAACTGTATTTACAGCATAGCTATGGTTAGATACTTATAAAAGGAAAGATTCAGGTGTTTAATTCCCTCAAATAGCTAACATATTTTAGACTATGACCGTTTATTGCCCATGGGTCAAACACAAGGCCCAGAGGGCCGGATCTGACACAATCCTCTCCGGCCTGCAAAAGTATTTTAATTTTCTATCGATATTAGCCTGTTTCACAATGAGCTGCACTACAGTCCCCAGCATGCACTGCAACGTTATGTGCACTCCGACTTTCTTACCCCAACAACAATCTATGGGACAGCGGTTCCACCTCAATTCTACGCAATTCCACACCAGTCATATCACCAAACACACTAGCTGTGGTTCAGCTGCAGTTCTATCAATATAAGCACTTAACGTTAACTCAGTAGCTCAGAAACTGAGCCCAAGTCTTGATGAACTTGCAGCAAAGAAAGGATGCCAGGTGTCGAGGTCTAGCAGGTAGGTTTGAAAGACTGGGCTCCTGGGGACATTTAGATCTAGAAGATTTCAAGGTCTACTACAAGTGCCTATATTTTACTGTTGAAGTTTTTGACTAAACAATGGCCAGTTCAGGTTATACACACACACACACATTATCTAAACTGCTTATCCTTCTGGGTCGCAGGCTGGAGCCTATCCCAGCAGTCACTGGGTGGAAGGCAGAAAACACTGACTGCATGTCTTTGGACTGTGGGAGGAAACCCACGCAGACACAGGGAGGTTGCCTGACTGGGGAAATCGAACCCTAGGCCCTTCGGGCTGTGAGGCAACAGCACTACCCACTGCGCCGCCCTGAGATTTTCTTATACTGCCCTTTTACTTGTTGAGTTTGAGATCCCAGGTTTACCCAACTGTCATAATCACGTTCACATATTCACACTAATACTGCGGTAAATAAACAAAAGAGGAACGAAAATGTAAATGATTTATCAAATCCACTTACAAGGTAAGCAGAATGTACACATCATTTTTGATCACATAATCTCACATATCCCCAATCCATACACGAACCAACAACCCCAAACCCAGCATAGAGTGGCTGAGTGAAAGTGGTGTGGACTGTGTGGAGGAGGGTCATTGTGTCAGAGATGCCATAGAAGGACAGAGTTCCTGCCCTGTGATCTACGTAGACCCCTATTCTGGAGGGCACTGGTTCTGGGAGCGCAGTCTGCATGTAGTTGTGCCAGAAAAAGAATCTGTGATTCCCATAAGACTGATGAAACTGCAGACTCCAGGACTGATCGTTGCGTCCAAACTCAGATTCATTCCTAGTTATCCCTTTATATGAGACTGATATGGAAACCCCCTGTCTCCCACTCCATTCAACCTCCCAGTAACAGCGTTCACTCACACTCTCCTTACACAGCACTTGCAAATGAGAGCTAAATCTCTCTGGATGATCGGGGTACTGCTGGGCCCCCCTGTTCCATGTCAATTCTCGGTTGTTATCAGACAGAAGGAGGTTACGATTTACTGTGTTGGGATCCAGAGTCAGCTGATGGTAATCTTTAAAAAAAGAAAAAAAAGGAACATTTTAGGCTTTTATTTACACAATATGGTGCCAGTATTAGAAATGTGTGTGTGTGTTTCCACATACACAGCAGAAAATCTTCTCTTGTCTTTGGCTCTGATGGTAAAAGGATCTGAATTGCTGCATCTGTGGAGAAAGAAAAAGGTCTTGGGAATGTGGTGTCATGTCCTATGGGTGATCCGCCATTGTGGCATGGTTAGTCGGTCCAGGTTGGTTAAGAATAGTTGACGGAAACTGCTTTCCTTGATTTTGGCTGATCTGTAGCTACTCACTGAATACGTTTGCAGAAATGACTAGCATGCGACAAGCAGGATCAAAGATCAGAGCCAATTAAAGGAAAGCAGATAGAAAACAAAGGCTTAATTCAGCAAATTCAGACACAATGCAATGCAAGCAATGTTGGCTGAGACACATGATGTGTACATGACCATCTGCATAATCAGGTAACAGTAGAAACCCTATTATGATCGGCTAATTGAGTGCATGTAAACACACTCAATGATAATAGTGAGTCATACTAGATCACTTCTAGGTTTCGTGTGAGCAAGTAAAGATTTTCATCACTATAGCTACGTTCACATTACAAGCCGCATTTCTCAAATCTGATTTTTTGCTCAAATCCGATCTCTCTGACACGATGGTTCACACTCGTTTAGGCAAGTGACTCAAACCTGTCGTTAATGTGAACGAACCGGCGTCCTGAAATGACCCTCATGAGCACATCCTGCTCAGTAACGTCACGTGAATGAATCACGTGCATCATCAGCACAAACTAACGAGCAGAACGAGCTTCGCTGTGAAGATAATTAACTCTGATCAGCTCTCAGCTTCATTATTAGAGCGAGACGAAGGAGAAAAAGGTGAGATGTGTTGCTTTTCCACCGTTTACAGGCTTTAACTTCTGTTCGGCTTTGTTGCCATGGTAACGCTGAATGATGGCACACGCGCAGTGGAAAAAAAGCACATGAATTCCGATCTGAGTGTCACATTAAGGTCGCATGACCACGAATCGGATACGTATCTGATCTAGGACCACATATGAAAGTGACTCAGGTCGGATTTGAAAAGATCAGATTTGTGTCCACACAGCCCTGAAAACAGATCTGAGTCACATTAGGGCAAAAAATCAGATTTGTGCCACTTCAACCTGGTAATGTGAACATAGCCTATGTCTCACAGTTGGACGCTTGTCTTACCACGAGGAGCAATTTTGCTGAATTCCTCCTTGCAGTATTCCTGAAGATGCTCTTTAAGCTCAGAGAGAGATTTCCTCACTCCATCAAATGAGGGATGTTGATGGACGGCGATGTAGTCCTCAGATCCGGAAAAGTCAGAAAGAGAGTGGAAATTCTGTAGAGAAAAACAAAGGTGTGTCAGAGCAGTGAAAGAATCTCAAACCAAATAAGGTCAACCACACACTTCTGACCTCATAAAGGTGCCAGTATAGAAACGTTCTAATAAACAGGTTCTACTGAACAGGTTACTCTGTAGATGAGCTATTGTTACCTGGAGGAAATGGATGTCATCCTCCGTGTGCGAAAGCAGCTCAAGCTCGGTCTGCCTCCTCTTCAGATCAACAATCTCCTGCTCCAGTTGCTCCAGGAGTTCTTCAGCTCGACCCACTTCGGCCCCCTCCTCGGCTCTGATCTGCTCCGTCATCTGAGAGCGCTTCTCCTCAAGGAAGCTGATCAGCTCAGTAAAGAACCTCTCAGTGTCTTCCACCGCTGTCTGAGCAGAGCACTGTTAGGACACAGACAGACGAGATGCATTTCCATTTAAAGGTCAACTAGCATTTCCTCTATTACTGTCACACTGTATGACTTCTGCCTGGGCAGTACGGTACTCAGAACTATCCGTACCCAAGATGGTCGAGTACCTGTGTCGTTTCCAAATGCATTACAAAACAGAACCGTGAAAGTGGCTGGAGTTCTCTAGCTTTTGCGGTCACATGAATCGAGTGTTAACAGTAAACATGACCAATAGTAGCAACAATTCAAGCTTCAAGCTCTGATTTACAGATTTGGAACACTGCTGTGTATTTGATTGCATTCAGCCACTAGAGCATTAGTGAGGTCAGGTACTGATGTTGGATGATCAGTTCTGGATTACAAATGTCTCATGTGTGGAGTCTGACAAGAAAAACACTTTATTGTTGTTACTAAAAATATATCAAAACTACACCTGTTACAACAGAAAATAAATTGTCAAATTTTCTATTTTAGATTTTAAAATGATTTTGTGGATGTTGCATGGGAAATGCAAGTGCAACTGTGTAACTGAATTAGAAATTTTTCAAATTTAATTTGAATGTCAACTGAATTTTTAAAGTCAAGAAAATGCTGCCATAGTTCCTTTTTCAGTACTTACCTTAAGAGTGTTAACAGCCTGTTTCAGCTTTTGCATTGTCTTCTGATTCTCCTGGATTCGCTCCTGGAATTTAATCTGTATCTCATTTAGCTGACTCTGGGGGGTAAATAAATTTTATTCAGCTGTTTTGTGAATCTTCAAGAAGTTAACATATTAAGTACATTGATTTCTTCCAAACGTTTACATATTAAGTACATTGAAGTACAACTCCAATTCCCAAAAAAGTTGGGACAGTATGTGGAGTGTTAATAAAAACAGAAAGCAGAGATTAGGAAATTGTGTTAGACCCATAATAAATTGAAAACAGTACAGCAACACAACATGCAACGTTTTACCTTATGAACTGAATGCTCATTTCAAATTAATGCCTGCAATACATTCCAAAAGTTATGATGGGAGAACGTTTACCACTGTATTACATCACCTTTCCTTTTAATAACACTTAAAAACATTTGGGGACTGAAGACACAAACTTTTTTTTTTATTTTTTTGTTATTCTACATTATACAGCTGTATAACCATATTCAGCTGTGCAACCATACAGGGCCTTCATTGTTGTATTTTGAGCTGAATAAGACACATTTTCAATGGGAGACAGTTCTAGTCTGCAGACACGCCAATCTAACACTTGCACTCTCGAACTATGCAGCCATGCTGTCGTAACATGCGCAGAATGTTTCTTGTTGTCATGTTGAAATAAACATGAACATCCCTGAAAAAAGATCATAAAGGCAGCACGTTACCCCAAAACGTGTTCAGCGGTAAGTGTGCTTTCACAGATGTGCATGTTGCTCACTAATTCCCTCCTATACCATGGCAGATGCTGGAATTTGAACTTTATGCTGGTAACAATGTGGATGGTCCTTTTCTACTTTTTCCCAGAGAACACAACATCCATCATTTCTATAAAACACTCGACAGACTGCAATACTCGTTTCCACTGTTTATAAGTCCATTTCAGATGAGCTTGAGCCCAGAGAAGTCAGCAGCGTTTCTGGACAGTGTTGACATATGATTTTCACTGTGCATAGCACAGCCTTATCTTTAGGGGTCGAAGATCACAGACATTCACTTGTGGTTTTCAGCCTTTTCCGTTATGCAGATTATTCTGGATTCATTTTGATGATACTATCTGGATTCCTTTTGATGATATATTTGATGATGATATGCACTGTAGAGGGTGAAATACTTAAAGTCCTTGCAATCGTTCACTGAGGAACATTATTTTTTGCTGATGTATTTTTGGCAAAGTGACATGCCTTTCCTGGATGTTTTTTTTTTTTATATCCAATCATCACTGCATAACCTGTTTAAGATGTTTTTTCATCATTTTTTTCGTTATTTCACAATGTTCCTAGTGTTAAATTGCTCCTGCCCCAGCGTTTTTGGAACATGTTGCAGGCATTAATTTCAGAATTTATATTTTAAAAGCAATAAAAAAGTTGATAAGGTAAAAATGACAGGTCTTGTCTTTTTACAGCTTCCATGCAAATACTGGCCAAAGCAGATTTAGAATTCATTGTTTTCTGTTCTTACTTGCATTTTATCTGCTGTCCCAACTCTTTTAGACTTGAGTTTGTACATATTGCTGTCAGGTAGAGTTTAACTTTACTCATGCAGAGCTACTTTTGCAGAGGTTTGACACTTTGATTCTGTATTTGTGCTACAAAGCTGTACAAAGCTTGGAAGGTGTTGGTGGGTTAGAAGTTGTCTAACTCGTCTGACCAGTTTACGGGAAATGCTAAAAACAATCTTCCTCCCTTTACCTTATAAATTCACCACTTGAACAGAGACAATTTGTTCTACGATTTTTTTCTGTTTCTAGAGTAAAAAAAATCCAGGTATTCAAGCTCTTACCTGTTTCCGGGTTCTTCCTGTTGCAGCTGAAACCGTATCATGTCCTTTATGTTCATCCATCGTACACAGATAACAGATGACGCTTTGATCTGTATGACAGTAGATCTCGATCAGTTTGGCATGCTGAGGGCAGATCATCCCCTGTAGTCGTGCAGACGCTTTGACCAGCTTGTGCTTCTTAAACGCAGGAGACTGATAGTGAGGTTTGAGATGAGCTTCACAGTAAGAGGCCAAACACACCAAGCAGGACTCTCTGGCTTTGTGTTTTCTCCCAGTGCAGACGTCACACTCTACATCTCCAGGTCCAGCATAACACTGAGCAGGAGAAGCAGCTCGGCCATCTGCCTTCTTCAGTTTCTCCAACATTTCGGCCATGACGTTGTTTCTGCGTAGAACAGGCCTCGGAGTGAAGGTCTCTCTGCACTGGGGGCAGCTGTAGACGCCCTTCTGATCCTCCTGATTCCAGCAGTCGTTAATGCATACCATACAGAAACTGTGTCCACAGTAAACGGTCACTGGATCCTTCAGGACATCCAGACAGACTGAACAGCTGAACTGGTCCTGATCTTCTGAAATGCAGGCCATTTTCCTGAACTTCCACACTGAGTGAGAGCAGCAGTCTGAGATCGGGTTTGTTTACTGAGTAGGAGTGACTTCCTCCTTCCGCGTTTGTTGAAGCATCATAGAGAGGAGGGGTGGAGAGAGGAAGAGAGAATAAGAGAGAGAGAGAGACAGAGAAGAAGAGGCAGAGAGAAAGAATGGCAATAATAAATGCTACATTTAAAGCTATATATCAAATAAAGCTTGTCTCAAACATGGCTTTGCACCATATTTTCTGCCAATCCTAAAAACCTTGAGTTGGTAAAACTAACCAGTCACAAAACTGCTAACATGAGGGGGAAGGAGAGGCATCCAGGGGCCGCAGGGCTTTATTCGAGATTTCAAAACAGCTATGTAATTTTCCGTTTTCTCTTGTCTTAATTGGCTCATCTGTTGTTTTTGAAGATAATGACAGAAGAAGAGCAGCAATAACAATTTAGTAGAGAAATCTGTAGACTCCAGGGGAAACTGAGCCAATTTGGGCAGCCAGTGGCCACCATAGAAGCCACCGAAGCCAACTGAGGTGCTAATCCTGGGGTTCAAGCCAGGGTGCCAAAATCCTGGGACTACTTTCACAACCAAATGTGAGACAGACTGTATGGAAAAATTGAATTTGCTGTTCCAGCGTACTCCAAACAGATCCCAAAAATCACTTTGAAGAGGGAGGATCTGTCAGCCATGGGTAACCACACTCTGGCAGCTTAATTCGAGAAATGGCATGATCAGTGTTGGTATAGCAGAGAGAGAAATCAAGGCTGGGTACCAGGCTGTAATGGAGAGTTGGGTGGAGTCATTGGGAGCAGATAGATAGATGATAATGCGCTTCTTGCCAGAATATTTGTGAGCGGCTATGCTGATTAAAATGGTAGGTAGAAAAGGGAAGTAAATCCAAAGGGCTAGTCATGAAGCCCTCCAAGACCTGCTTGTCCAACTAGGAAAAGCAAGACGTTTGGTAGAACAGCAAAGCCTACAGAGAAACCAAAGGTAAGGCCATACAGCAAACAAGAGGCAAATGGATGATCAGGGTGGTGGGGAAGGTCAGTGGCCAGAGCAGGGGCATTGACTGAAATGGAGAGATGGAGTAGTCATGTGGCCATGGTGATTCCATGGAAGTTTCAATTGCAGTTTCTAAATGCTGAAGTTCAAATTCAGATTTTTGCATTCAAATACAAATATCTAATCATATGATTCTAATGTAGCGCTCACAGCTATTAGTAGAAACATGCTGCTTTATTTTCCAGCTGTTGTTGGCCACAGCCACTCTGTACATATGTGAAGCTTTTCTCTGTCTAACAGCTCGTTCTCTACCCCAGCTATTTTTCTGCAATTTACACGTCAATAATCTATACATGACTATGAAATATATGAATTAAATTACATAAAGAAAACAAATGCCAAATAAATATTACAGAATATACAATGAAAGTTCCCCAGGAGTCGTGTCACTGGTGTTACTGCGTGACAAAAAACTCTTATTTTGAAATAAAAATCACACTAATGACATCACTCAACTTCGTTTTACCTGTTTTCTGAGGATCTATTAAGAAAAGCACATGGTGAGTCCACTGAGTCTTTCAGTTATCAGAGATTTTCTCATTTAGCTCATGATTTCATATGAAGCTTTTAGCTGAAGTCACTGGTGTGACCGACTTTATTCTGAGGTAACTGTGAAAAAATAGAATACAAATGGATTAAATGACATATTTTAGTGGATATTCCATGATTGACAACATGTGGTTTGATGTTCTGTAGCAGCCGTTTTGTAAAAATGCATTGTTCATTAAAATGTCTCTGGTGTTTCCTCTCTTATGTGTAACACCAGTGAGGATCAGTAACACCAGTGACTCCTATGGAGAGACAGAAAAGTAGACGTCTCTGTAGAATGACCCATATACACACACCAGGGTGGTTCCTAGCCTTGTCCCCTACAATAAGCTGTTGACCACACCATCTCTCTCCGGCACCAACTCCAGGGCCCCAGGCAAGTTGCATGGGTGGGACAGCTGAGTGTGGATGCACAGCTCAGTTGCAGACAGTGCCATGATGAGCTAGTCTCAGATTAGTTCGCTCTGTACAGAAGGTGGCATGTGAGCCCATCTAGCTGAAGTTTCAGTATCGTTAGCTTGGTCGCTTAATGGTTCCCCTGCCTGACTTCAGGAGCTACACAGTTCAGACCAAAGGAGCTTGGGCTGGAAACACTGCCTAAAATACCGCCATAGCTCCCTGACCAATGTACTGTATTCAGATCATTCGCTAGGGTCTAGCAATAGCAGGCAAGCTAATGCATCACTAGTCATCAGCTGCAGGGCTGTCTTTTCATCAGACCACTCGCACGCCTTGACACGTCCCTATGTTCCACTGTGGGCTGTACCAGCGTCACGTTGAAGAGCTACTGTCCAAATTACATGCGCTATATTTGTGTGACCACAGGGGCCTGGGTTTGGCTTCTTTCGTTGCCATCCAGGTAACATCCAGAGGATGTCCTGCTTTAATCCAGGATCTAATGTAACTGGATCCAAATGTTCTGAGGGGGGAACCCATTTTAGTCCACGTACAACAGTGAAGAAAGACTCTGTCCACACGACCTGTTGTGGCTTTGGGCAGTAGTGCTGTTGACGGTGGAAGATCCTCTCTCACATTCCGCAGAAGAGGAAAGATAAGTCAGACTTGCTTGTCACAGTTGTTTGAGTTGTCTTGTGGTGCTTCACGGCCTCGCTAGCTGGTTCATTCAGTAACTTGGCTAAACTGTTTACTTCTTGTTCTCCTACAAAATCTAGGCCTCACTCCCACCTGGCCTAAAGTGTTCGTCAAGGGGTTTGAGCTGATGGACCTAACTTGAGATCGGCAGTGACCGATTCATACAATCAACGGCTGTTGATTTTGCCTCTGTTGGTCAGTTCAACACCTTTAAAGCTTCCACATGACATCTGTTCTTCACCTTTCTTTGTCCTTTGTCCACCTGATGTTTTCATAGCCATCAACACATGAACCGTTTGCTGTATATGGCGATTTGCATCCACAAGCGATGAGTCTCTGCACTGAAGTTTGAGAGACAAGCTTTTCAGTGCATGCAGAACGTTCTTCATTACAGCCAAATCTTCCACAAACCCTGCATTTGTCTTCTTGTAAAGGCCTCCGAATTGTTGCCTTCTAACATCGCTTTGTTTGGCGTTTTTACTGGCTGTTTTAAAATGATAAGGAAGGGCAGCTTTTACTGTAGAGACGCTGATGGACACCCATGGGATTGTAAAAATTTGCCTTTAAGCAGAAACAAAACTGCTGCTGAAGCTCCATGTTCAGTTCCAGACTCAACTTCTTTCATTTCATCGAAGTGACTGTTATTATAACTCCACAGAATATCTGTGCTGGTAATTATAGACACGGTTTTAACTAATTCTGCAGTGTTTATGATCTGCTTATACATTTATTACAGAGAAAGAAATACAGGCGCTTATAGGGATGAAGAGCAGTTCAATATAAATAACACCAGAGGGCGCTGTTTACCAATTTATCATTACTGACTATTTCAAATTATTATGTAAAATATCTGTCTTAGATAACTTATATCAAATTTAGTCATTTCGCAGTGGATGTGCAGTTCTCACTCACTAGTTCAGTAGCAGTTCCACATAAATGACGGATGGAGCTGTTTCCTGCGATGAAAACCAGCACAGACCAGCACAGCAGGTCACCAGCCAAACTAAGCCATGTTGTGGATGCTGATACGCTGGTCAACCAGTATGACCATGTTGGGTGAGTAGCTAAACCAGCATTAGACCAGCATGGAATTCAGAGGCATTCAGTACATTTTATTTAGAATAAAGTCTAAACGAAAACTGCTCTGCATCTGTAAATGAATTACAGTCGTCACTGGATACAAACAAAATATACTTTTTTTTTTTTTTACTTTTAACGAAACATTTTCATTAACAGGTTATAAAACTCTTTCACAGACACGTCTCACAGAGTCTGCTGGACAGAACTGATTTACTGGCCTCAGCACTGAATTAACACCTACAAAGTACATGTGTGCTCGGATTTGCAAGATGACAAAAAATGACTTCAAGTGTTTGTCAGTCTCACAGCTTCAGCACTAAGCCAATGAAGCAAAATCTGGTCACAAACAGTAACTTAACAAGGAAAAAATCTGTTAATGTAACTTACTGTAAAAAAACAACAATAACAATGTCTATAGGTCCATTGTTGTTTTTTTGTAATTTGAAAATAAAAATGAAAATTAAAACAGTATAAGGTTTTCTTAGGATGGATATACTGTACACCGATCAGGCATAACATTATGACTCCAGCAGTACTGCTGTGTCTGATCCACTCAGACAAGCGCAACACACACTAACACACCACCACCACCACGTCAGTGTTACTGCAGTGCTGAGAATGACCCACCACCCAAATAGTACCTGCTCTGTGAGGGTCCATGGGGGTCCTGACCACTGAAGAACAGGGTAAAAGGGGGCTAACAAAGTATGCAGAGAAACAGATGGACTACAGTCTGTAACTGTAGAACTACAAAGTGCACCTATATAGTAAGTGGAGCTGATAAAATGGACAATGAGCGTAGAAACAAGGAGGTGGTCATAATGTTATGCCACTGCATTAAAGTTGAAGTTGATTAGACAATAAAAACTGAATGAGGCTTGGTCATACAAAAATTCTTTAAAATATCAATAAAAATCAGGGTTATAAACAACGTGCTGGACTGTCCTACATATATACAGTATTTTAGTGGAGGTAGCCGAATATCCCTTTGTGTGTTTCTCTGTAAATCAAATGTGGACGAAGAACCTGAGGCTCATGGTTTTACACTAAGAGTGAAGGTTCAGTTGACTTGACGGCGGCCGCTGCATCCGCTTGCTGCATCTGCAATGTGGCCCAGACGACGGCCAGCTGTCCCTGGTTGTCGTTGTTGAGTTTTTTGCGCTTCCTCAGCAGGATGAGTTGGGGGTTCCTCAGCAGAGTGTAGAGGAGAAGCCAGCGGGCGCAGACTCTGACCTCTAGTTGACTCCCTGAAGAAACACAACAGAGGAATATATATATGTGTATATATATATATATATATATCTATACATATATATATATATATAGACACACACACACACACACACACTATATTGCCAAAAGTATTCGCCCTTCACATGCATATGAAATTGAATGACATCCCATTCTTAACCCATAAGGTTTAATATGATGTCGGCCCACCCTTTGCAGCTATAACAGCTTCAACTCTTCTGGGAAGGCTTTCCACAAGGTTTAAGAGTGTTTATGGGAATTTTTGACCATTCTTCCAGAAGCGCATTTGTGAGGTCAGACACTGATGTTGGATGAGAAGGCCTGGCTCGCAGTCTCCACTCTAATTCATCCCAAAGGTGTTCTGTTGGGTTGAGGTCAGGACTCTGTGTAGGTCAGTCAAGTTCTTCTACACCAAACTCGCTCATCCATGTCTTTATGGACCTTGCTTTGTGCACTGGTGCGCAGTCATGTTGGAACAGGAAGGGGCCAAACTCCCCAAACTGTTCCCACAAAGTTGGGAGCATGAAATTGTCAAAAATCTCTTGGTCTGCTGAAGCATTAGGAGTTCCTTTCACTGGAACTAAGGGGCCGAGCCCACCTCCTGAAAAACAACCCCACACCATAATCCCCCCTCCACCAAACTTTACACTTAGCACAATGCAGTCAGACAAGCACCGTTCTCCTGCCAAACCCAGACTCGTCCATCAGATTGCCAGATGGAGAAGCGTGATGCGTCACTCCAGAGAACACGTCTCCACTGCTCTAGTGTCCAGTGGTGGCACTTTACACCACTGCATTTACACCTTTGCATTGCGCTTGGTGATGTAAGGCTTGGATGCAGCTGGTCAGCCATGGACACCCATTCCATGAAGCTCTCTACGCTGTTCTTGAGCTAATCTGAAGGCCACATGAAAGTTGGTGACCTCTCTGCACTATGCGCCTCAGCATCCACTCTGTCATTTTACATGGACTACCACTTCGCGGCTGAGTTGCTGCCGTTCCCAGTCGCTTCCACGTTGTTATAATACCATTGACAGTTGACTGTGGGATATTTAGTAGTGAGGAAATTTCATTACTGGACTTGCACAGGTGGCATCCTATCACGGTACCACGCTGGAATTCACTGAGCTCCTGAGAGCGACCCATTCTTTCACTAATGTGGAATATATATATACACACACACAGTATCTCACAAAACTGAGTAAGCCCCTCACATTTCTGCAAATATTTTGTTATATCTTATCATGGGACAACACTATAGAAATAAAACTTGGATATAGCTTAAAGTAGTCAGTGTGCAGCTTGTATAGCTGTATAGATTTACTGTCCTCTGAAAATAACTCAACACACAGCCATTAATGTCTAAATAGCTGGCAACACAAGTGAGTATCCATTTTTGACGTTTTTCAGTTTTTGACATAATTTGAAAACGTCTGTTGGCCTTTACATTGTCTGTAAATTTCATGATGAAAGGACCACAAGAAACGACCCAAAATTACTTGGAAATAATTCTTGTTCCATTGACTTACATTAAAAGTAAAGTAGGTTTTTTCCTTCTCCAGTAAAGTTACCATTTTGGAGAGGTTTTCTTCCAACAACAGCGAATAACAAAAATAGAAGAAAAAATAGAATAGAAAAGAATAGAACAAAATAAAAGGCAATGCTTCACAATTACGTTATTGGTCGTATAACATTATTAACAGCTGCTTGTTCTGCAAGAGAACCAAAACCCATGACTTTTGCCGGACCATTTCATTTGTTTAATGCGCACCTGAGTACAAGCAGGGCATCCACACCAGTCAAAACTAACCGAACTAAAGAAAAAGTTCTGCACCAAACAAGGTATAAATAAGTTAACACATTGACAAACTTACATATGGTGCACAATTTCTACTCATTTCTATTTATTTACTGAGCTTAACATTTAAAATAAATTTTGCACACACCACAATTTATGTTTTATTTTTTCCAGTTTGTTCAATTCAGAAAATTAACAGTAGTTGTGCATGAAAATGTGCACAAGTGTGTGCTCTGTAATGAGTTAACTTATTTACAATAAAGAATCAATAAAACATGTAATTTGGCCAGGAACACCTAAACTTTTAAATATGACTGTACATGCAGTTAGTTACCTGGGGTCTGGTCTACGCTGGAGTAAGACTTGGCTGCTGTGTGTCTCTCCAGAGTGCGTTTGAGCAGCAGGTGGCAGAAGCAGACCAAAACCAAGTTGCTATGGTAATGATCTGCCATTATCATTCCTATCCATGTACGGTAGCCTGCAGACACAGAATGCACAACAAGTTCTGTTCCTCCATCCAGTAAAATTAGCAAAGTTTTAACTTTCAACAGTTTCTATTTTACATACACTGGGTAGACCTTGAAGGAGAAGAAGTCTAGCCTTTCACTCACAGCAGCACGGACCAGCAGGACATTTAGCAGAGTTTGCTAGCGTTAGCTGTTTTCAGAACTTAAATTATTATTATTGATTTTTAGTGCCGTCAAGTCGACCCCTGGCGAGCATATGGATAAGAGTTTCTCCAGAACATCCTGTCTTCTACTCGGGTCTTTAGGATTCGTAATGACTTGTTCACGATTCCTCTGATTGTCTCCATCCATTTTGTTGCTGGCTGTCCTTCTCCTCTTTTACCTTCAGCTTCTTTTCCAATGAACTGTATTTTTTCTCATAATATGTCCAGAATAAGAGCTTCAGTTTGGTTATCTGGGCTTTGAGTGGGAGATAAGGCTCCATTAGGATTCTTCCATTTTACCATCTAAGGTACAGTACTTTCAGAAGTCTTCACCCACACAAAACGCAGAATGGTTGCACAGCTTAAATGGTTCCCACTTCCCGCTGGGTCGCTAGGTGGTTGCAATGGTATTCAAGGTGGTTGCTAAGGTGTTGCTAGGTGGTTGCTATGGTGTTGCTAGGGGTTTGATATTGTATCCAAGGTGGTTGCCAAGCAGTTGCTGCGGTGTCACTAGGTGGCTGCTAAGGTATCCCAAGAGGTTGCTAAGATGTTGGTAGGCAGTTGCTGTGGTATCCCATGCACCTGCTAAATTATTGCTATGCAGGTGCCATGGTGTACAAGGTGTTTCTTAAGTCATTCATAGAGAGTTGCTAAGTGGCAACTATGTGTTATTGAAAATGAATGGGAGTCTATGAGAAGAAGGAGGGCAAGTAGTTTGGTGTTTGTTGGGCAAAGGAAATAATAAGGCTGGGGTTTCGGTGAAAATGAATGGGACTCTATGAGAAGAAGGAGGGATGAGAAAATGACACATAGAGGAGTTCAGGTCAGTGTGGCTGTGGATTAGAGCTTGAGGACCTGCCCTGAGTGAGTACATGTAGTTTGGTGGCTGTTGGGCAAAGAAGTAATACAGTTTGTGTGGTAGCAAAAATTAATGGGAGTCTATGTGAGAAATGAGGGATGGAAAAAAACACAAACAGACGAGTGCGGGTCAGAACAACATTGAATTTGTGCTCGGGGGCCTGCCCTGAGATATATAGTATATGTGGAACTGTGTCTTTTGGTTGAACAGAAGTAAGTAGATTGTCATGCAATTTTACACCCCATTCATTCCTATTGGAATAACATATATATGGATCCTATGGGGATAACAATATTTGCAATGCGCGAACACAATAAATAAAAACAATACAATAAATTTCAGCATAAAAGCACAAATAAAAGGAAAATTTGAAGAAAATTAAATAAAACGATTGTTAAAAAAAAAGTAATAAGGTAAAATAAAATGAACAGTAATACATTAAGGATCAGGCTGAGTTACAGGCTGTCTGAAGTCAACTAGAGATTAAAAGTTTAAAATGACTTAAAAGTGACACCAGCAAGCTGAGTTTTAGAGTCCATCTCGCTACTGTGCTGTAGCTAAAAGCGGATTTTCCCAGTTCAGTATAAAATTGAAAGGTGATCCAGTCATTAGAGCAAGTCTCATAATTACCATTACCGTTATTTGTAGAGATCATATAAGCTGCCATATGGCTGGAGAGTGATTTCTTCCTGATTTTCTGCTATGAGTGTTGTGTTATCTGCACATCATCTTCCTCCAGTCCTGCTTCTCATATGTTTCATCATACAGGTTGAACAGGTATGGGGATAGTGGGCAGCCTTGTCTTACTCCTTGGGTATAGTGGGCAGCCTTGTCTAACTCCTTGGGGATAGTGGGTAGCCTTGTCTAACTCCTTGGGGATAGAGGGCAGCCTTGTCTAACTCCTTGGGGATAGTGGGCAGCCTTGTCTAACTCCTTGGGGATAGTGGGCAGCCTTGTCTAACTCCTTGAGATAGAGGGCAGCCTTGTCTAATTCCTAGGGGATAGTGGGGAGCCTTGTCTACCTTCTTGGCCAATGTGGAATCAGTTTGCCCACATTCTGCCATGACTGCGGCTTGTTGAGCAATGTAGAGGTTTCTCATTAGACGAATGAGATGCTCTAGTATACTCATTTGCCTGATTCCATAATTTTATATGGTCAGAAAATTGGAAGGCTTTGCTGTAGTCAATGAAACACATGTTGACTTCCATCTTGAATTCCCTGGCTTTTCAATTATCCAGCATACATCAGCAATGATATCTCTTGTTGTTTAAACTATGGAAAGGCCATGAGTTTAAGGACATCTCAGAGGAGATATACCGGCAAAACTACAACTACAAGTCTATTTTGTTACACTACTGTTAACTGAAATGCATAAAATTGTCTCCATAGAATAATATGGAAAAATATATTTGATTGATAAGATTTTGTCATATAGTCCAGTCCTGATTTAAAAAGAAGTTCTCTACTTGCTGTACCTTTATCCAACAGCTCAAAGCCCTTTGGCATGACGGTCCGGTTGATGCGGGACACCAACAACAAACTGACGAAAGCGCTCCTCAGCAGCCGTAAGATGCAGCTCCACAGTCCCAGGATCACGTTGTAGAAAAAGAAGAAGTAGTTAAAGTTGTGGAAGGCTTTCCTGGAGAGGAAATAACATTAAAAGAATCAGTCTGACCATTAGTTAACAGGTTGCTATCAGATTGATTTAACAAGTAAATAATGTCCATCAATCACGTATCAGACTTTCTTAAGAAATATGGTCTGTTTGACCTATAAAGACCAAAAGGTCCTCCAGCCAGAGCTGTGCAAAAGTCAAAAAGGCCATTGCAATGCAAGTTATTCATTTTTCAGTGTCAGGAAAATAGAAGGAAGTCAAACAACAGGACTTTTCGAAACTGAAAATACAGAGAAAATGGGACTCCTGACAACCACCTGCAACACCTGGTGGACCAACAAAAAATGTCCCCATCAGATAAGAAGCACTTAAAGCTTTCTTCTTTGAGAGAGAGGAGAAAATCAAGCTCCACTCTTACATCAGATCTGAAAACATCCACAGCCATCCTTCCACTGTGAGAAGACAACGCAGCACTATGGGTCTAAAAGGATGTGTAGCTGCCAAGGAGCCTCACTGAGAAAAGGAAACAGACAAGAACATCTGCGGTAGAACACCGAAACTGGACATCTGAGATGTGGAGGAAGGATTTATGGACTACTGGGATCTTTGGAAGTAACAGGAGGAGTATGTATACCGCCAAGGCAATGAAAGACTTCTCAACACGTCACCATTGGAAGTTTTGACAGAAGGAATGAGAAATATCTCTCCAGAATTTGAGAGTGAGTCTCCTGAAAAGAATGGAAGCTGTAATAAAAGGTAAAGAGTGACACACTGAGCACTCAAACATCTGGTATTACATTTACAGCCCCAATTCCAAAAAAGTTGGGACGCTGTGTAAAATGTAAATAAATGTAAATCAAAACAGAATGCAATGATTTGCAAATCTCATAAACCCATATTTTATTCACAGTAGAACATAGAACACATATATTAGGTGTTGAAAGTGAGACAGGCAGAAAGTGAGACTCAGGCAGCACTGCAGTAAAAACAGGCATGATTCTGTACTGGAAATCACTGCATGGGCTCAGGAACTCTTCCTCTCACTTCCAACATCTGATTGTAAGTCGCTCTGGATAAGAGCATCTGCCAAATGCCGTAAATGTAAATGTAAATTTATGTTCTATGTTCTACTGTGAATAAAATATGGGTCTATGGGATTTGCAAATCAATGCATTCCGTTTTATTTACATTTATTTACATTTTACACAGCGTCCCAACTTTTTTGGAATTGGGGTTGTGGTTGTTGAGGCTTCTGTGTAATTTTCTGTTAAATATTTATGTATTCTGCTTTTTTACTGACACTGAATAATGAACGCTTGCTAGGTTAGCTTTCGCTCAATGGTTACCCTTCAGAGAGAAGACAATCATAGGGTAGAGACAGTTTTGTCAAAGACGTGTGGGCAGGAAATAGTGCATTAGCCTTGTGATTGCAGAGAATGTTGCTTATTTATCGCTACCCACCATTAGGACCAGCCACTTTACACTGAAAGAGGAAAATGTTGGCAAAATACATTGGCCATTTAGTGGGCACTGGAAAATTATTCACATTGACTTTGTACATGTATATTGTGTACCCACCAGAGCAAGACCTACTTAGAAAGAAAACACAGATTTAGATTCCCTGGGCCTGAATAAACTTCCATGGTACTCAGTCATTTGAGCTAGCTGACCAATTAAAGTCCCTGAGGTAAACCACACCACAGACACGTGCCTGTTCATCTACACTCTCACATCCCTACACACAGTTCAGTTAGCAAGCTCCTGGCTAACTTATGATCGTTTGTAGGTCAGACTGCTTCCTAACACGTACCTGTTGTTGAGCGCGAGGGGCTTCTGCTTATCCTCAGGCGACAGTTTGTCCTGCAGGAAGAAAACCCGAACCAGCAGGACCTGCAGCTTCAGCAGGGCGAGCACGATGAAGAAATTTGCCCTGTTTTTATAATAGCAAACCTTGAATGAGACTCCAAATCATGTGAACCCAGCCCAGCTTTTTCTAAGCTTCACTGTAATGCCAGTGTAACACTAGAATACACCAGGATCAGACATCCATTATAACCTGGTTAGTTGCCTTAAACTACATAACTGGACATACAGATTGGCAGGCTGGTGAATGAATAAGTAACAAAAGAGTGTAGAAATTATGCTCTGTTATGAAATCTGTGTGTAATGGACTGTGGACTTACAGGAAGGTGATCAGATCGATCAGCCAGGAGAGGAATCCTTCTTCACGGATTGGGATGACCACCAGAAACACAAAGACAATCCCAAACACAAACAGGGCAAAATGCACGATCAAATAACCTGAAAAAGCAATACAAAAGTCTTAATCTCTATTTGGATGGGATTGGTTTTACATAGTTAATGAATGACAACAAAAACGATGTACTGCTGACCTGAAAACTCATTTGTTCTAAATTTTAATCGGTGCTGAGGATGAGTGCACTCACCCCATATTGTGTAGGCGATCTGGCAGCCAGGGTACCTCACAAGAGCAACCTGAAATAAGATGAATTAAAATGCTATTTGAAACAGATGGGCCCTGTTTAGAGGCCTGTCTCACAAGGCACATTATACTTTCACATTCACATCACTAAGCAAGACCACAACTATTGGGATTGCAGACCGAGACCAAGTTGAGTCTCTGAGTTGAGTCTGAGTCAAGTCTTGAAAGTCTGAGGTGAGAATCCGAGTTGAGTCTATGAGGTGAGAGGTCAAGTCTGTTTTTCAAGTCTCTAAGGCCTGCTAGGCTGTGTCGAATTTCGTGTCTCTAAGGTGTGAGTCAGAGTTGCTTCTCAAATCTCTGTGATGATTCTGAGTCAAGTCTTGAGTCTCAGGGGTGTGCGTTCAAGTCCAGTCTTGAGTCTCTGAGGTGAGTCTGAGTCGAGTCTTGAGTCTCTGAGATGCAAGTCTGAGTTGAGTCTTGAGTGTCTAAGGTTTGAGTCTGAGTCAAATCTTAAATCTCTGAGATTCAAGTCTGAGTTGAGTCTCGAGTGTCTGAAGTCTGAGACCGAGTTGAGTCTGAGTCATGTCATGAGTGTCTGAAGTAAGAATCCAAGTTGTCTCGAGTCTCTAAGGTGAGAATCTAGAGTTGAGTCTAGAGTATCTGAGTTGAGTCTAGAGTCTCTGAGGTGATAATCTGAGTCATGTCTTGAGTCTCTGAGGTGAGAATCCAAGTTGAGTCTAGAGTCTCTGAGGTGAGAATCCGAGTTGAGTCTTGAGTCTCTGAGGTGAGAATCCGAGTTGAGTCTATAGTCTCTGAGGTGAGAATCCGAGTTGAGTCTAGAGTCTCTGAGATGAGAATCCAAGTTGAGTCTAGAGTCTTTGAGGTGAGAATCCAAGTTGAGTCTAGTTGAGTCTCTGAGATGAGAATCCGAGTTGAGTCTAGAGTCTCTGAGGTGAGAATCCGAGTTGAGTCTAGAGTCTCTGAGGTTAGAATCTGAGTCATGTCTCAAGTCTCTGAGGTGCTTTAGTAGATAATTGTGTCACTGCAGAGACACAAGCATCTGCATCTTTGTTACATTCGATTATAAGTTATGTCAGAAGTCCATGCGTTCTAAAGACGTGTCACAGCTGCTTACATTTACACAAACAAGGACGCATGGTCCATTTTCGTTTGATAACAAATGCAGACAGAGACTGATGTAATAAATGTGGGCAGCACTCTGTGACTCCAGTCAAGAAATCCTATCACAAGTTATCAATGGAAATGCATTTGACATGTAAATGGTTATACACTACACGGCTCTACAGCTACACCCTTACCATGCTAACGGCAGAGTCTGGCGTTCGGAACCTCACTGGCAAGAAGCTTTTTTCACCTGCCCGCAGCTTTTTCATGTGCTTCCTGCGACGTTAAAAGGCAAATGAATTAAATCATTGTAAGAGAAAGACATCTCATTGACTTTGTTCGCACAGCAGGTAAAAGTGCCCCAAATCCAATCTTTTTCTTCAAATGTGAAACAGATGTGTTCCTTGTGTGTCAGTGTGAACAGCAAAAAACACATTAAATCTCACATTTTCAATTTCGATTTGAGATGCTTTCATATGTGGTACTGAAACCTGATACGTATCCAGTATGCAGTGACTCAGTCTGAACAGCCAGATCGGAATTCATGCGACTTTTACGTCAATCCAACTCAACATTTGTCATAATTTTGTGCTGCTGAGACATTTAGGCTGATATTTCTGAACTAAAAAAATTAAAAGGAGACTTTGAAGACATTTCGAAAGTAATGACCGAACGTGACAGTGGGAGAGCGAGGCTGCAGCGTCAAAGAATAGTTAAAAGTCTGAAAGCATAGTTTAAAGAATCCAAGGACGCAAACCAAAGAAGTGACCGTGCACTGTTTATGGTGAGTTTGAACACACTGTGGGTGATGAGCCCAGTTGTGAGTCAGTGAAGCTTCATGATGGCCCCTGTGATGGTGGCGAAGATGAAAATGAAAGCTCCGGGACCGACTGGCGTTCGCTGGCAGTCATGATTGTTTACCTCTGGATGAGCCACTTGAAGCACTGTTCATTTGCGCATGTGGGTCAGTTTATGACCTTGAACTGTTCAAACTAATATCATATCAGTCACATTTAAAAGAACAACAAAAAATTTCTGAGAAAATCAGATTTGGGCCACTTTTACCTGCTGTGTGAACATAGCCATTACGCTTTTCTGGATATTCCAAAACAGTGGACATATGTTCTTTGTGGTATCAAAGACAAAACTGCAAAAGTCCATATGCTATGGATATTAATTTAGAGGCCCTCTTACTTAAACAATGTCTTCAAAGTGTAATTCCATTTAGTGCTCACACATACCTGTAACATATCAGTACATGACCAACGTGAGCCACAGATGACAGTGTGGCTAAGGCTGTTGAGACATACCAGGCATCTAGAAATCAAATAAAAAATAGCTTTATGCAATATCTAGAACAACTCCACATTGTTACTGTAACATTGTAACACTCTAAATGATGTTACATACAGTATCATGACGATATATGAAGTAATAAATTATTAGAATAGTGACTGGCATAAAAGCAAAAAGGAGCCAAAATGTTGCAATAGTCTAATAACAAAAAATTAGTTATTTTTGATGATGTGACACAGGAAGTGTTGTCTTTCCAGACATCCTTTGTGACCTCTGCAATGGAGCAACAAACCAGGGCTCAAACCAGAGCTATTTTGGAAATTGCTTGACCATAAAATTTCAAATTCAAAAATTTTTATTCCGATTGACCAAGGACATAAACTAAGGATGGTTGGGCTTTGGTCACCTGAGGCTTAAGCAGTTCCATCTCCTTTATTAGTGGAATGAAGGGGTGAAAAAAACAGATTGAATTCATGAATGAATGAAAAGAAAAAGTGATCTCACATGCAGCGTAATCCAGGTATTCGGTCCAAAAACTGGGTCTCTCTACTAGAGTGTATAGCTCCTTGATGCCCAACGAAGACAAAACTAGCTCACTTGAAATGAACTACGAGGAAACCAAGAAACACATAGACACACATATTATTGTACAGATTACTGATTACCTGTATCTGTAATCTGAAACCTAATCCAAAGGATTACTGTATTAAAGTAATGTAATCTGATTGCTTTCTGTTTTCAGATTATCTGTAAACCACATACTTACATAAAGAAAAGCTAAAACAAGCTTCAGTGAGACTTAAAAGCAGAAAAACTGCAGTTTAACGAAAAAAATAATTGTCTATTATGTTGTCCCTGTCTTCCATAACATTTTGTATGAGTATCTGAAACCATTTGCGACAAACATGCAAAAACAGAGGAAAGCAGGAGGGGCAAATGCTTTTTCATGACACTGTGCCTGTAATCTAATTACTCTCTTTTTCTGTAACTGTGATGGGACAGTTTCCTTTTTTGGTATCCTAAGTATGTAACATAGTCACATGTATTCCATTACTACACAAACATGTTCATCTCACAATAACACATTAATATATAGATTATCATGTGCATTCATGCACAAATGCACACGTACCATGTAGAGTCCGACGAGAGAGATAACCGCAGTGGCGATCATTCTGCTGGGGAATTTAAAATAAGGATCCGAGTCGTACACCTTCCTTCTGAACCAGCTCTTCTCCAACGACCTGGAGTGGAGAATATGAGGGTCAGAGTTTGTGTGAGTGTCTATGTGTCTGGGTGAGTGTGTTCATGTGTTTATTAGACTGTGTATGTGAGAGAGTATCTTCCTCAGGGAGTCGCCACCTAGTCATGGCAGAGAAGCTTGTGTGCACCTACAATCCTGAGAATAAGGCCATCTGTAGATGCGCTCCTACAGATTGGTCAAGCAATGCAGTGAGACAAAGAGAAGCTTTTTGACAAAGTAAGGTCCGCAGACATAAGGCCTCAGCAGTGGCATAAGCACAGCAGTGAAATCCTTTCAGGGCCAGCAGCTTTGCTCTTTTTTCATCTTCAAGGTTATGTGACCTGTGAAATTAAGTTGATCTTTCAGGATAACTCCAAAGTTTTGAGCCCTGTATGATGAATTTATGATAGAGGAGTCGAAAACTTGACAGATCCACCTAATGTATATGTAGTCAGAGGTGCTGTCTTGAAGATGTAAAACAACAAAGCCGTTGGCCCTTTTGAGATTCGAGTAGGCAATCTCATGGTGGCCGAAAATTACCTCCTGGCAGCACATCCCTGCCTTCATCCTGGAGATCTGGAAGAGGACATACCCAAAGATTTCAGTGATCAAGTTGCGGACCTAAACTATTATTTACCTAACTACACCAAGCTATGATGGAGCTCTCGGCATTTAGACCCTAGAGTCTTGTTTCTCTGGGTACACTAGGCACGTATTGGTTTGGATATTAAGAAATAAATCAATCTGAGGTTTCTTCAACACCAAGAAGGCTGTCTGTGGGCCCGTCGATGAAACTCTCCATGTCCTAAACATGTGCAAAGGCTTCTCTCTGAAGTGACTGCCTAGTTAATTGTAAAAGAACTGCTGATATAGTATTTCATGACAAGATCCCCCGGCACCACAAATGTCTTGAAGATGTAAAACAACAAAGCTGTTGGCCCTATTGAGATTCGAGTAGGCATTCCCATGGTAGCCGAAAAGTACCTCCTGGCAGCACATCACTGCCTTCATCCTGAAGATCTGGCAGAGGACAAACCCAAAGATCTCCATGATTACCTGATAACTACCATCTTTAAAAAGGGGACAATGCAGACTGTGGGAACTCAGAAGATGGTAGCTTCCTGCTGTGCATCACTTAGAAAACAACTGTGCACGTTCTCTCCAACCGCTTCCCTTGTCTGAAGAATTCCTCCAAGAATCTCAGTGTGGCACAGAGGTACAACTGACACAAACTTATCAAAGACCACCACTATACATAGTCTTCATGGATCTCACCAAGGAATTCGACTCTGTGAACCAGGAGGCTCTGTCAAAATCTCGGGTGCCCTGAGAAATACATTACAATGCCAAGCCTTCTCCCTGACCACATCACTTCAGTATAGAGGGTTCTGTGGTCAAACATGGATGCACCTTTGATCCCACCTTGTTTAAAATCTTCAAAAACCTGACAACTGGTACCTGAACTCTGTACAGAATGGATGGCAGGCTCTTCTAGCTTAACAGATTCAAGTACAAGATAAAAGTTTCCTCCATGTCCATCATCAGCTTTAGCAGCTCAACCACAGATCAGATGAACTGGCCATATGGTGCAAATGTCTCATGTCTCCCCAAGCAGAATATTGTACTTGCAACTACCTGTTGGCCAGCAGCCCCCAGGAGGTGGGAAGAAGCAATATAAGGACAACATCTGGATCAATCTACATTGAGCTGGGAGAACGTAGAACAGGATAGAACGCAAAGTGAAACCATGCACCGTCTACCATTCTTCACAAAGGACACTTAATAAAGCCCACACTGCAGTTAAGTCTGCGGCTCCAGGATTCTCCTTCCCCGCCAGGAGATACTCCTCCAGAGGACCATCATTCCCAAACTTGAGTCCATGCGCATGCATGCAATGTGAACATTTGTCTGCATGTGCGTGTGTTAATGGACATATGACTAAACGTACTGTTCAGGAGGCCGTCTCAGTAGTGTTTGTACATATTTGTACTGATGGGACTGAAGAACCGCATCTTCTTCTGCCTGAAGGAACAAACATCATGATCTAATTTATTTAACAAAGTAGTTATTACCACAGTAGTTACAGTAGTATTGTTATTATCTAAGAATAGCAGACTTTCAAATCACCTTTGGAAACTCTGAGTTTCTGAACAAATAAAACACAGGACCACTATTTGACCTGCAGGTTCTGATGCTGTAGGCACATCAACACAGTGGTGCCACTGTTGTTTGTTTCTTTTTAGCTACTGTTCCATCCAAAGGCTTTTTGTGCATAACGTACCACTTCAAAACATTTATTGATGTAGGCTATAGAAATGGAAAACATCAGGAATATACACAATCAGGCATAGCATTATGACCACTGAAGAACAGGGTAAAAGGGGGCTAACAAAGTATGCAGAGAAACAGATGGACTACAGTCTGTAACTGTAGAACTACAAAGTGCACCTATATAGTAAGTGGAACTGATAAAATGGACAATGAGCGCAGAAACAAGGAGGTGCTCATAATGTTATGCCTCATCTGTGTATTATGAATGTCGACAACTTTTTTTTGTGTTCAACTTTAGCGGAAATATTTTTATTGATACCTAAATTGCTGTGGAAACATAAATGGAATGGTTTATTTAGAGAAAAATAAAATAAATTTAATGACAGATTTCCCTCTTGGTACCTCTAACATGAGACACAAACAAACTCAAACAGCATGGTGGAGGTAGTGCTGGACTGAGATTGAGCAGGAGACACTGGGCACAAAAAGTGAAAAGAAACAGTGATTGTCTGTATACACATAGAAGTGCACATTGATCTTAGGTGGAAAATGTACAGATCGCTACAAGGACAAGTGCTTTGATTTTACTTTCAATAAAGTAAAAAGATCAAATTTACTCTCTTAGGTCAGTGTCCTATTTAATCTGATAAAGTTATGGGGGAAATAATGTTTTATTTGATCACATTAATTCAAAATATCTGAGTCAATTTCCATTCTGTCTGCGGAATGGCCGTATGGGTTAGGCTTCTGTTCACTCGGCAGCCATCTTTACAGCGCCACAGGGCAGTTATTTCCAGCTATACAAGAGCAGACTTCTACCTTTTTGAATAAGGGGAGATGTAAAAACTCAAAAGATTTTTCAAAAACATGTTAGAAATCACCAGTAAAATCCAATCCACCAGTAATGTGACCTTTTGACTTGACTTGTTCTGGCTACCGCTATGGGGCACAATATCGTCAACCCTCCTCTGCTTGTGGTGTAACCACCAAGAAGTCTGGCTCTTTTTCATGAGGGATGTTACTTTCTTTGCAAACAGATGCCATGTTGAGCATTATGTGCTTTCCCACTCATATTTCAACCAGATCGGTCTCCTCCTTTATAATGTCTCTGGTTAGGCGCAGGTTTATGTTGGGGTTTAGAATTTGTGAAGCGTCACTTATAGACAAATGTAGGTGCTGTTGCAAAATGCTGAGTGTGTGCATTTGACCTGCTTGTTGCGTTTTTGCAGGCAATTCTTCACTTCAGTTGCCAATATGAAGCCAAAGCGACAGAGGAGGAACCCCAGGCACAGCAAATATGGCCACTGCAATAACTAGACAGATGAGCACACATTATCAACGGCTTCATGCATAAAAACAGTCAACAGTCAGCAGTTTGTGACACTCATACAAAATGAAAACAACAATTAAAAAAGCAGCGTTCTGGCTCAAATTTTGAAAATCTTGATAACTTTTGGTTCTTTTAAGCAGTGGTGGACGAAGTACACAAATCATGTGCTTGAGTTAAAGTAGAGATACCCAAGGTAAAATATTACTCCAGTAAAAGTAGAAGTTCCTCCCTTTAGACCTCCACTTGAGTAAAACTATCAAAGTATTTGATTTTGAATGTCCTTAAGTATCGAAAGTAAAAGTACTAAAAGATTAATTACGACTTTAATGTCCTATTACCGTTTTTGTAAGAAGACTCCTAAACTGCTTCATTAACTCATTTTAGGTGAAAATACTCCAGTGTCTCTCTTGGTAAACCAGTCTTTTAATAGAATGTCATTAATTAGTGACGCTGATGTCTATTAAAATTATCATAAGCACAAAACACTGAAGGCAAACAATTTCCTTTAGATAGAACCGAGTGGCTCTGAAATAACTGGGTCGGTATGACCAACAGGTCAAAACAAGCTCAAGACAAAGTGCGTGCTGTGCCCTGATTGGTGTTCTTCCTTCACGCTTCTTTCATTTTGACGTTACATTTTTATGCACACTTTGAAATGTAGTGGAGTGAAAGTAAAAAGTCGCCCAAAATGGAAAGTTGTGCAGATACACGAAAAAACTACTTAAGTACAGCAACGAATTACATTTACTTAGTTACTGTCCACCACTGCTTTTAAATCTGTTCTGAAGTACATGCATGAAACAAAGTGGTAATGACTGTCAGTATGCCATGTGTTTGGAATGTGAAAGCAGTCAAGAAATTCCACAATTGGTAAAACAGGAAATCTAGTCTACGTAATTAACGTAATTAATGTTACTTGACGATTGTGTTTGTGGTTGAAAATTTACTTCCAGTGAGCTCAGATTAAACACAATAAATTAACACGTTAGCCAATGCGACTCAAATGGACAGCAAAGACTTACACTGAGTTAACCAGCCTTCTAATATCAGTTCTTCATTGAGAACATGGCAGGAATCTAATTAGATCTAATTATAAACGTGTCTAAGGTAAAAAGTAACTGGATGTTTTTGAAAGTCTATATTTCATCATGAAAGAGGTAACTTGTCTGACATTTTGTGTCTCTGTGTTGTTGAAAAGCTTGTTTAGATTTCTGCATGTTCATGGTAGTTTTAGTGGAAGAGCCATTAACCTTTAGGAGATGTTTTCACATGGTGCTGTTAGGTTATTATTATTTTTTTCCATAAAAAGTACGAGTTGTCAGTTTACAGACATGTTATTGGTCAATTCGCATGGGATAAGACATTTCGGTTTGAATTACAGAGACGGCAGTGACCACTTTACAAACTGCTCTGGAAATAGAAAATATGCCAAAACATATTGTTGCGATCCACTACTGGCTGGTGCTGGCCTGTAGACACTCATGAGGCATGGCCATGCTGAAGGCCACGCCAGGAGGATCATGGGCAGTGCACACCCTCTAAAACTATTGTGTTGATTATGTTGTTGTTTGTCCATTAACCTCTTAAAATCCCAGGCTTATTACATACTATGGCTTATTATTCAGTAAGTACAGGGGCTTCGATGCAAACTAGCTGAGCTATTCTTAGGCTATGGAAGAGTGCAGTAACACTCTGGGCCTGCTGGGAGGCCCAGGCCATGTAAGGGGTTAAAGGTATGTGGTATGTGTTTATTACATTGTTCTATGTTGGGGAGTGGGTTTAGTTTGTGTGGGTTGGGGGTCACCATAAGGGTAAAGTCTACGCCCTTAGTGTTTAATAAAGAGTAATTCTCATGGTGGAATCTGTGTCTTACTCTGCACCGACACCACAATATAATTTAACAGCTTTTTAGTCTACCTTCAACGTCTTAAGTGAATGTGTTATTAGCACTGTCATTAGCTTGGGCATTCACAGCAAACAGGCAAAATTAAATATTCACATAAAATCAAACTTTTTTCTGTATTTTTACATATTTTTTTTGGCGTACACTTGAGGCAGGCCAGTAATTATCACATTGATTTCAGCCACAGAGAACACAAGTAAATGCTTCTTCGAGCCTTCATTCTTAAGAAACTCCTTTTCCACAGAATAAGAGCATTTTTACCGACATGTTGATTCACAGTCTGTAAAAATTATTGACATGGCGCTTTCGGATGGAATTAAATCATTGAGAAACATCAGTAATAATTACATTATCCTACCTACTCATGTAAAACTAATCATATCTGAATAGTGCTTTAGAGTATGAACCAATTTAGTGAAGGTTTCAGTTGAAATTAAACTATTAAACTATTTGCAACAATCAGTCAAAAACACTGTTGTCAACATGCAGAATTGAAGAGTTTTGTGATGTAAGCATGAAGTTAAGCTTTACAACCTTTCAGCTCTTGGAATGTTATGTTGTTCTTAAATGCAGGAAATGCACCAGATCTGTCAAGAGTAATGTAATTTAAGCATATTTCAATGTAAAAATGTTCCAGACACAGGCATTTTAGGATGTGTATTCAATTAAAAAACCGTGGCCATTTTCACCCCTGGTCCCAGCCCTGCCTAACAACGCTTGTAAACAAACGCCCGAGAAATCCTCAGCAAATTCTATGACTAAACATATTTAACTTGAGGGCGTTTGGCGGACAGTAGCCACGTTTACATGCAACCAAATAATTCTTTAATAATCCGACTAATAGCTCAATCAGAATAGAATACGTCCATGTAAACACCTCAATCGGAATAGTCTAGTCTGATCGACGTCATTCAGAATACAATTTCTAACCGACTGATCGAGGTGGGTAATCCTGCAAATAATCCGTTAAATAGAAGAATAATATCCGTGTAAACGCCTGTATCTGATTACATTCCCTATCGGAAAGTTTAAGTCCGTTCTGATCATGTTTGTCGCGTCATAGTGAAAGTTTATACCGTTCAACATGGCGGAGCAGAAACTGGTCTGCAGAGGAGACGAAGTTTATGCTCTGATCTTTAAAAGACGGCGGTGGGACGGACGTCCAGCTTATATGTCTCAGAACACGAAGTCTTCCTCTCGGCCTTCTTTAATAAGGACATGTGAAGGACGTTTTCCTGAGTCTGACATCATTTTAAAGCAATTAAAAACACAAGCGTGACAACTGAAACTCGGACTGGACCTCACATGATGTTCGCTGTCATGGTAACGTTTACTCTAAGTGGTGCTCCAGGCACGTGCATCATTTTGCATTGGATTACTTGTAATGCACATGTAAACAAAGATTTTCTATCGGATTGTTGAATAGAGTGAGCATATAAACACATCAGTCTGAATCTGTAATCGGATTGTATTCAATCGGATTGGCAAAAATCTTTGCATGTAAACACAGCCAGTGAAAGGAAGGAAACATGAATGGAGTGACTCTTTAGTGGTTGTAAAGTGGGAGATGGCAGCACACTCACCTCATCATAACACATCAAACTACCAGTAAAAGTACTTTCATCACAGAACTTGTGCGCACACTGGACATTCCACACTGCCACATACAACCTGGAGAAAAACACACAGAGAAAAGCAACAACTACAGCAGAAACCATCACAATGACCGCAGTTCCACTGCTGAGGTTGAACAGCTACAGAGCTGATGGCGGCTAATCTCACCGTGCTAGTTGTTAAAGCTGAACTATGTAAGGTTTGTGGATTTGGAGACCTCTCTGGTGGAAATGTGTAACTGCATGCAATGTGCGGAAGAACCCTTCCCATTCTAACGTAAACTTTCTAGCACCACTGTGTGTGTGTGTGTGTGTGTGTGTGTGTGTGTGTATGTGTGTGCGTATATATGTGTGTTGTGTGTGTCTGTATGTACCAGACAAGTGTGTATAACAGGCCTAAAGCTCCTCCCACTGCTCTGTGTGGTGTTGACAGACAGATGAAAAAGGGCAGATTAGCCAAGGCCACTTCAAACGCAGCCACCAGATACATGAGAGCTGAAAGAAAAACAGACACAAACACTCCACTATTACTCTATACTACATCTCTGTTCCATATTATCCTTCTGTTCTATACTGTACTTCCATTCCATACATCTAATTCATATTATACTTCTATATTTCTATTCTATACTGCACTTCAACACTAATTTCTATACTACTATTCTATACATCTTATATTATACCTCTATCCTATATTTTTATTCTATACTGCACTTCTACTATCATTCTTTTCTATATAAAATGTATATTCTATATTATAATTCTATTGTATACATCTAATATATATTACTGCTTCTATATTTCCATACTAAACTGCACTTCTGCACTACACTTTTATTCTATACATATATACGATAATTCTAGAATTCCATTGTATGCTCTACTTCAATTCCATAGATCTAATTCATATTATACTTCTATTCTATACATCTAATATATATATATAATGGTTTTATTCTATATTTCTATTCTATACTGCACTTCTACACTACACTTATTTTATACTTTTATACTACACTTGTGTTATACTTCTATTTTCATATTCTACATTATAATTTTATTCTATACATCTAATCATATTATGCTTCTATACTGCACTTCTACTATAATTCTATTTTATAATACATTTATATTCTATATTATAATTCTACTCTATACATCTAACATATTCTACACTACACTTTTTTCTACACTTCTATATTATAATTCTATTCTATATTTCTATTCTATACTTCCATTGTACACTCTATGTCAATGCCATACATCTAATATATATTATACTTCTATATTTTTATTCTATACTGCACTTCTACTATACTTCTATTTTACAGAATTATACATTTATGTTCTATATTATACTTCAACACTTCTCTACAATTCTATTCTTCTATATTACACTTCTATATTTATATGTTTCTATTCTATTCTGTAATCATTCTATACAATATTTCTATACTTCTGTAGTTTACTATACTTGTACCCTCTACTATGCTTCTATACTATTTCTAGTTTTTTTTCTGAAAGCCAGCATAGGCTCTATAAATCAGCTTAGGCTGATGATTATGATGTTAAAAGCTGAAATAAAGCACTGCATGCAAGAGGAAACATTCAAACTAAAACCCTGACACAGCATGAATGCTACACACTGAGCGCACATGGCTGTAATTTATTTACAACTAACTCAGCTATTATTCTAATTTAGGCCAATAAGTTAGTTAAAGCAACACTATGTAGGGTTTGGGGATTTGGAGACCTCTCTGGTGGAAATATGTAATTGCATGCAACATGCGGAAGAACATTTTGTAAAGTAAGTTGTGCTTCGGACCCCCACAAGCAGTTTCCACACTCATTGTCCATTTTATCAGCTCCACTTACTATATAGGTGCACTTTGTAGTTCTACAGTTACAGACTGTAGTCCATCTGTTTCTCTGTGTACTTTGTTAGCCCCCTTTTACCCTGTTCTTCAGTGGTCAGGACCCCCATGGAGCCTCACAGAGCAGGTACTATTTGGGTGGTGGATCATTCTCAGCACTGCAGTAACACTGGCATGGTGGTGGTGTGTTAGTGTGTGTTGTGCTGGTACGAGTGGATCAGACACAGCAGTGCTGCTGGAGTTTTTAAACACCTCAGTGTCGCTGCTGGACTGAGAATAGTCCACCAACCAAAAATATCCAGCCAACAGCGTCTGGGGCGCGTCCGTGGGCAGCGTCCTGTGACCACTGATGAAGGACTAGAGGATGACCAACACAAACTGTGCAGCAGCAGATGAGCTATCGTCTCTGACTTCACATCTACAAGGTGGACTGACAAGGTAGGGAGTGTCTAATAGAGTGGACAGTGAGTGGACACAGTGTTTAAAAACTCCAGCAGCACTGCTGTGTCTGATCCACTCGTACCAGCACATCACACACTAACACACCACCACCACCACGTCAGTGTTACTGCAGTGCTGAGAATGATCCAGCACCCAAATAGTACCTGCTCTGTGAGGGTCCATGGGGGTCCTGACCACTGAAGAACAGGGTAAAAGGGGGCTAACAAAGTATCAGAGAAACAGATGGACTACAGTCTGTAACTGTAGAACTACAAAGTGCACCTATATAGTAAGTGGAGCTGATAAAATGGACAATGAGCGTAGAAACAAGGACATAATGTTATGCCTGATCGGTGCAGAACTCATGGTTCTAAATAGAACCATTGCCTGTACTAAAGAACCCTTGAAGAACCATCTTTTTTTAAGTGTGTACTGTAGTATAATACTAATTGAATGTACCTATAAGCCATTTTGGCACGTTAAATGGTACAATGATCCCCAAGATCAGTTCGATCATTTGTGGAGCTGCCACTATGAAGGCAAACGTGTACGACCATCGGTTCCTCAGTGTTCCAGTGAAGTCCAGCGGCCTAGCAACAGCAAACACAAAGAACAGGTTTTAAATACACAAATCACACAGGAAAAAGAACTCCTAACTAACCTTGTGAGTCATATGGCTCCCTGGTGGTCACATGGAGTGGAGTCTCATCAATATTGTGCTTGTGTTTCTCGCTTATTATCATGATTCATTTTGAACGGCTTCTTGATCAGCTACACATCCTTTCAGACCCACAGCGCTGAGTCGTCTTCTCACAGTGGAAGGATGGACAGAAACACCTGTGGATGTTTTCAGATCTGAAGCAGCTTGATTTTCTCCTCTCTCTCAAAGATGAAAGCTTTAAGTGCTGTTTATCTGATGGGGGCAGTTTTGGTGTCGACCAGGTCTTCCAGGTGGTTGTTAGGAGTCAATCATTCAATAATTTGAACTTTTGCAAACTCATTTTCCTTTCAATTCCTCCTTCCTTATGCAAATGGATTATCTTCTATCTAATCTCTGTCTCTTCTATCTAATCTCTAATCTCCTAAATATCTCCTGAAAATTAATAACTTGTACTAAGTGGCTGTTTTGACTGGATATGAATAAATAAAGGTTGTTCTTTGAGTTTTGTGCAGTACTGAGTGTGAAAGCTCAATGGGTAGAACAGATTAGGCATGTTTATTTTTTGTATAATCAAGCGAAATGTTAGCATTGAGGCACATTTGTTGTTATTATGTCCATTTGTTGTCCATGTTATTGTGTTCAGTTAGCTACAACAACAGTCCAAGCTAGAAGCACAGCATTTAAACTGTGGTTCCCAAAGGGAAAATGTGGACGATCTGGGGGGCAAACATTCTTGGATGGGCACACAGTTTTGGAAGGTCACCGCTGTTTGGCAGAGTAACACGACCACAAGAGAGAATGTCTCACTTACACAACGATGCCGAATCGGCCGCGGAGGTACGGGAAACGCTCCTCAAAGGAGTAAACCTTGCCTCTGCGCTCCAAGAATGACATCAGCACAATGATGCACATCTACAACCAAAAAAACACAACAAAATCACATTTATTCACACACAAAGAGATATATGACAGGTAAGAGGGCAGGATTTTGATGATATTTAGGCCCAATCCCACCCTAACTCCGTTCCAAGGGGTAGTGGTTGAAATCTTGCCCTACGAAATGGGACAAACCTCAAATAAAAAGAACGCTGCTTCATTAACAGCTACTACTACTAACAGACTAGTACTACCAGAGTTTGGTAGTACAGACATGTCCAGGGCTTGTTGTTTTCAGTGATTAGCCAATGATGTCTAACAGGGCTCGAACTCTTCACCTTTTCAGATCCTAATTATGTTCCAGGATCTTGCTCTGTTTTTACTAATAAAGGCAGCCATAAATGATCACCATTAAGGTAGAAATTTGAAGTGGTCAGTGAGTGGAATTACAAGGTAGGGGTTTCTAATAAAGTGGTCAGTGAGTGGAATTACAAGGTAGGGGTTTCTAATAAAGTGGCCAGTGAGTGGAAGCACAATGTAGGTGTTTTTAATAAAGTGGCCAGTGAGCGAAAGTACAAGGTCGTTTCTAATGAAATGGACAGTGAATGCAAAATCAATGGATGTTCGACTGTTGAGTGATCAGCAGTTGAAGAGTAACTCACAGAAGGCAGAAGACAGACGTGCAGCAAATTTTCGGTAGAAACTTCACATGCTTCCTCTTCTTGTGTTGCATTTCTGAGAGGAAAATGAGAGAATTCTTTCAGTACTTTAAACACCTCAGTGTCACTGCTGGACTGAGAATAGTCCACCAACCAAAATTAGCCAGCCAACAGCGTCCTGTGGGCAGCGTCCTGTGACCACTGATGAAGGACTAGAGGATGACCAACACAAACTGTGCAGCAGCAGATGAGCTATTGGCTCTGACTTTACATCTACAAGGTGGACTGACAAGGTAGGAGTGTCCATTAGAGTGGACAGTGAGTGGACACAGTGTTTAAAAACTCCAGCAGCACTGCTGTGTCTGATCCACTCAGACCAGCGCAACACACACTAACACACCACCACCACGTCAGTGTCACTGCAGTGCTGAGAATGATCCACCACCCAAACAGTACCTGCTCTGTGAGGGTCCATGGGAGTCCTGACCACTGAAGAACAGGGTAAAAGGGGGCTAACAAAGTATGCAGAGAAACAGATGGACTACAGTCTGTAACTGTAGAACTACAAAGTGCACCTATATAGTAAGTGGAGCTGATAAAATGGACAATGAGTGTAGAAACAAGGAGGTGGTCATAATGTTATGCCTGATCGGTGTAAATATTGACTGTGCATTACAATCGTGCAGAAATGTGTTCCCCGTAGAAACATGGAATTTGACCAGAGGTGCACAAACTGTACTGCACAGTGAAATAGTCTAAAAAAGGCCTCGAATGAACATTAAACTCACTAAAAGAGTAGCTCAGGAATCTACCAGGCAACAGAGCTTCAGCTTCAGCCTCAGGTCAGTCACTGATTGCTGAATTAAAGCAACTTCCAGTCAAAGTCTTTTGAAAAAGGGCGTAAAGATTGGGTAACGGAATAGTGTGCAGAACGGGATCGTTACGTGAAGCGCTACATGTTTTGTGTAAAGTGTTCAAGAATTTGCTTACACTTTATTATAGGTTACTGATGCTAATGTAGCTAAAAAGATTAGCATGATGCTAACCGCATGCCGAAATCAAAGACAAACTGGTGCGCTGGCTTGATAAGGCTGATGGTATGCCACTGCTGGTCTAACCTCAGATCACCCAGTTTACTGTCCTGCACACAAAATCTAAGATTTTTATTGTCCGCAAACAGACTTTTATTTTGAAAAATACTTACAACCACTTACAAACAACTGAGAGCAAAAAGCAGCATTTTGTCGAACACGCTATTGGGCCACCAGCTTTGCTGTATCCTCTTACCATCTACTCATCTCAAAGCATGTGGAGCTGTTCAGTATCTCTAATAGACTTGATTATGGCTTCTGACACTGTATGACTCTAATGACCATTTTTCTAACGATTAATCTATCGACTATTTTTCCGATTAGTCGATTAATCGAAACAAATCACGCTTCTTCATCTGCCAATCCGATGGAAAGTCTGGGTTTGGCGGTTGCCAGGAGAACAGTACTTGTCTGACTGCATTGTGCCAAGTGTAAAGTTTGGTGGAGGGGGGGTCATGGTGTGGGGTTGTTTTTCAGGAGTTGGGCTCGGCCCCTTAGTTCCAGGGAAAGGAACTCTTAATGCTTTAGCACCGAGAGATTTTGGACAATTTCATGCTCCCAACTTTGTGGGAACAGTTTGGGGAGTTTGGCCCCTTCCTGTTCCAACATGACTGCGCACCAGTGCCCAAAGCAGCTCCATAAAGACATGGATGAGCGAGTTTGGTGTGGAAGAACTTGACTGGCCTGCACAGAGTCCTGACCTCAACCCAACAGAACATCTTAGGGGTGAATTAGAGTGGAGACTGCGAGCCGGGCCTTCTCGTCCAACATCAGTGTCTGACCTCACAAATGCGCTTCTGGAAGAATGGTCAAAAATTCCCATAAACACTCCTAAACCTTGTGGAAAGCCTTCCCAGAAGAGTGGAAGCTGTTGTAGCTGCAAAGGGTTGGGCCGACATCATATTAAACCCTATGGGTTAAGAATGGGATGTCATATGCGTGTGAAGGCAGACAAGCGAATACTTTTGGCAATATAGTGTAAGTAAAAATAAAATATTTGAAATATGACTACTGAAAGCAACAGAAACCGTTTTGGAGTTCACCGGTTTAACCCCATTGAAGAAGTCTGGTGTTTGACTCAGTGACGTAAAGAAGCTTCGTTGGCGGTTATTACGTGACTCCAGCGTTTGAAGCGAGGCACCGAATCATTGTATCGACACAACTTGCAGCACGAAGGGTCGACACTGATTCGATGTTCTGGTATCAAGCGTAACATCTCTACTGATTCAGCTCACCTGTTAAACTCACTATATAGTTTGTTTGCACTTTGTGAAGTATTGCCTTTGTTCCACAGAGCCTTACTGGGCCTTCCAGTCTGTTAGTTTGCTTTTCCATGTAGGACCATTGCTTTGTTTTCGACCTCGTCTTCAGCCTAGCCCTCTTTGTACTCTTGGTATTTCTAGTTTGACCGTCTTTTCTCGATTTTGCCAATTCGGCTTCTGACATTTGACTCGCTGACCCTAATTTTGGATTCTCCGATTGCTAATAAACGTATTTTACTTCAGTTTGCGGTCAGCTTAAATTACTGTAATCTTCTCAAATAATTGCTATTGTGGCAAACAGGAGTGAAATTAAGTACATTTGTTTTTTCACAAAACGTTTCTGTCACAGTTGTTACTCACGTTTGGTTCGCTGCAGGGAACGAAGTATTGTAGTCCTGATAGATGTCCTGATCGAAGTTCTGAGAAGAGAAAAGGCTTTTAGAGAGGTACATGGCAGGTAAACGTCATGTCTGTCTGTCTGCATTAAAATATTAAAATGTAATCAACAGGGATGCACAATGATATCGGTATTGGCTCAAATTACTTTTAAAACATTAAGGGGTCATCAATACTGATAGTAAGATTTTACTGACATTGGGAATATGTAGATGCATGTGATTGGTTTGGGAATATGTGGATGTATGTGTTTGACTTGGGAATATGTAGATGCATGTGATTGGTTTGGGAATATGTAGATGCATGTGTTCGGTTTGGGAATATGTATGTATGTGATTGGTTTGGAAATACATAGAGGTATGTGATTGGTTTGGGAATATGTAGATGTATGTGATTGGTTTGGGAATATGTAAATGTATGTGTTTAGTTTGGGAATATGTAGATGTATGTGTTTGGTTTGGGAATATGTAGATGTATGTGATTGGTTTGGGAATACATAGAGGTATGTGATTGGTTTGGGAATATGTAGATGTATGTGATTGGTTTGGGAATACATAGAGGTATGTGATTGGTTTGGGAATATGTAGATGTATGTGTTTGGCTTGGGAATATGTAGATGTATGTGTTTGGCTTGGGAATATGTAGATGCATGTGATTGGTTTGGGAATATGTAGATGTATGTATTCGATTTGGGAATTTGTAGATGTGTGTGTTCAGTTTGGGAATATTTAGATGTATGTGTTTGGCTTGGGAATATGTAAATGTATTATGGGTGCGGGAAAAACTCGATTCTTAGATGCATCGCGATGCGGACGTGAACGATTCTGAATCGATTCACAAGTGTCAAAAATCGATTTTCTAAATATTTAATTTATAACATAATGTTGACGGAACGCAAATGGTGGAACATGGAAGTGCGGAAGTGCAGCGCCCGGACAGTCTGTGGCGGCACATAATAAAAAAAACAACTGGATGAGCGAGAAATCCGACTGGCTCCCTCTGCATTTAAAGCCAGGTTAGGTCAGCAGTCACAACACAAATTATAAGAAGAGCCATTTTGTCCTTTCAACAGAGCCACAACATTTAATGTCCTGTATGTCTCAGTGTGTGATAATGTCCTAGTTTAGACTAAACAATATAAACGAAGCGCAGACTTACTTTGCTCTGCTTTAAGCTTTAACTAGTTATAGCCGCTTTCCTCCTTCCTGGTAGTTTGGGAATACATAGATGTATGTGTTTGGTTTGGGAATATGTAGATGTATGTGTTTGGTTTGGGAATATGTAGATGTATGTGTTTGGTTTGGGAATATGTAGATGTATGTAATTGGTTTGGGAATATGTAGATGTATGTAATTGGTTTGGGAATATGTAGATGTATGTGTTCGGATTGGGAATATGTAGATGTATGTAATTGGTTTGGGAATATGTAGATGTATGTAATTGGTTTGGGAATATGTAGATGTATGTAGATATGGATTGGTTTGGGAATATGTAGATGTATGTGTTTGGTTTGGGAATATGTAGATGTATGTAATTGGTTTGGGAATATGCAGATGTATGTAATTGGTTTGGGAATATGTAGATGTATGTGTTCGGATTGGGAATATGTAGATGTATGTGATTGGTTTGGGAATATGTAGATGTTTGTAATTGGTTTGGGAATATGTAGATGTATGTGTTCGGATGGGAATGTAGAGTATGTAATTGGTTTGGGAATATGTAGATGTATGTGTTCGGATTGGGAATATGTAGATGTATGTGATTGACTGCTGTGACCATTGTTATATATTTTGTGCAAAAAATCAGGATCTTAGGTTTTTGTGTGATACTTACAAATAACTCCCAGTTAAAGTTTTAGGCAGATAAATAACATTCAATAACATTAACTCTGAAATTGCATATATTCATTGTTACTGCTGTTTTGTTGCTTTTACTAATGCTATTATTGTGTTTATCACACTTACTGTTCCTCCTATAAACTGATTCATGCAATTATTTAAAACATACAAGTTAAAACAGAAATAGAAAAACCTACAGTGTAAAAAATGATGTGACGTTTTAACCTGGTTGCCTTCAAATTTTGAGTTCACTGAACTTCAAATAAAGTTAACAGAATATAAAACTCCAATTTTTGTTGCGTTAACTTATTATTTGAAGTTCAATTAACTCTTAACTACTTTTTAAAGTTAAAACACTGAACATCTTTTACAATGTGGACTATTTTTACTGCAATACATGAAGCTTGACATGAGGATTCACTAAAACTTAAAAACGTTTGTGCATCAGTTTGGTTTGAAAAATAATAGAAATTTTCCACATTTCAAAAGGACTATGTGGCTACTTCCTACAACTGACCGCAATATGGAGACGATTGTAACAAATGGCTGCTCTTATTGTGGAAAATATTAAATATTTACAAATGTTTTTGACTCTGGATTTGCTAGCATACCAATAAAAGCAACACGTGGAGAAAAATCAGATGTTTGTGTGGTAGTGCAGGAAACAAAAAAAAACAGTATAATAGATCCTTTTTCTAACTAATAATCAATTAATCGGCTTAAATGTGAACTGTAAATGTGAAAAGCTGTAAAAATAAAATGCATAATTTAGAATATTTATTTAGAATTACAGTGAGTAATAAGCAGATTATTATTATTATTAGTTTATTGTAAGCTAATTAACCCCCTTGCAATCTTATTACATAAGAGTCTTATTACACACTAAGGCTTATTATTCAGTAACTACAGGGACTACAGGAAGACTAGCTAATGCATTCAATGCTGTGACAAGACGAGCTGCTGAATATTCAGTCTTAAGGCTGTTACTCACCCAATGCAACGTGAAAAACCGACACGAAAATGCAGAACTTATAGACGTGAAAACGTTCATTCGAATTAACCAAATTAATCGAGAAAATCGCCCAGCACTAATTAGAAGTTAAGCACATTTCCTTTTTATCTCCTCCTATAAAATGACCATTCTGTAGATTTGAGCTTTATTCCAACAGTGACGATATATAAAAAACTACAAGCACATTTTTTGCCTTCTGTAAAACTGCCATTCCAGAGATTCTTCAGGAGATGAAAGGTTTTGTTCCGAGCACTAAGAGAACTGCATTAAACTGGTTTTAATCCTATTCAAGCGACCATTCATTTTCAGCTAGGTCTGGAAATTTCTCTTCCTCTACAGCATCCATTTACCTGTGGGGTACCACAAGGCTCTATTTTAGGCCCAATTTTATCCTCTCTATAGATGCTCAAATTAGGTTTTGTTTTTCAAAAATATAACATATCTTACCAATTTTCACGATACACAGCTGCACCTCCTACTGATCCCTGTTTGGTTTCATTAGGCACTTAAAAGTCAATTAACGTCCTCCAATTAAGCGAGCGCAAGTCATTTTATTTGGCTCCTTTGGCTCAATCGAAGGTGTTTGGGTCACTGGTCCACAAAGTTGCACAATAATGTAGCAATAATCTTCAGATTATCTTTCATTCAGCCCTAACATTCGGTAGAATAACTGATCCAGCAGAAAGAGCATGTTTAACCATTTTTTTCTAGACTATTGTGAGTGTCTCTACTTGGGACTCCATTTCATGTCAACAAATGATCATTTTTATATAATTTTTTATATAACAGTGAAGGCTTCTTTTATTCGTTTGTTTTTTTTGTTTACATTTTTTTCTGTCGTGATTTATGACCCTCTGACATACACCTGTAGTATTCCTTCAAGAAACGAACAAGAATGCGGAGACTGAAAATAGAGGCCACTAAGAGAGGGGGTGGGCGTCCAGCGCCGCACTGCGCACGCGCACGGCTGCTCTTATGCTGGATGCTTTAAGTGTGCACCGTCGTGGACACCGAGGGTTTCAAGCAGAGAAACACCAAAAAGACAGCGAAAAAGTCATGTTTACATGTCGTGCTTTGGTCTTAAGGCAGCCAGAAAACTTTACACACGTGATGTTTCAGTGTTTCCGATCTAAATATCGAATATTTCAGCTGTGAAAGTTTTAGAAAAGCGTTTTTTCGGCGAACTACAGCTTCGATCCAAGTGTTCAAACACTGAACGTGTGAATCTGAAACGGCTGCGAGCTGCAAACAACAGATATCGAGGCTTAAGTTCGCTACTTTATCGAATTATCCGCTCCACCTTAAACGGTGCGGCACTTAACGCTACATTCTGGCGCCTGAGGCCATTTAAGGTGGAACGGGGAATTCAATTAAGAAGCCAACAGGTCAAAATAGTGAGGTTAAACTTACAGTATCGTTTCTGTTCATCGCGCCTCTGAAGGAAAACGCTGTGAAACGCGTCGCTCGTGCTGTGCATTGATGTGCAGCGAGGCAGGCAGTGGGCGTGTACAGAGCGGAAAGAGGGCGTGGTCTTCTCATATGTCCTCTGCAGCCCAGTGAACGTCATGACCACAGCAAAGACCCCAGCATGACTGGTCAGTGAAGTCAAAGAGGGGAAATAAAGGGGAGTAAAAACTAACCTGCATGTTTACAGAGACAACTGAAGAATCAGTTTAACGCAATGTAATTTTCTCGAACATTTTCATCGGCTTACATCCCAAAAAAACAGTCCTAATTCATTTTTACGTAACCATTTTCCAGCCTCTCTTCATTCCCTAGAATTAAACATCATGTTTTTGTGATGTCGCCAGAGCCGGTTTATGAGGAGCCTGGCCTCTTCCTATTTCCCACATTATATCAAAAATAGGACTGCTAAACAGCAGAGGGCGCTCGCGAGTGAGTCCTCAATGAATGGGAGTGAATGGAGCTCAACTGCTAAAAACAAAAAGCTAAAATAGTTTCTAATCACTGAACCAGAACGTTTCTTTAATTTTAGACAGTAGAAGGATGGATTTCACTAAAAAAAACAAAGAAAACTCGCCTGTATGTTTCCTTTTTTGAAATGTTTTATGCTGTTCTGTGTTCAGGAAATGATCGCATTCTTTTACATTAAAAATGCTTAAACATTTATAAACTATGATTTTGCTCCAATGCTCCATATCAACCCATTCAGTTTGGACTCGCTCGGGAGCGCCCCCTAGCGTTTGAGAAACCCGGAAGACATTAGAGAGTGGTAATTCTCCTCTCTACCAGTTCTGATGTCACCTTCGAGGCTGATCTAAGCAAATGACCTCTCTTCTGATTGGCTGAAACACTCTATTTACATGCCCAACTAGCCATGAAATGCTGGCCCACTTCTGGCCCAAATCTGGATGCCAGATCTGTGCAGATGCTGCTACAACTGAACCAGAAACACCCTTATGAATAAATAAATAATAAATAAATTTTATCATATAGAATTGATTTATTGGACTCACTATTGAATTAACATCTACTGCGTACATTTGTTTTTCAGACGGATTATTATAGCTTTTTTTATCACTGTAAAAGCAAATTAAACACTGCTGGTGTTAATCTATTACGTGGACACTTATCAATGTGGTTTGGGACACAGCCCGACTTACTGTGAGCTATAAAAATGAACAAATCTTCACTGTGTAGCTGAACACAGCATGCATGTGGATCATGAAGGCATATGGACACTATATTGACTTCAAAAACCCAAGACTAGCAGTTCTTCATAAAAAAGAACAACCAAAATCATGAACAGTCTGTAGCGGAGTGGGACTTTGACACAGCACCTGTTGTCTAGAGAGGCTGCCGGCGTGTCCAGCTTCATTTGTATGGCTCACTGCAAGCCATTCTGTACCCACATCTACAAGACTCATCGACTGGACTGAAAGAAGCTTTGTGGACGTATTTACTGAAAAGATTTGGGTGACTATTGACGTCTAGTGTTTGTTAGCCTTGTAGCTCCTAAAGAAGCAAAACTGGAACACTAAACATGTCTTGGCATCTGGGGCAACATCTGGGGTCAGTGGAGAATGGAACCATCAGTGACACAGAAATGTTCTCAAGTGGTTTAATCCCAATGAGGTTCTATTAAGCAAAACATTCCGTCAATAATAAACATAAACGTATCCATTACAGACATCAGATACGGAGCACACACTGAAATTCACACACAAAGCAAACTGACCAGTAAAAAAAACACAGCAATCAAATTATAGACACGAAAAATTAGGTGATGCTTGTAGAGCGGAAATGTTTTTACAGCATGTCAGTGATCTGTAACTAAATATCTGCTAACTAATAACAACACTAATACAGCAGTATTGAAACAATAAGTACTCTGGCAAAGAAAATATATATATAATATATATATAATATAATATATATATAACACACACACACATACACATAAGGTAAAAAACAACAAATTATAATACCCTTCTCAAAATAATATTAATACTTAGAGAAAATATATAAAAATAGTACTGAAAAATCTTGCTTAAAAAACAATTCAATCATACACTTTCTTACGAGAATGAATCGCTACGAGGAAGGAATATAACAATAAAAAATAAAACTATTATATATATATATATATATATATATATATATATATATATATCATTGTTGTCGGAAGAAAACCTCGTATCTCCAAAATGGTAACTTTACAGGAGAAGGAAAAAACCAACTTTACTTTTAATGTAAGTCAATGGAACCAGAGTTTTTTCTAAGTCATTTTGGGCCGTTTCTTTTGGTCCATTCATCATGCAATTTACACACAATGTAAAGGGCAAAAGACATTTTCAAATTATGTTAAAAACTGAAAAACGACAAAAATGGAGATATGAGGTTTTCATCCGACATTATATATAATATATATATATATATATATATATATATATAGAATGACTGAAAACTCTGAATATATCCAATGCAACTTGAGAATATGGAATGAAATCTTACATCATCAAGGCATTTGCGTATTTGTCAGTTTGGAAACGCAAAACTTATTTTTCAGTAGCGACATGCAGAATTAGTCCCAAAATGAAAAGCAAAACCTCCACTACAGTGGTTTCATGTTGCTTGACCTCTTTCTTGTACATTTAGCGAATTTACCTAATTGAAATGCAACCAGAACAGTATAATGCAGTGCACACAGGTTTTTTTCATTGACATGCCGATTTAATGTTTTTTTAAAGTACTGCACAGTGGAAAACCTCATCTTAAAAACAAAAACATAAACAAACACTAACAGGTTTTGATGTGTCAGTTAAACTGGTGACAGAACCAGCTGCCGCTACCTGAAGGCTGCTAATTTTGACCTTGATATTAAAACCACTGAGCTTCTTTTAAAGCTGATTAGACAATATAAACTGAACGAGGCTTCGTCCTACAAAAAATGTCAAAAAATGTCAATTAAATCAGAGCATATAAACAACGTGCTGGACTGTCCTACATATTTACAGTATTTTAGTGGAGGTAGCCGAAGTATCGCTTTGTATGTTTCTCTGTAAATCAAATGTGGACGAAGAACCTGAGGCTCATGGTTTTACACTAAGAGTGAAGGTTCAGTTGACTTGACGACGGCCGCTGCGTCCACTTGCTGCATCTGCATCGTGGCCCAGACGACGGCCAGCTGTCCCTGGTTGTCGTTGTTGAGTTTTTTGCGCTTCCTCAGCAGGATGAGTTGGGGGTTCCTCAGCAGAGTGTAGAGGAGAAGCCAGCGGGCGCGGACTCTGACGTCTAGTGGGCTCGCTAAGGAAACAACAGAGGAAGATTTAGGGTGTAGGCTGTTCTGATTGGCTGGCTGTCTAATGCGTTATTCAAAAAGCAATCTGGGCTGAAATGTGGAACAAACGGGTAAAAGGAACGTGGAAAAATAAACTTCAGACGCTCCTTTCGGACGTGTGGATCCTTTTGAAGACTGTAATGATCCATTTCCTCCCAGACGGACAGAAACAGAACCACATTTAATCATTAAATTGTGTTGTAAGCTGAATGGGCGTGGCCAAACTGCTTCATGCGGAATGGGTGGAGCTAAACTGTTGTAGGCTGAAAGGTTGAGCTAAACTGGTGTTGGTCTGAAAGGGTGGAGCTAAACTGCTGTAAGCTGAATGGGTGGGGCTTAAACTGCTGTAGGATGAATGGGTGGAGCTAAACTGGTGTTGGTCTGAAAGGGTGGAGCTAAACTGCTGTAAGCTGAATGGGTGGGGCTAAACTGCTGTAGGCTGAATGGGTGGAGCTAAACTGGTGTTGGTCTGAAAGGGTGGAGCTAAACTCCTGCAAGCTGAATGGGTGGGGCTAAACTGCTGTAGGCTGAATGAGTGGGCTTAAACCGTTGTAGGCTGAATGGGTGGGCTTAAACCGTTGTAGGCTGAATGGGTGGGCTTAAACTGCTGTAGGATGGATGGGTGGGCTTAAACTGCTGTAGGATGGATGGGTGGGCTTAAACTGCTGTAGGATGGATGGTGGGGCTAAACTGTTGTAGGCCGAATGGGTGGAGCTAAACTGCTGTAGGCTGAATGGGTGGAGCTAAACTGGTGTTGGTCTGAAAGGGTGGAGCTAAACTGCTGTAAGCTGAATGAGTGGGCTTAAACTGTTGTAGGCTGAATGGGTGGGCTTAAACCGTTGTAGGCTGAATGGGTGGGCTTAAACCGCTGTAGGATGGATGGGTGGGCTTAAAGCACTGTAGGATGGATGGGTGGGCTTAAAGCACTGTAGGATGGATGGGTGGGCTTAAACTGCTGTAGGATGGATGGGTGTGGCCGAACAGCTGCACGCTAAATGGTCGGCACTAAACTGTTGTAGGCTAAACAGGCGGGGCTAAACTGTTGTAGGCTGAGTGGGCGGGGCTAAACTGCTATATTCTGAATGGGTGATAAACTTATCTTAACTCCACTCCCTCACAGAATGGGATGTTATACATTTAAAAATATACCCACCTTCTTTCCTTGTATATTGTTTCTGTAATTTAGCTTTCAGCCCACCACAAACACTTTGGCCCCCCAAAACAAAAAGTTTGGGCACCCCTGTTTTCTAGCGTTGATTCCAGACATTTGAACTGAAACGTATGTAAGAATGTGTGACCTACCTGAGGCGTTGTTCAAGCGTGAGTAAACATTGATGGCTGGCTGTCTCTCCACAGTGCGTTTGAGCAGCAGGTGGCAGAAACAGACCATAACCGGGTTGTTATGGTAATGATCCGCCATGATCATTCCGATCCACATACGGTAGCCTGCAGACACAGAAAGAACGAACGAATGAACAAACACATCAACAGTGTCATTGATTTGAAATACTTGCTGCTCCTCTTTTACTACTAAAATTCAAAATATCAATTCATTTCTGATTCAGCTCACTGGGGAGAAGTTTGGGTTCACTGCGTTTTTTCAGGGGGCTGGTTCAGGGCTTTTCACTTACGCCAGACATAGGCTACGTTCACACAGCAGGTGAAAGTGGCCCAAATCCGATCTTTTTCCTCATATGTGACACAGATGTGTGTCTGTGTGTCAATGTGAACAGATAAACACACTGAATCTGACATTTGGGACGCTTTCATATGTGGTACTGAAATCCGATACGTATCCGATCTGCGGCAATGGGACTCAGTCTGAACAGCCAGATGGGAATTTATGCGACTTTTACGTCAATCCAACTGAACATTCGTCATAATTTCGCGCCGCTGAGACTCAAAAACATCTAGTCTGATGTTTCTGTACTGAAACATTAGAAGAGGCTCATCAAACCGCTCCGTGTTCAAACGAACCCGAGGCTGCAGCGTCAGAGAACAGTTTAAAGAATCCGAGGACACGAACCAAAGAAGTGGCCGAGCCCTTTTTCAGCAAACTCGAGCACACTGTGGGTGATGAGTCCAGCTGTCAACCACTGGAACTTCACAATCTCTCCTGTGATGCTGGCAAAGACGAAACTGAAGCTCCGTGAGCGACTGGCGTTCGCTGGCCGTCATGACTGTTTACCTCTGGACGAGCCACGCTATAACCTCAGCGTTTAGTGTATCGACCTGGTCAGTGTTTACTAGCTCAGATGACCCAGGGGAGATCTGTATGTCATGTTCCACTGCTAAAGTTACTACAAAAGAAGTCTGAAGGAGTCGAGACTAACCATGATAGCTGAAGTTAGAAAGGATATTTCCACATCATTCACACAGTGTAGAAGACGACGACTGACCGTCATCTGACGGTAAACTGACTGGGTTGTGATTTACACAGCGGCTAAACGATTTCCCTCCATTTTTGAATGGAACTGTATTAGCAGTGTGCAGTATGGGCAATTCATATCACAGTATAATTAAGATTACGAACAGTTTCGGTATGTATCAACAGTATTGTGCATTTATTTATTTCTTTTTTTCTACTACTTTGGATGCCCCTTCACTTTTATTAACAACCATATTTAACAACTGAAGTAAATCTAAAATATTTTTATTGGATAAAATAATAAAAACAGAACTGCTACACAACTATTTTTGTTACGGGTGAAACACATTTCTCTAATTGAGCTCTAAGACTTGCACTTTATTCACCTTTCACAAGCCACATTTAAGCGCTTTCTCTTTAAATTTTACGTTTTGTTTCTGTATTCTGTTTTTATGTGCTTCCTTTTAATGATTAGGTTTTGTACTTTGTATCTATTTAATGCTTTATTATTCTATTGCATTTCTTTTTACTCTGTCTTCTGTTTGCTTTCCACTCTTAAGCCCTTTGCCTTCATTTTTATTTATGTACAGCACATTGAATTGCCTTTGAGTATACATATAAAACTTGCCTTGCCCTGAATGCAGCGTTCAGCCACTTCAGACAATGCTGTTGGGCCAAAATTTGACTCCCTTTCATGTGCACGCACATCATTCAGGTATATGGACTCTAGATTGCATTTGCGATTTGTGCTGCTTATATTTAAAACATGTATGTTTAGTCTGAAAATTCAAGATTAAGAGTTATTTATAAAAAGAAACAACACAAACCATAAACATGATCTGTAGCATTCATAAGCATGTGTGACGTGCATGTACATGAAAGGGAGCTGGGATGTTTATGGCTATGTTTACGTTGGCTATGTTTTTGTTTGTTTTTTCCCTTGTTTTTCTTGTTATGTCCTTCCCTGATCTTAATTAGGTATACGTTCATACACTCTTACAGATACCCATAACAGTGAGATGTCTTGCAAAGAATCTTCAGCCTGCTAAACACGAGTGAGTGAGTGAGTGAGTGAGTGAGTGTCATCTAATAACTGGGAAAAGTGCCTTGATCCATAAAAATGCACACCATATACACCGATCAGGCACAACATTATGACATGTCCTTGTTTCTACGCTCATTGTCCATTTTATCAGCTCCACTTACTATATAGGTGCACTTTGTAGTTCTACAGTTACAGACTGTAGTCCATCTGTTTCTCTGCATACTTTGTTAGCCCCCTTTTACCCTGTTCTTCAGTGGTCAGGACCCCCATGGACCCTCACAGAGCAGGTACTATTTGGGTGGTGGCAGAAGAGTAAGTAAAGTTTAGTAAAGTTTATTTATATAGCGCTTTTTACAACAGGTGTTGTCACAAAGCAGCTTTACAAGGAAATGAGCATTACAAAAAGAAGTCCGGGTCCGAGCCCCCATGAGCAAGCCAGTGGCGACAGTGGCAAGGAAAAACTCCCTAAGAGAAACAGGAAGAAACCTTGAGAGGAATCAGGACTCAGAAGGGGAACCCATCCTCCTCTGGTCGACACCGGATAGTAAACATTGTTAGTATAAAGTATTATAGTACAAAAAACAGGGTAAAACGTGAAGGAAACAATTAATTTGAATAGTTCAGTTCATGCAGCAGAAGCAGCAGAAGCAGCAGCATCAGTGGGGTCAGGTTGTGAGGGTGAGGTTTGCACGGTGAGCAGTGGCACCCGATCAAGGCAGCAGAGGCAGCAGCATCAGCAGCAGGATGGGCAGCTGTTCAACTCGGCAAAAGAAAGAGAGGAAAAACACAGTCAATGGGTGATTGATTAATTTGAATTAGTTTGAATGATTGATTGGTTCAAGTGAATAATTTTGAATAGTTCATGCAGCAACAGCAGTAGTATCAGTGGGGTCAGGTTGTGAGGGTGAGGTTTGCACGGCGTTGAACAGCAGGAGGCTCAATGTTGGTAACCCGGTCCAGAGGGCTGGCGAGCAGTGGCACCCGATCGAGGCAGAAAAGGCAGCAGCATCAGAACGCACAGGACGGGCAGCTGTTCAACTCGGTGAAGAAAAGAAAGGAAAACACACAGAGAGGAAAACACACAGAGTTAGTTCTGTAATGGGTGACCGATCACAAATTACAGTGTTAGCAGAGACTCTGGCAGGTATAGAACTAACAGGGAAAACTAATTACCAAAGGCTTGAATATACAAGTAGGTTTTTAGCCTAGACTTAAAGACTGAGGCTGTGTCTGAGTCCCGAACATTAACAGGAAGACTATTCCAAAGCTGGGGGGCTTTGTATGAGAAAGCTCTCCCCCCTGACGTAACTTTATTAATTCTGGGTACTAATAGTAGGCCAGCACCTTGTGATCTAAGTAGGCGGGATGGTTCATAGTGAGAGAGAAGTTCACTCAGGTACAGCGGGGCGAGTCCGTTTAGTGCTTTATAAGTCAGCAAGAGAATTTTATAATCAATCCGAAATTTTACTGGCAACCAGTGTAAGGCTGATAAAACTGGGCTGATATGGTCAAACTTTCTGGTTCTAGTAAGAACTCTGGCTGCAGCGTTCTGGACTAGCTGAAGCTTGTTAATGCTTTTGCTGGGACATCCAGCCAGCAGGGCATTACAGTAATCTAGCCTTGAAGTAATAAATGCATGAACTAACTTTTCTGCATCCTGTAGAGATAATGCATTTCTCAATTTAGCAATATTGCGAAGATGCAGGAAGGCTGTTCTAGTAATATTAGTTATATGTGTGTCGAAGGACAGATCAGGGTCTATAATGACACCAAGGTTTTTTACATATGAGCTTGATGCAACTGAGAAATTGTTAAGTTTAAGTGTTAGATTAGACAGTTTGTTGACAGTTTGTTGTTGAAGAGGATGCTTCTTCAGGTTCTTCAGTCCCATCAGTATATACATATATACATACATAAATATATATATATATATATATATATATAAATATATATATATATATATATATATATATATATATATAAACAAATATAATGTTATGCCTTTATGCCTGATCGGTGTACACTCTTCTCAGTTATTTACAGAAGATGACATGGCTCCACCAGCCACCAGCTCATATACTAACCTTAACCATGAGTGATAAAATGATAGCTACTGAAAATTAAAATTTTTTTTTCATTGCTAATGTGTCTTTGAGGTAATTCCCGAAAAAAAAATAATAATGAAGTTCTGTTCCTCAATCATACTTTAGCAGTCAAGGCTCGAACACAGATTCCTGCCCGATGTACCTTTATCCAACAGCTCGAAGCCCTTTGGCATGATGGTCCGATGGATGCGCGACACCAACAACAAACTGACGAAGACGCTACTCATTAGTCGTAAGACGCAGCTCCCCAGTCCCAAGATCACGTTGTAGAAGAAGAAGAAGTAATTGAAGTTGTGGAAGGCTTTCCTGGAGAGGCAATATTGATAATGTTAAAGGAATCAGTCAAACAAGAACCACAAAAAAACACGGTACAAGTGCCCACCTGTTTATCTAGCACTTTCACGTTCCTATACATTCTGAGATTAGGGAGCTCTTAGTCTTGCAAACCAGACTTCTGCTTATCATCAGAGGGTCTGGGGCATTTTGTCTCTTAACGTGACCAAGAACCACCTGCTTTGGCAGGAAAGGGCCGTTTGAACGACGTGTGTCCACAAACTGCTAATTTACCATGAGGTGTAGAAATGTACAAATTATGATCTGCAAAAAACTTTCCAGTGTCCACTAACTGAGGTATTTTGCCAACATTCTTCTATCACAACGTAAACTATCTGCTCCTGACCGAGTTCCTCTACGATCATTGTGCGATCAAGTTGGCGAACCTTACCTCGAGAAAGCTAACCACCAAGCGAAAGCTAACCAAGCAAACATAACTGGGCTATCAACTGGGCTGTCTGTCCATTCGTTCAACCAGCCTCACCAGCGTTCCCTGGATGCAGATCCAGTAGTAAAGAGAATAAGAACCTTCTTTAAGTCGTCTCCATTTAAAATCTGGATAATGTTTTTAGTGAGTGGACACAGCGGAGTCTACAACACCACCTGTGTGGTATATGTAGAGCATACTGCACTCTTTTTCCATGCTGTTGTGTTTGGTTCTGGTTCTGTGGAGGTAGGAAGTGTTGGATGCACCCACCCTCATTAGAATATTAGGCCACACCCAGACAGTTCTCAGATAGGTCTAAAAGATTTTAATCCACTATAATAATTAGATTATATGTCTATCTGGGCAACTGCTTGCAATCGTGTTTTCCGTCAGTGTTAACAACTGTACGACAGCAGAATGCAGCTGACAAACCCTGGTAGTTGTGGCTAACTTAACGTGCAAAACACATCAGATGGTCTGTTTTTACATTTGGGCGGAGACTGATTCTAACATCTCTTGGTGAACCTACAAAAAGCAACATGGGCAATTCTCCTTCATAAGTCAGGCTGCTTCCTAACACGTACCTGTGGTTGAGCGCGAGGGGCTTCTGCTTGTCCTGAGGCGACAGTTTGTCCTGCAGGAAGAAAAACCGAACCAGCAGGACCTGCAGCTTCAGCAGGGCGAGCACGATGAAGAAATTCGCCCTGTTTTTGTAACACATAAACCCAGAATCAGACTCCAATTCATATGAAAATTTTAAAGTGACAGTGAAGAATTTTGATTTATCATGTGTTTTTTTTAAATAAAAAAAAAAACTGAAAAAATGCTGTCGCATGTTTTCATGTCACTAAAGAAAATCAAAGGGAAAGATTCATAAACTTGGGCTTTAACAGCGCCATGGCATGTAAAATGTGTGGCGTGGTAAATACAAGTTATTCAAGTCACCATGGCAGATATAAGCCCACCGGTTTCCCTTTAACGCTGAGGTATTCCCCTGGTGTCTCAGGCAAGAGCCAATCAGAATCCACATGTAAGAGAGTTCATACATATAAAGACCCACACCAAGAAATCAAAACAAAGAAAAAGAGAAAGCCAAAGTCCTCTAATTATAACATTCCACTTTTACCTGTAGGACTTGTACATTAGCATGTTAGATTTCACTGTATGAATTCAAGCATTTTTCCAATTCATTGAAGTAATAATTTTTACAACATTTTTACCTTTTTTGTGTACCTTACATTGGTTGCCAGTTAAATTCCGCATTGAGTACAAGATTCTTCTACTGACATGTAAAGCTCTGAATGGCCTTGCTCCTCAGTAACCTTATTTCCTATTATCAACCGACACGCCCACTTAGATCACAAGGTGCTGCTCATTATTAGTACCTAGAATTAATAAAGTTACGTCAGGGGGAGGAGCCTTTTCATCCAAGCCCCCCAGCTTTGGAATAGCCTACCAGTCTGTGTTCGGGACTCAGACACAGCCTCCATCTTTAAGTCTAGGCTAAAAACTTACCTGTTTAGTCGAGCCTTTGGTTAATTTGTTTTCCTAACTATGTCCCTCTTATCCCCCCTCCCCCCTACCCCTCCCCCTTTCCCCCTGCCCCTCTCTTTCCCTGAGCTGAGCGGCTGCCTGTCCTAAGAGGGTCTGACCTGAGATGCGGCTGGTGCACTGCACAGTGGTGTTAAACTGTATCCACTTATACTGTTTTGTGTCTGTCCTCTTATCCGGTGTCGACCAGAGGAGGATGGGTTCACCTTTTGAGTCTGGTTCCTCTCAAGGTTTCTTCCTCCTGTTGAGGGAGTTTTTCCTTGCCACTGTCGCCAAGGCTTGCTCACTGGGGGACCCGGATTCTCTGTAAAGCTGCTTTTACAACATCTGTTGTAAAAGGCACTATATAAATAAATTTGACTTGACTTTTAACATTAGGGGTGTAATGATACGAGTCATGATGCGATACAAACTGCCGTGTTTGCTTCACACTGTGATACAATATAATTGCGATACAGAGCTAGAAGAGAAATGATAAATTTTTTGGGTGTTTTTTTCCAAGATTTTTTTTCACATTTGAGAAATGGAGTTATAATAACCAGCTGCTGTGACTCGGGTTCTCTCCTCAGTCTAACCAAGATATCTGGGTGATGTCTTTACTAATGAGTTGAGGTATCAGCATGTGTATTTGACACACACACACACACACACACACACACACACACACACACACACAACATCGATCAGTCCACCAGTTTTTGACTGTCATTACGGTCAAACATTCACATTTGTTAACACTGCTTCTTTGAACATGACTCAGCAAGAAGAGGCTGTTTAAAAGTACAGTGTCAGATAAAAGCGACTGGAATCTGTTAATAATCTCTTCCTATGGAACGTCTACATTTGCGTTTCTGTGTTTTTGCCTCGCATTAATAGGAAATATTATTTAAACAACATCGCCACCTCACCAGGGAAGTTACCCCCAGAATTGTTCAGGTGTTGTTGTTTGTTAGATTGTGTCGTGTTACGAATCCCAGCATACGTAAAGGAAACAGTAGTGCGACGATGCCTCACATTGCGCGAACACGGAAAAACAAATCTGGTAATCCTTGTTTGTGGTACGAGTAAACAGGTTCCTGCTGTGCTATTTGCTCTTAATGTCAGCCAATCGGGCGGCGTGTTTTATGAATCTGGCCCAAAGAGTTTGAGTCTGTAGGCGGAGCCTTATTTGAGCCATGCACCTGCGTTTTAGAGCAGGAAGTGAGGCTGCATCCCTGTCCCTCATGGCCACAGTTAGATCCCGTTGTTTTAAAGTAAGTGTGTCCCAGAGTTTGAGAATCAGTGCGGAACATTCAGTACTGTCACTACCGAAACACGCATTTTCTGCAATTAAGCAACTTTTGTGTCTTAATGAATGACAAATGATGATTTTATGTGTCTACAGCTGTTCAAAGCTGTGTTTGCTAGTTATGTACTGGCTTTTTGAATTCTGCTCAAAATGAATAAAAATAGTCACTATCGAAACAGTCACTACTGAAACGTTTGTTAAAGTCATTCTGGTAGTGACAAAATGGAATGTTTATTTTATTAAAACTAAGGATTGAGGCCCCCGAGTGGCGCAACCGTCTAAGCGTTGGCCCTGTCATCAGGAGATCGCGAGTTCGATCCCTGGTGATGATACAGCCGTCCGTAGCCGGGAGTCCAAGAGAGCACAATTGGCCTCGCTCTCTCTGGGTGGGTGGGATGGCCCCTCCTTCTCCCCCCATCACTCAACACGATGCTAGTCAGCGCAGGCGTCTGTTAGCTGACGTAACAGATCTGGCGGTTGGCGCTTTCCTCCGAGCGCGTTCGGCTGTCCAGTGACGTTGCGTGAGCGGCAGTTCGAAAAGAAGCGGTGGCTGGTTTCACAGGTCTCGGAGGAAGCCTGTGTTAGCCTTCACCCTCCTAGCGTTGATAGCATCGTGTGATTGGGGCGAGTCCTAACTAGCGGGTGGAATTGGAGACGACTAAATTGGGGAAAAAAAAAAAAACCTAATGATTAATCATAATTAAAGTAGAGGGTCACCTAAAGCAAAATGATCTTAGTCTAAGGTCCTAATCAGTTAAAAGTCCCAAAATGTGTTCTCAACTCTGACTTTGATCCCAATTCAGTAGAACAATCCATGTAATCGGACAAACAGATGGGTGAAAAGGAAAGCAAGAGTGAAGCGACCCTGATCTGTTATGTGTGTAACGGACTGTGGACGTACAGAAAGATGGTCACATCAATCAGCCAGGTGAAGAATCCTTGTTTCCGGATTGGGATGACCACCAGATGCACAAATACCATCCCAAACACAAAGAGGGCGAGGTGCACCATCACGTAACCTAAAACAAATACAAACACAAAAACACCAAAAGCAAATACATTTTTTAAACTGCTTTAACTCTACTTTGACTGTAGTGTAACACCAGCTTGCAGGGTGAAAGATACGTGCTAACAGGGAAATTTGAACATTTCTCCGCTATTCGTTCATTAAGATGTTAAAGTGTTTCAGAGTGGTTTGGTGCAAAATGCTCTATTTTAGAGAAATTCACAGATTTCTGAATTTCTGAAAGTTTTTGAGGGATTTGGCCCAAAATTTCACATATTATAGTTTGACAGGTTACAGTAGAATTCCAAATCGCACCTCTTTTCAATGTACATGAAAGTTCAAGACACTACGTTTGTTTGTGATAGGGGAGTTCGACTGGCCACGAGTCGGGGACTTTGTGCTGTGATAGGGGAGTTCGACTGGCCACGAGTCGGGGACTTTGCGCTGTGATAGGAAGAAATATGTTAAAACCAGCAAGAAGATGAACAACAGCAGAAAAGCATCCCCTGCAATGAGCAGTCATTCAAACCAAATCTGATCATACTCACCCCACAACGTGAAGGCGATCTGGCAGCCAGGGTACCTTAGGAAGGCAGCCTGCAGGCGGATTTTAAATCTGGTTGTTATTCATTATTATAAGCATTTCACAATGAGACAGCAAATGAGTCTATAAGGCAAATGTAGGGTAATAATAGTAATATTTATATTTATATTGCACACTTTTATAGCAGAGCATCTAAAGGTGTTTCATAATCATGAGTAAACGCATGAATGCACTAAACTCCGTAGTGCAAGTGGATCGCAACCTGGACACAGTCGCTCTTACCACGCTAACAGCAGGGTTCGCTGTGTGGTACTTCTCTGGCAAGAAGCTTCTCTTTCCTGCCCACAACCTCTTAATGTGCTTCCTGTGAAATAAACGAGAGCGATAAGACATCTGCTGGGCTGTTCTAGATTCCAAAGCAGAGCCGATATCTCTGAGGTGCTTTGTGACTTCAAATGATTTGAATGGATAAATGGATTAGTGAAAGGCCATGAGAACTGGACCTTCATTTGGTTCTCCACGACAGTAAATGAGACTCTCTTATTTAAAACCACAACAAGTCACTTCCAATTTAGTGTAATTCCGTTCAGCGCTCACACATACCTGTAACACACCAGTACGTGACCAACGTGGGCTGCAGACGACAGTACGGCTAAGGCTGTTGTGACATACCAGGTATCTGGAAATCAAATGAAAATAGCTTTATTTAATATTTAGAGCACCACATCATTACCGCAACTCTGACTCCTCTAACCATGCTTCGATTAGCCACAGGTGACCAGCGGGACGCTTCAGAGCATGGGCATCAACCAGTGTGACTCGGACTCGCACCCCAGAACCTCCACTTGGACTCTCACAGCACAGAAACTAGAGACGCAACTCGGACTTGTACCCCAGAACCTCGACTTTGACTCACACTACACAGGAACTAGAGACTCGACTCTGACTTGTACCCCAGAACCTCGACTTGGACTCACACTACACAGAAACTAGAGACTCGACTCTGACTTGTACCCCAGAACCTCGACTTTGACTCACACTACACAGGAACTAGAGACTCGACTCTGACTTGTACCCCAGAACCTCGACTTGGACTCACACTACACAGAAACTAGAGACTCGACTCTGACTTGTACCCCAGAACCTCGACATGGACTCACACTACACAGAAACTAGAGACTCGACTCTGACTTGTACCCCAGAACCTCAACATGGACTCACACTACACAGAAACTAGAGACTCGACTCTGACTTGTACCCCAGAACCTCGACTTGGACTAACACTACACAGAAACTAGAGACTCGACTCTGACTTGTACCCCAGAACCTCGACTTGGACTCACACTACACAGAAACTAGAGACTCGACTCTGACTTGTACCCCAGAACCTCGACTTGGACTCACACTACACAGAAACTAGAGACTCGACTCTGACTTGTACCCCAGAACCTCGACATGGACTCACACTACACAGAAACTAGAGACTCGACTCTGACTTGTACCCCAGAACCTCGACTTGGACTAACACTACACAGAAACTAGAGACTCGACTCTGACTTGTACCCCAGAACCTCGACTTGGACTCACACTACACAGAAACTAGAGACTCGACTCTGACTTGTACCCCAGAACCTCGACTTGGACTCACAACACAAAAACTAAAGACTTGACTCAGATTCACACAACACAGAAACTAGAGACTGGCTTGGACTCACACCCCAGAACCTTGACTTAGACTCACACAACACAAAAAAGTAGAGACTTGACTCGGAGACTCACACCCCAGAAACTAAAGACTCGATTCGGACTCGCACAACACTGAAACTAAAGACTCAACCCTGACTCGCACACCAGAAACTAGAGACTTGATTTGGACTCGCATGACACAGAAACCAGAGACTCGGCTCGGACTTGCACCCCAGAAGCTAGAAACTTGACTCAGACTCACACGCCAGAAAACAGAGAACTGCCTCGGACTCCCTCCCCAGAAACTAGAGACTCGACTCAGACTCACACCCCAGAAACTAGAGACTCGACTCAGACTCACACGCCAGAAAACAGAGAACTGCCTCGGACTCCCTCCCCAGAAACTAGAGACTCGACTCAAAAAATCAACTTAGACTCCATTAATAGAGACTCGACTCTGACTCATAGATTTTTTTTGGTGTTTACTTACTATCAGAAATAATTTTAAAAGCAGCTCAGTTAAATCAACAAATCTTATTTTTTCATAGTGTACAAATGTGAGAAAGTACTCAGCCCACAATTCAATTATCATATTTTTGCATAACTGTATCACAATGGTACAATGCATTGTTACACTCCTAGTCAGAAGCTGTCCCTAATTGGTCAGGAGCTCACCCTGGTTGGTCCAATAGCTGTTTATGATCCAAAATCCTGCCCTAGAGCAGGTTAGGCATGCAGTATCAGTTGCCATGGTAATGCATCTTGATAAAAAGTGATCAAGGAGCACGAAAAAAGAATTAAGCCTAAAGTTAGCAAGATAAGAAATCGTCTTTTGGAAGACGAGCCCCAGGTAACTAACTTAAGAGTTAAATCAGGTGTTTTGAGCAAGGAATCGACTAAATTGCGCTGGAATCCAACCCTAACTAGACCAGAGTTTGACGTGTTTCTTTACTTTCTTGAATGAGAAACCAGGCGTTCCTCAAAAACTCAAATTAACTTGATATATCGGACTGGTTTTACCCATTTTCAAATGACTTGATTCTGTCAAACCAAGGAGACAATAGGTCACTTATAGTCTTCATAACTTCAGAACGGTTTAAGCTACAGACATGATCCACATATCAGGCCATTCAGCAGACGCCCCCCTAACTAGTTATGTGACGTCATCGAGCTGTGATGTCAGCATCAGTGAGTAATTCGGCTCGGAAAATCACCCAAAATCCTGATATTATTGCTCTGCTGTTTGCCCTTCATATTCCAACAAAGGGTTAAAACAGCGACATGATTCACACATCAGATCACTCATCAGACTCCGCCTCACCATCCAGAGTGATTTCATCCACCTGTGAGCATCCATCAACCAGCAATCCAACCAGAAAAGGCAATAAAATGGCGAAAAAAAGGCGATAAAACTGCAGTGTCCCATTCAACACTTTCCCTCTTTCCCTCACAATCACACAAACAGGCCCTAAAACACATTTTGACATAACAAATATGACAAATATATGATTATAAAATGAATAATATTCAGTTCTGTCTTTCAGTCTACAATGATTTTAAGTATTAAAAATATCTTATATTAAATATGCAGCTCAATTTGTAATTAAAAGTAAAGCCTGTCTTGCTGTCTATCAGAGTTTTAGCACTGAGCCTGAATCCAAGACAACAGAAAATCAATAAAAAAAACATGTCCGCCTTATGTTAATTGTTTATTTTTACTAATAATAACTAATAGAATTAATCACCATCAAAATTATTGCACTCCAGACACTCACAGACACTCCAGACTAACAATTTCTGAAAAGATTCACAAATTCATAAAGATATCAAATCTCTGTTAGCATTTATATGTCAAACAATGGCATTTCTGAGCAGCCCAGGGTCTCCTGAAAATAACAACATATGGCATGTGTGACTGTCACATGTGAATATTTTATAATTGCAATTGTAACTGACCCAAAAAATACCAAATAAATTCCCAAACATTTTAGGGTTCTAAGGGTTAAACTGTAGTTTTAGACCAAGAATGTGCCTTTAACTAAGGCTATAAACTTAAGCAGGACGTCATGCAAGGTTAAGTCCCAGTTCCAAAGGTTCCAGCTCCATTAAGAACGGAGAGAAGAGAAAAAAGACAAAGTAGGCCGAATGTATGGGTGAATGAATGAAAAGGAAAAGTGATCTCACTTGTGGCGTAATCCAGATGTTCAGTCCAAATACTGGGTCTTTGAAATAGAGAGTTGATAAACCTGATGACCAATGAAGTCAAAACTTGCTCAGATGAAATGAGCTACAGAGAAAACAAAGGCAAATGAAATCAAACACACACCCTCATTAATATCACTACAACACATCACATGATCTACAAATACAAACACAGAACATACCAGGTAGAGTCCGATGAGGGAGATAATAGTGGTGGCGATCATTCGGTTGGGGAATTTAAAATAAGGATCCCAGTCGTACACATTCCTCTGGAACCAGCTCTTCTCCAGTGACCTGGAGTGGAACACGAGGGTCAGGCTGTGCAAAAGTCAGAGACCACCCTTCGTTACTTTAACTTATAAAACGACCATTAAGTACAAGCTATTCTTTTTCCATCCGGGATCCCCTTGCAGAAAGGCAAAGTCAAAGGAAAACAGGTCACAAAACAGGAGCTTCGAAAACCGATTAAAAGCTACAGAGAAAATGGGCCTCCTAACAACCACCTGGAAGACCTGGAAGACCCCAAAACTGTCCCCATCAGATAAACAGCACTTAAAGCTTTCATCTCTGAGAGAGAGGAGAAAATCAAGCTGCTTCAGATCTGAAAACATCCACAGGTGTTTCTGTCCATCCTTCCACTGTGAGAAGACGACTCAGCGCTGTGGGTCTGAAAGGATGTGTAGCTGTCAAGAAGAACCTCACTGAGAAAAGGAGACGCATCAGGAGATCGCGAGTTCGATCCCTGGTGATGCTACAGCCGTCTGTAGCCGGGAGTCCGAGAGAGCACAATTGGCCTCGCTCTCTCTGGGTGGGTAGGATGGCCCCTCCTTCTCCCCCCATCACTCAGCGCGATGCTAGTCAGCGCAGGCGTCTGTTAGCTGACGTAACAGATCTGGCGGTTGGCGCTTTCCTCCGAGCGCGTTCAGCTGTCCAGTGACGTTGCGTGAGCGGCAGTTCGAAAAGAAGCGGTGGTTGGCTTCACAGGTCTCAGAGGAAGCCTGTGTTAGCCTTCACCCTCCTAGCGTTGATAGCATCGTGTGACTGGGGGAGTCCTAACTAGCGGGTGGAATTGGAGACGACTAAATTGGGGAGAAAATCGGGTAAAACAATCAAAAAAATAAATAAATAAAAAAAAATAAAAAAAGAAAAGGAGACGGACACATCAAACAAAGAAGCTGAACAATGGACTGACCACCCCAGAGTCCAGACCTCAACACCACTGAATGAGTTTGATTACTTCAGAAAATGATCAACCAGCTTCTAAGCCTGAAATTTAGAGTTGTTTAAATATATCCCTTCCGATTTCTTTGAAAGTTACAATAGTGGAAAGTGAATTTTGGAAACCTGTAAAGATTATTCTCCTGAGGATGTTCGATGCCAGAGTTGGTCAAGACAGGCAATACTGGGAAGAAGGTGGTTTGTTAAATGTGCCTGAACATAATCATTTCATCACTGGGACCCTTGTTCAGCCAGAAAAAAACAAGTTCAAGACAAAAACCTGGAACTTAATAGGGCTTTTTACTGATTCAAAAACACCAAATCAGCTGCTGTAGTGAGGCCTTTGCTTGACTCAGGAGCACAATCTCTGAAGACCAGTAGAAGAAATCAGCAACACCAGCCTCTTTAAAAACTGCCACCACTATGATTTGTGTCTCCCAAAGCAGATCCTCTACTTGCAGCTATTTGTGGGCCACCAGAGCCTGGGTGATCAGAAAAGTAATACAGGAATAACATCAGAATCACTGGGAAGACGCAGCACAAGGTAGAGCCGTATGGAAGAAAAGCGCTTTCGAAAAAGCTACACTCTAAGAAAAAGACCTCCAGAAAGCTATTAAAGGCAAGTAAATATGAAGCTAGAAGAAACTGGCATTCAAGAAGGTTAGCAATGCCCACACGGCAGCAGAGTCAGTGGCTCCAGGATGGTTCTTTTCAGCCAGACGAAGACCCACAGAAAAGACCCCTCAGGAGGACCATCGTACCTGGCCTCGACAATTGAAGATGACGATGCTGGTGTGTGTGTGTGTGTACCTTATAGGAGGCCGTCTCAGTAGTGTTTGAACATATCTGTACTGATGGGACTGAACAACCTCATCCTCTTCCACCTGAAGAGACAAACACACAGAGAGACAACACAGCAATTTGTAACATTTGTCACTTAAGGTGGTAAAAACAGCAGAATTGCAAAGCGCCACCTTAAAGGAGTCCGTATCTCTGAGAGTCTTATGTACTGAGCAAATGCCAGGCAAACGCAAAAGGCAGTTCTCTTCTCATACAAATACATTTGAGGGATGATTCTGCGCAAAAAGGTGGGTGGAGATATGACACAATGTCTGATTTACTGGCTTGATGTACTAAAGTCACAGTCTTCCAGTCACAGTCTGGAACTGAGGAAGTTCTTTTCCCAGTAGCTAGAGGGCAGTGTCGACCCTAGTTTTCTGTTTAAGAGCAATAAGGGCTCCAGAAACATGTTCCTTTAAACCTCTGTAGGGGAATTTTACACTGATCTCCTTGTTTCTACACTCATTGTCCATTTTATCAGCTCCACTTACTATATAGGTGCATCCACTCAGACCGGCACAACACACACTAACACACCTCTCCACATGAACCAGGAGTGTTGGTGAGTTTACGTGTTTGTGTGCGAACGTCTGACCTGCGTGGCGTCTTTCTTCAGGCGGTTGTGCACATCTTTCGCCAACATCGAGCCAAACTGGAGCAAGAGGAACCCCAGACACAGGAAATGTGGCCACCACGTTAACTGCACACATCAGCAGAGACATGCTTGGCTTGCTTTTCCACCAAGGCTAATGTTGCCAGCAAGTAACGGCACATGACCAATTAGCATTGTGCTAACCGTATGACCGAATCATCACACTCGCCTCCAACTGTGTATTTTTTTAATGAATTTGTGCAGAAAGTGGATGGAAACACAGCTACTGACTCGACGTTGTTAACAAATCTAAAACTCTGGGAAATGCACACAAAATTCATAGTAAAAAAAAATAATAAAAAAAAAAAATTAAAAAAAAAAGGGGTTTTGTCTTTAGAAGATCTGGCAACGCACTCACCCATTGGTAGCACATAACATTACCAAGGAAATGACTTTCATCACATAATTCATGAACACAGCGGGCCTTCCATACTGCCACTATCAACCTGGAGAATCACACAGACACACAGACTCAAATCATTACTATGAACAAAAAGGTTGTGTGTATGAACCAACCTTAAATCCCACAGGTTGGGACGGCGTGTGAAACGCTAATAAAAACAGAAACCTTGTTGCCGTTTGATCTGTATTTAACTGAAAGCAGTGCAAAAGCATTTTACTTGATGTTTAACCTCACTTAATGATTTTCATGTATTTTGAGTTTTTGTAAATATATGCTACGTTACAGATATGACGTGGATGTTCACCACTTTGTTGCACCTTTCTTATAATCATTTGGGGACCGAAAACACCAATTAATTCAGCTTTGAAAGCAGCATTTTTTGCTATTGTTCCATTGTACAAATCTTCAGCTTGGATTTTGAACTTTACGCTGGTAACAATCTGGATGTTGGCTTTTCTTCGTTGACCCAGGGAACACAACCTCCATTATTTCCATAAACAATCTGACTCATCAGACAACAATACACGTTTCCAATGCGCATTAGTCCATTTCAGATGAGCTCAAGTCCAGAGAGGTCAGTAGCGTTTCTGGACATTGCTGACTTATGGCTTTGACAGCTTTGCCGTTAATACACAGATTTCTCCAGAATCCCTGAATCTGTGAATATTATTATGCACTGTGGAGGCTGAAATACCTGGAATCCTTGCAGTGTCTTGAAAACTGAATCTGAATGTGTCCATTAACATCTCCTATTATCATATGCAGATAGGAGAAATTGGTGTTATATGAATATGGTGTGACACCAGTGACGGTGACTCCAGTGACATTCTGGTTAAAACTGAGGATTTTGTAAATTTTCATTGGTGGTCAGGTGACCTTAAAATCAGTAATATAAATGATTATTGGCCTTATTTTAATTACCCAGCCATTAAAGCACATAACACGGGCGACACATAGAAGTTATGAGCTGCCTGATGAACAAAATTATTAATAAATTAATGAGCGAGTGTGACTCGCCTTCTCATGCCTTGAGATGCTTCCTCTCTGATCAGCCTCAACCCAAAGAAGCAGTTTAATACAGTTTAAAATACTGTGTTAAAATGTAATAAGAGTCCTGCTAACAAGAGTGACCAAAATCTCTGCTACAAATGAATTTTTAAAATAAAACACGTTTTTCAAATGTAGTATAACGTTAATGACAAAATATACAAATTCTTAAGTTAAAATATTGTCTTATATTCAAAATGGTTCTGCAAATGTTGAAAGTCAGTTTTGTGATGAGCTGTTTCACAGATGCAGAGCGACGATGAAACGGGATAAAAAAAGAAACATCAGAGAATCATAAGGAAAATTATTATTGAATATTAGGTCAACTGTGTAAATGTACATTCCGACTTTTGCCTACTATTTTAAGCATCTTTTTAAGCCCTGCCACCTTTGTGACATGGTTTCCCCTCCAACTGGAGAACGACCCATATATTTACAGAATACAATGAAGTTGCTAAGATAAAACATTACATGGTAGATTTACAAATCACTGCTTTCTGTTGTTATTTACGTTTCGCATAGTGTCACAACTTTTCTGGAACTGAGGCTTTAAATGTTTCTTATGTATATACAGGTAAATGTGGGCGTTTGTGTATGAGTACCAGACAAGTGTGTATAACAGGCCCACAGCTCCTCCCACGGCTCTGTGTGTTGTTGACAGACAGGTGAAAAAGGGCAGATTAGCCAAAGCCACCTCAAACGCGGCCAACAGATACACAAGAGCTGAAAGAAAGACAGATAAACAGTCCAACTGTGAGCCAAGGCAGGATTTTACACTGTATCATAGAAATAACGTGGTATAAATGATTAACTTGTCTTTATAAAATATAAAACTTTATAAAAACTAACGCATTTTTTGTTTAGAAAGTAAATTCACACATAAGGATCAACACCATCTACTAACGTTTGTCTTAGAAATAAGCATTTAAGCACCGGTCAGGCATAACATTATGACCACCTCCTTGTTTCTACGCTCATTGTCCATTTTATCAGCTCCACTTACTATATAGGTGCACTTTGTAGCTCTACAGTTACAGACTGTAGTCCATCTGTTTCTCTGATACTTTGTTAGCACCCTTTTACCCTGTTCTTCAGTGGTCAGGACCCCCATGGACCCTCACAGAGCAGGTACTATTTGGGTGGATCATTCTCAGCACTGCAGTAACACTGACGTGGTGGTGGTATGTTAGAGTGTGTTGCGCTGGTCTGAGTGGATCAGACACAGCAGTGCTGCTGGAGTTTTTAAAACACCTCAGTGTCACTGCTGGACTGAGAATAGTCCACCAACAAAAAATATCCAGTCAACAGCGTCCTGTGGGCAGCGTCCTGTGACCACTGATGAAGGACTAGAGGATGACCAACACAAACTGTGCAGCAGCAGATGAGCTATCGTCTCTGACTTCACATCTACAAGGTGGACTGACAAGGTAGGAGTGTCTAATAGAGTGGACAGTGAGTGGACACAGTGTTTAAAAACTCCAGCAGCACTGCTGTGTCTGATCCACTCATACCAGCACAACACACACTAACACACCACCACCACGTCAGTGTTACTGCAGTGCTGAGAATGATCCACCACCCAAATAGTACCTGCTCTGTGAGGGTCCATGGGGGTCCTGACCACTGAAGAACAGGGTAAAAGGGGGCTAACAAAGTATCAGAGAAACAGATGGACTACAGTCTGTAACTGTAGAACTACAAAGTGCATCTATATAGTAAGTGGAGCTGATAAAATGGACAATGAGTGTAGAAACAAGGAGGTGGTCATAATGATATGCCTGATTGGTGTATTTTGCAAGTTTTGTGATTGAATTAATGTCATTTTAATGGTAATTACTAAACATCTGGCCAAAAAGAAAGGAAAGCAAGAATTAATTTCCTTTACTTATGAGCCATTTTGGCACTTTAATTGGTACGATCTCGCCAGAGAAGAGGGAAATCATTTGTGGAGCTGCTGCTCCGATGGCGAAAGCGTATGACCATCGATTCCTCAGTGATCCAGTGAAGTCCAGCGGCCTGACAACAGCAAACACAAAGAACAGGTGTTAGATATACAGGTAAGTAGGAAAATGTACTTCAACAATTTTCTTCAACATGAGTATTATAGCTCCCTGGTGGTCATATGGTGTGAACACACTGACTCACATCACTATTGGGGTCAATAATATTGGTTTTTGCTCATCTCTCTTATTATTGTGATGCATTTTAAAAGGGAAATCCATTGATTATGTTTGAAAAAAGCATAATAAGCTCACAATAAGCTTTTCTGAGCATATTGTGGATATCGTCAGTACTTAAAGAACATTGACTGACTACAAAGTGTACTTTCATTACAAAGTGAGCACAATTAAGCCTTTTTAACCTTTTCAACTCCTTGAGACCACCAGTGGTTCCAAAACTCACTTCGTCATATTCTTCATAACTTTCATATTTCATAAGCTACATTCTAAAGGTGGGGGTCGTATGAGAGCTGTAACTGTCTTCTTTCCAGTCAAATAGATGGGTGATGTAATTTTAAACGCTTATAATAAAAGAAGCTGAACTCTATTTTTTTTTTCTACTGAAAATCGACCCATTTTTCCACAAATCTGGGCTATAAACTATAAACAGATGGCGTCTCTTCAGTGATAAACTCTGTAAAAATCATTTTTATAAAATAATACAAAGATTTTTGGCTTTCAGCAGTAAATTGTAAGCATATAGCAATATGTGTGATCATAAAACACATGTTCTGTTAACTTTTACAAAAAAAAAATATAAATAAAATAAAAATTTACATTTATTTCATGCAGTTACTGAATAATCTGCCTTATGATTTGGTCATGAAAATTCAGATGAAACAACCAAAATATACCCTGGTCAATAAGAGGTTAACTGGATTTAGTGCAGCACAGTTTGTAAAACATGAATAAAAGTCATTTTAATTGTAAGATTATTATTATTATTGTTATTATTATTATTATTATTATTATTACTGTATATGTTGTACTACATGTTCTATTTTGTTTGTTCCAACTTATTAAATCCCAGAAAAACTAAAAATCATGCACGATTAAAATGTCTTAAAGAATTGTGACATAATATTTTTGCCCACCCCTTATTAGTAGATACATTTCTCATCAATGAACCATTTTTCTTCAAAGCTCTGCATGCACTGACTTATTTCTCAACAAGCAAATTATGCTGAATTTTGAAAAACTGGACTTTCAATTAACAGAGAATTTTAGATTTCTAAAATTTTAACTTTAAACAATGTCTGTATAAGTATGAGCCATAGCCAATCATATCTTCTACATAAAAACTAACCTATCCATGCTCCATCTGCAAAATGCATGATTTTGTAGCTGGGTCATTCTACAGAAACGTCCATGTTTGTGTCCCTAGGATTTACAGATATATTACACTTCCAAAACATATTAGGGTTACAATTTATTTACATTTGAAAATGAAACAATAAGTTATTTTAACAGTTACACCTTCTTGATTCATCACTTCAGGTTTTTAAATCAATTATCTAGAATTCCAAGCACCACAGAAGAGCTCGTCCTCACAGTCATGTGTGAAGGCTGAGGCCATATTTTGAAGGAAAAAAACATGTTTTTCAGCAATTTTAACTACAATAATCTATACATTACTGTGGAATACATGGTTTAAATGACATAAAGAAAACAAATGCCAATTAAATATTATAAAATATATAATGAAAGTTCCCCAGGAGTCGTGTCACTGGTGTTACTGTGTAACAAAAAAACTCTTATTTTGAAATAAAAATCACACTGATGACATCACTTGACTTCCTTTTACCTGTTTTCTGAGGATCTATTAAGAAAAGCTCATGGTGAGTCCACTGTGTCTTTCAGTTATCAGAGATTTTCTCATTTAGCTCATGATTTCATATGAGGCTTTTAGCTGAAGTCACTGGTGTGACCGACTTTATTCTGAGGTAATTGTGAAAAAATAGAACACAAATGGATTAAATTCCATATTTTAGTGGATATTCCATGACCGACAACATGTGGTTTGATGCTCTGTAGCAGCCGTTTTGTAAAATGTAAAATGCATTGTTCATTAAAAATGTCTCTGGTGTTCCTTTATTATGCGTAACACCAATGAGGATCGGTAACACCAGTGACACCTATGGAGAGACAGAAAAGTGGACATTTCTGTTGTTAAGACCTCTCGAGTTTCGGTTAGCTAGAACAACAGCTTGGCAGTGTAGTATTTTGAACTGGAAACCAATAACATAGCAACTCAACAAAGATTGGTACAGCAGCTGGCATGTATCCCCTCTAGAACAAACAAGGCAGCTCCATCTTTTTGAACGTGACCACTGATTAGCAGAGCAGCACTTACACCACCACGCCGAATCGGCCGCGGAGGTACGGGAAACGGTCCTCGAAGGAGAAGATCTTCTGGCGGCGCTCGAAAAATGACAAAAGCGCGATGATACACAACTACAACCGACAAAACACAGAATACAGACGACTCGTCAGGACAAATGAACGCAAATGTAAACGTGTACAGTAGATTTAAACATGCATTTAAAAAACACATACATCTATAATCACCGAGTGCCAGGGTTATTATAGTTTTGATATTTTTATGAGTTTTTATTTGTGTTGTGCTTTGATTCCAGTTTAGTTTCAGTTTATTGGTGCATTAATAGTTTAAGTGGGTTTTATTATCCGAATAGTTTTAGTTTAGCTTTTATTTAGTTTCAGTTTTAGTTTTAGATTGTAGTGCTATGACGAACGCTGTGATAGCAGGTATTCAATAAGAGTAGATTAAAAAAACAGTAGATTAAGGAAAGCTGGAGCCGAGCTGAGCTCAAAGACCAAGAAGAGTTCCAAACTCTTATTCACTGAAAAAAAAAAGTTTTCTACTCAAAATTTCTACTTTGTTTTAATTTTTTTGAAAACTATAGTTTTGATTTAGCACATTTTTTCACTGCTATTTTTCGTTTTAGTGAACTATAATAACCCCAGCTGGCGCTGAGAGATAGACCATCTGTACTGGTATCCCGGTTATCGTGCTGACAGAAATGAAAAATAAATGTAGCAGTGCTTGATAATTATTTTGCTGCAAATCCAATAAAGATTATTTACTGATCCAATAAAGTGGCCAGTTAGTGGAAGAACAAGGTAGGTGTTTCCAATAAAGTGGCCAGGTAGTTAAAGCACATTGTAAATGTTTCCAATAAAGTGGCCAGGTAGTTAAAGCACATTGCAAATGTTTCCAATAAAGTGGCCAGGTAGTTAAAGCACATTGTAAATGTTTCCAATAAAGTGGCCAGTTAGCGGAAGTACATGGTAGGTGTTTCCAATAAAGTGGCCAGTTAATGGAAGAACAAGGAAGGTAGGCGTTTCTAATAAAGTGGCCAGTGTTATGATTTCCCATTTACACTGATCTTCAGAGCTCAAGAGTAACTCACAGAAGGCAGCAGACACGCATGCAGAAAGACTTCGTTATTAAGATCACACCGCGTCGCCATTGAAGCCCTAGGTGGAAAAACAGAGAATAAGTTCAGTTATTTCAATATTTCAAACTCATCAACCGTCTTCATGCACAGAAGACAATTAAAAACATGGTTTCACATAAAATATCTTTGTGTTGGAATTACAAATAACAAAAAAAAAAGAAAATGTAAGCATTTAGGAGTGGACCTTGAGAATAACTTTACAATTATGGAAAAATGTTTCAATTCAGGGGGTTCGAACTTTTGATAGATTAAAAGTTTTCGTTCAGATTTTGATACCATATATTTTTATTTGCACCCAACAAACATTCACAACGGCCACAAAATGAGCTGTCCAACATTTGTTGATTACAATGTGTGGGGTGTGGGAAGGTCTGTAGCTCAGCAAAACAAAGTGGAACCAAAAATCCTGGAAGGGTACTCAGGAAAACACACACACACACACCCACCCACACACACACACACACACCCACACACACACATCTCTAAGCCGCTTATCCTTCCTGGTCGCAGGGGATGCTGGAGCCTATCCAAGTAGTCAATGGGCGGAAGGCTGCTTAGGAAAACATGAAGAAAAAAAAAATACACACTCACTCACACACACATACATACCGTCTACCACACACTGGTCAGGCATAACATTATGACCACCTCCTTGTTTCTATGCTCATTGTCCATTTTATCAGCTCCACTTACTATATAGGTGCACTTTGTAGTTCTACAGTTACAGACTGTAGTCCATCTGTTTCTCTGTATACTTTATTAGCCCCCTTTTACCCTGTTCTTCAGTGCTCAGGACCCCCATGGACCCTCACAGAGCAGGTACTGTTTGGGTGCTGGATCATTCTCAGCACTGCAGTAACACTGACACTGTGGTGGTGTGTTGGTGTGTGTTGTGCTGGTCTAAGTGGATCAGACACAGCAGTGCTGCTAGAGTTTTTAAACACTGTGTCCACTCACTGTCCACTCTATTAGACACTCCTACCTCGTCAGTCCACCTTGTAGATGTAAAGTCAGAGACGATAGCTCATCTGCTGCTGCACAGTTTGTGTTGGTCATCCTCTAGTCCTTCATCAGTGGTCACAGGACGCTGCCCACAGGACGCTGTTGGCTGGATGGTTTTGGTTGGTGGACTATTCTCAGTCCAGCAGTGACACTGAGGTGTTTAAAAACTCTAGCAGCACTGCTGTGTCTGATCCACTCAGACCAGCACAACACACATTAACACCACCACCACGTCAGTGTTACTGCAGTGCTGAGAATGATCCACCACCCAAATAGTACCTGCTCTGTGAGGGTCCATGGGGGTCCTGACCACTGAAGAACAGGGTAAAAGGGGGCTAACAAAGTATCAGAGAAACAGATGGACTACAGTCTGTAACTGTAGAACTACAAAGTGCACCTATATAGTAAGTGGAGCTGATAAAATGGACAACGAGTGTAGAAACAAGGAGGTGGTCATAATGTTATGCCTGATCGGTGTATATAATACTAGATATAATATTATATAACATAACAGTGTCAAATCGTGTAGGCAAACCTACTGGACACAACTGTGCAATTCTAAATAGTTTCCGGCAAGTCTGTCATGACAGATTGTCAGATTCACTATCCATGGAGCTCTAGTGTAAAACAGGGCAAACTCATCGACTACATTTGTGGTAAAGAGGGAAACTAAGCAAACACATCGTTAGCCAAACTGTCAGTTTAACATGTTACTCACATTGGGTCTGCATGGGAGAGTGAATGGTAGTTGGACTCAACGTCTTGGTAGTAGCCCTGAAAGGAGACAAAACTGTGAGACAGGTCCTTGGCAGTCAAATCTGCTCTTTCATTCAGGATCTGACTAATGCCGGCCCACAGTACAGGATGCCGGAGACGACTCCGAGGCCAATTCTCCCGCCCGTCAATCGTAAAGGTGTCCTGATTTCTGGCTGGTCTGAAACGCTGATGTTCCCAGATTGTCCTGCGGTGTGGAGTTTTACTGATTTACTCACGATCCAGTCAAGACCATCCCGATTTAGAACATTAAAGATGTTCAACGTTTAACTCATCGTTTAGAGTGGGGTGAGCTGAATGTAGAGCTGGGAGGATAACATTTGATTCATCCACATTCCAAGTGAACACATTATTACATTTTTATTAAAAAAGAAGCTCATTACATTCTTCTCAGTGTCAGTAACAATAACGTGCTGCAGCATGCACACATAACTACACATAACATCTCATCGAAGTCCAACACGTTTTGTTCAGGCTGGTTGGGTTTGTGAACATAAACTGAAAGTGTGTGGTGTTTCATTTTGGCTGTGTAGTGTGTGGTATATGTTGGGCATATAGTGTGATGTATTTTGAGCCTGTAGTGGGTGGTGGTTTTTGATCGTGTAGTGTGTGGTGTATTTATGGTGTATAGTGTATGCTATATTTTTACTGTGTAGTGTGTGGTGTTTTTTGACTGTGTAGTGTGTGGTGTTTTTGAACGGTAGTGTGTGGTGTATTTTGGACGGGAAGTGTGTGGTGTATTTTGGACAGGTAGTGTGTGGTGTATTTTGACTGTGTAGTGTGTGGTGTTTTTGGACGGTAGTGTGTGGTGTATTTTGGACGGTAGTGTGTGGTGTATTTATGGTGTATAGTGTATGCTATATTTTTACTGTGTAGTGTGTGGTGTTTTTGGACAGGTAGTGTGTGGTGTATTTATGGTGTATAGTGTATGCTATATTTTTACTGTGTAGTGTGTGGTGTTTTTGGACAGGTAGTGTGTGGTGTATTTTGACTGTGTAGTGTGTGGTGTTTTTGGACGGTAGTGTGTGGTGTATTTTGGACGTGTAGTGTGGTGGTTTTTGACTGTGTAGTGTGTGGTGTTTTTGGACGGTAGTGTGTGGTGTATTTTGGACGGGTAGTGTGGTGTTTTTGGACAGGCAGTGTGTGGTGTATTTTGGACGGTAGTGTGGTGTTTTTTGACTGTGTAGTGTGTAGTGTTTTTGGACGGTAGTGTGTGGTGTATTTTGGACGGTAGTGTGGTGTTTTTTGACTGTGTAGTGTGTGGTGTTTTTTGACTGTGTAGTGTGTGGTGTATTTTGGACGGGTAGTGTGTGGTGTATTTATGGTGTATAGTGTATGCTATATTTTGACTGTGTAGTGTGTAGTGTTTTTTGACTGTGTAGTGTGTGGTGTTTTTGGACGGTAGTGTGTGGTGTATTTTGGACAGGTACTGTGGTGTTTTTTGACTGTGTAGTGTGTGGTGTTTTTGGACGGTAGTGTGTGGTGTTTTTGGACAGGCAGGGTGTGGTGTATTTTGACTGTGTAGTGTGTGGTGTTTTTTGACTGTGTAGTGTGTGGTGTTTTTGGACGATAGTGTGTGGTGTATTTTGGACGGGTAGTGTGTGGTGTATTTATGGTGTATAGTGTATGCTATATTTTTACTGTGTAGTGTGTGGTGTTTTTGGACAGGTAGTGTGTGGTGTATTTTGACTGTGTAGTGTGTGGTGTTTTTTGACTATGTAGTGTGTGGTGTTTTTGGACAGGTAGTGTGGTGTATTTTGACTGTGTAGTGTGTGGTGTTTTTGGATGGTAGTGTGTGGTGTATTTTGGACAGGTACTGTGGTGTTTTTTGACTGTGTAGTGTGTGGTGTTTTTTGACTGTGTAGTGTGTGGTGTATTTTGGACGGGTAGTGTGTGGTGTATTTTGGACGGGTAGTGTGTGGTGTATTTTGAGCATGCAGCGTGTGGTGTATTTTGGGCGCATAGTGTGTGGTGTATTTGTGGTGTACAGTGTATGGTGTATTTTGACAGTGTAGTGTGTTGTGTTTTTTGGGCCTGTAGTGTATGATGTATTTTAAGTGAGTAGTGAGTGGCATATTTTGACTGTGTAGTGTGTAGTTTATTTTGGGTGTGTACTGTGTGGTGTATTTTGGCCATGTTGTGTATAGTGTATTTTTGACCGTGTAGTGTGTAGTGGTGTATTTTTGGAATGTAGTGTGTAGTGTACAGTGTATTTTGAAGGTGTGTTGTATACAGTGTATTTTGAAGGTGTGTAGTGTATAGTGTATTTTGACCATGTAGTGTGTGGTGTATAGTGTATTTTGACCGTGTAGTGTGTAGTGGTGTATTTTTGGCATGTAGTGTATAGCGTATTTCGAAGAAGTTGTGTTGTGTATAGTGTATTTTGACAGTGTAGTGTGTAGTGGTGTATTTTGATTGTGTGATGTATAGTGTATTTTGACCATGTAGTGGTGTATTTTTGGAATGTAGTGTGTAGTGTACAGTGTATTTTGAAGGTGTGTAATGTACAGTGTATTTTGAAGGTGTGTAGTGTACAGTGTATTTTGAAGGTGTGTAGTGTATAGTGTATTTTGACCATGTAGTGTGTGGTGTATAGTGTATTTTGACCGTGTAGTGTGTAGTGGTGTATTTTTGGCATGTAGTGTATAGCGTATTTCGAAGAAGTTGTGTTGTGTATAGTGTATTTTGACAGTGTAGTGTGTAGTGGTGTATTTTGATTGTGTGATGTATAGTGTATTTTGACCATGTAGTGGTGTATTTTTGGAATGTAGTGTGTAGTGTACAGTGTATTTTGAAGGTGTGTAATGTACAGTGTATTTTGGAATGTAGTGTGTAGTGTACAGTGTATTTTGAAGTTGTGTAGTGTACAGTGTATTTTGAAGGTGTGTAGTGTATAGTGTATTTTGACCATGTAGTGTGTGATGTATAGTGTATTTTGAAGGTGTGTTGTATACAGTGTATTTTAAAGGTGTGTAGTGTACAGTGTATTTTGAAGGTGTGTAGTGTATAGTGTATTTTGACCATGTAGTTTGTGGTGTATAGTGTATTTTGACCGTGTAGTGTGTAGTGGTGTATTTTGATTGTGTAGTGTATAGTGTATTTTGACCATGTAGTGGTGTATTTTTGGAATGTAGTGTGTAGTGTACAGTGTATTTTGAAGGTGTGTAATGTACAGTGTATTTTGAAGGTGTGTAGTGTATAGTGTATTTTGACCATGTAGTGTGTGGTGTATAGTGTATTTTGACAGTGTAGTATTCAGTCGTGTATTTTCGGGCATTTACTGTGTTGCGGTGTATTTTAGACTTGTTGTGTGTAGTGTACTTTGGGCGTGTAGTGTATTTGGAGCATGTAGTGTGTAGTGTATTGTAGCATTCCGATATTGGTTTGTTTGGCCATAGACAGTGTACCCTACTAGGAAAGCGCCGGACTTGCAGTGAGAGAGACTTATTTGTAAATTGTTGTTGATATGAACATTATTATGTACATTTGGTGTCAGAAGTGGGATCGCCCCCAGTGGACTGGAGAAGAATGGTGACCACGAACTCAAAAATGATCAAGGAAAAAGAACCAAAAAGAGTCCAGCTGAAGACTGCAGAGAAGGGTGCAGCACAGCGAGGACTCGACGGCTGATGAGGATGACAGCGGCATGAGGACCGGCAGCAGAGTCTGGCAAAGGACAATGAAAGAGACAGCAGCATAGAGTCCTGGACAAGGGCCTGCAAGGTATGCTGGGTGGCGGCTGACCACAAGGACCTGCCAGCAGAGCAGCGTGGTAGTGTTGACCACGGCTCTTTGTTGACACTTTGAACTGAGTTTGTCAGGCATCTCCGGTGCTTGGGACGGCAGAGGGGCTGGGCTGACACATGCATCTCGCCGCATCGACTGACCTTCAAGCCATCAGAGCCAAGTCAAGGAGCGCCACCATGTGCGAGTGGAGGACGCAGCACTCTATGATCTGGCGCCCCAGGGAGGAGGACGTGGCCCTGAGGGAGGACTGGCAGTACATGTAGCCGAGAGCGCGCAGTCCACAGTATGTGTGTTTGCTCGGACTCTGGCCAAACTCTTTGTAGGTCCCCAAGAGAGTTTGGACCTTTGAATGGGGGGCTGTGTAGCGTTCCGCTATTGGATCGTTCAGCCATGGATGCATGGAGTGTCCTGGGAATGTGCCGGACTCAGATTAAGAGAGACCTTAATTTGTAATTAGTTGTTGTTATGGACATTCTTACTGTATGTACAGTACTGTGAAAAAATATATGCCCCCTTCCCAACCTCTGTTTTTTGCATATTTGTCAAACTTGAATGTTTCAGACCATCAAAGTGCTGTTAATATTAGACAAAGATAATGCAAGTAAACACAAAATGTTTTTTTAATTTTTTCAAGAAAAAATGCTGTTCAGTCCCATCTGGCCCTATGTGAAAAAATAATTGCCCCCTTAGCTATTAAATCAACCAGTTACCCAAATTCAACTGACTTTCACTAACCACACCCAGACTTGTTGGAGCTAAACATCTCGATGACTCCCAAAACTTTTGCGATAATAGTTTGTGGACTGATGAGTTAAACGTGGAACTTTTTGGAAGACATGGGTCCCGTTACATCTGGCGTAAAGCTAACATTGTATTCCACCATAGCAGCATCATACCGACAGTGAAACATGGTGGTGGTAGTGTGATGGTCTGGGGCTGCTTTGCTTCTGCAGGACCTGGACAACCATGAATTCTGCTCTCTATCAGAAAATCCTGCCTGTGACCTAAAGCTCATGCGCAGATGGGTTATGCAGCAGGACAGTGATCCAAAGCACAAAAGCAAGTCCATCCCTAAAAGGTTTTGGAGTCAAACTCCTGATTAAAATTACATTGTGATGCTGTGGCAAGACCTTAAACGGGCAGTTCTTGCTCGAAACCCTTCAATGTAGCCAAATTAAAACAATTCTGCAAAGAAGAGTGGACCAAAACTCCTTCACAGCCATGCAATAAATGTAAAAGACTCGTTGCAAGTTATCGCAAACATTTGATTGCAGTTGCAAAACCAGTTATTAGGTTTTCACACTGGTGATAAAGATTTATTCAATATAATTTTTAAGCTGCGTTTTGTGTTTAATCATGTTGCCTTTATCGTGTATTAAATTTAGATGATCCAAAACATTTAAATGTGACAAATTTGCATAAACAGAAGACGTGGGTGAGGGGCAAATATTTGTCACATTGCTGTACATGTTGTGTGTGGTATTCTGTGCCAGAAGTGGGGGCTTTGTGCACCTACCGTCATGTGGTGTGGTTGGCAGCCTACTCTGCTTCTTGGCTGCTCGGCCAGCGCTGAGCAGTGGTGCTTCACTGCTTACGGTTCACTCAGAAGCCTTTCCTGAAAGCGCTCTGTTTCCCACAACTCCTTCTTTGGCAGACATTACAGTGTTTTGGGCGTGTAGCGTGTTGCGCATGTTGGGTGTCTCAACGGTTTTACTACTGATAAAATCAGCTTTTCGAAGGACCAAACTGAGCAGGCAATGAATACAAACATCATACAAATACAAATCTACCATTTTTAATTAGATTTTACACAATATATATATTCTCTCTCTCTCTTTCTCTCTCTTCCTTCTCCCTGTTCCTCTGTATATTTATCTGCCTTTCTGCTCACATATATATACATATATATATATATATATATATATAAATATATATATATATATATATATGTGAGCAGAAAGGCAGAGAAATATACAGAGGAACAGGGAGAAGGAGAAATAAAGTGAGAAAGAGACGCAGAGAGAAATAAAAAAGAAAAAGAAAGAGAGGGAGAGTTAGAGAAAGAAAGACAGATGGCTAAGAGACAGAGAACGACATTTTTTACTTCTTTCAGTCTGACTTTATCTCTCTTTTTTTTCGAGCTCAACAGTCTGCAGGGTTTCACAGGAAAACGCAACAGGACCCTCGGCGCAGCACTGCGCATGCGCGCTACAGTTTGACGCTTCAGGTGGGACCAAGTCTGTTCAGATTTCACGACATTAAACAGACCGAGAGACACAAAAATGACCATTTAACCCTCAGTGCAGCGTCAAAACTTGCCCAATGTTCGCCACACAGGTGCCCCACGAGCCCCTTAGTGCGTTAAACCTCACTTTATATCAATAATTCTGCCACAAAATCAACTTTTTGGACAAACTACAGCTTCGTTATTCGACATCCCACAATGCCAAACATAAATACACGACTAGCAAAGCCGTAAATGACGAGGCTGAAGTTAGCTTCTTATTCGAATTCTCCGTTCCACCTTAAATGTTCCATTCCACCCATTCAATATTGCACCATTTAAGGTGGAACGGAGAGTTTGACCTCGGCTTCATTAAAACATGCAGCAGCGGGCTGCCCGGGTTCAGACACACCCGTAAACAGCTCAGGGGTACACATGGGGTCTTCACGAGCCAAAAAGGGGGGAGAAAACTTACAGTTCTGGGGTCGTCCATCCTGCTGCTGAAGGAAACTGTCCCTTGCGCAGTGAACGCGCCACTCACTGAAGTCTAAGAGACACCAGGCGGTTTTATTACTCACCGCGCTGCCACCAGATGGCGCTGTTTAGCCGTGCAAAATGCACGGCTTTTTTTGTATGAAAAGCCATGTAACTGGATACTGAGCGCTTATTTACTCCTAAAAATCAGACTATTAGAATAAATACAACATGAATACAGCAAGTATTGGTTTTTTATGCATGTCAGTGTGCTCGCTTAACCATTTCCAGTCCTCTCCAGTTTGTAGTTACCTGGCTTGGTTAATCTATACGTCATTAAATCAAACTGTGGAGGTTGTGAACAGACCCATTTAATGGCCGGGGGGCAGAAATCTGGGAGCGAACTTTGCTTTTCCAACCAGCTCAACCACTGAGAAAAAAAAAAAAACAAGTCTGGGCGAAAGTGTTTCGTGTTCAAGTGAGAGTAAGTGAACACATCCTCTACACAGAACACACTTGTGCACATTTTAATGCACAGCTACTGTTTTTTTGCTGAATTTAACACACCAGGAGGACAGAATGAGCCAGAAAATGTGGCCTGTGCAGAAATTATGGCACATTTTGTATTATATTTACATTTTTCTCTGATATGTTTTTTGTGTTTTTGAACTATACTGTTAATTAATAACTACAGAACATTCATAGACCCCCACCAAGAGGTGAATACACACCAAACCGCATCCTGCCACTCATCACTCACGGCGACCAGAAACGAAACCGTTCCTGACGCCTCTAAGTTTCGTTTTAGACTCAGCACCTCTTCATCTCTCACTGAAGTGACTGTTAGATAAACGTATATGTGCTGGAAACTTTTAAATGTGCTTTATTTATTCCTTCTAACCGATTCTGCTGTGAACTTCAGAGAAAGTTTAGTTCTGAGAAACACAGGCGCTGATAAGGAGGAACAGCAGTTCAATATAAGCGACACCAGAGGATGTATCATTACCGACTGTTTCAAAGGATTTCTCTTATAGTCAAAGTTAAAAACCATTGCTTTTATCAAGGTTTGTGTTTTGAGGGCTTCCCTAAGTAAAATAGCTCTTCTGGTTTTTTTAAAACGTTTAAGAGTCATTTTACAGAGGCTGTGCGTTCATTACTCCCAGTAGCAGTTCCACACAAACGACACCAGAGGGCGCATTTTATCATAGTTCTACAGTTACAGACTGTAGTCCATCTGTTTCTCTGCGTACTTTGTTGGACCCTCACAGAGCAGGTACTATTTGGGTGGTGGATCATTCTCAGCACTGCAGTAACACTGACGTGGTGGTGGTGTGTTAGTGTGTGTTGCGCTGGTCTGAGTGGATCAGACACAGCAGTGCTGCTGGAGTTTTTAAACACCTCAGTGTCACTGCTGGACTGAGAATAGTCCACCAACCAAAAATATCCAGCCAACAGCGTCCTGTGAGCAGCGTCCTGTGACCACTGATGAAGGACTAGAGGATGACCAACACAAACTGTGCAGCAGCAGATGAGCTATCGTCTCTGACTTTACATCTACAAGGTGGACTGACAAGGTAGGAGTGTCTAATAGAGTGGACAGTGAGTGGACACAGTGTTTAAAAACTCCAGCAGCACTGCTGTGTCTGATCCACTCAGACCAGCACAACACACACTAACACACCACCACCACGTCAGTGTTACTGCAGTGCTGAGAATGATCCACCACCCAAATAGTACCTGCTGTGTGAGGGTCCGCGGGGGTCCTGACCACTGAAGAACAGGGTAAAAGGGGGCTAACAAAGTATCAGAGAAACAGATGGACTACAGTCTGTAACTGTAGAACTACAAAGTGCACCTATATAGTAAGTGGAGCTGATAAAATGGACAATGAGTGTAGAAACAAGGAGGTGGTCATAATGTTATGCCTGATCGGTGTATATATATATATATATATATATATATATATATATATATATATATATATGTACGTGTGTGTTTATTTATCATTATGGACACACATGATTCTAACTGACTTTTTTAGGAGAAAAGAAAGCAAACAAGTTATTAAAACTCTGCCCTAACCCTTCACCTCTCGTTAAAGTGATCAGGACTTCAATAAGTACATTTGTTTTTTTCATTCTCAATCTGCCTGTCTGGCTACATCAAAACAATAAAAGCTTTTAACAATAAAATAACCAGCCTGTATATTTACAAACTGAAGTCCTAATTAAAGGCCTCCCATACATAAAATATATGTGCTGTTTATTATTATTATTTTTTTTACACATTTTAGAAACTCTCTCAAGTGTGTGAGACATTTTGTAATTCCTTACTCATAAAGCAGTACCAGTTACACATAAGTGACACAAGAGGGCGCAGTTTACTAATTTTGTATTACAAAAATCACATTTTTGACTGACTTAGACTAACATTATTTTATAATGGTTGGATTTGCACATTTGTATTTTATGTAAATGTTTTGTAAATTTTTGTAGCAAATTAATAACTAAATAAATAAATAAATAAATTATTAGAGGATGTAAAATTAAACACCTACAGTTCTGGATTAACATCTACAGTGCTGGAGTAAGAGTAACACCTATAATTTTGGATTAACACCTACAGTGCTGGATTAACAGCTACAGTGCTAGATTAACACTTACAGTTCTTGATTAACACATACAGTTTTGCATTAACATTTATAGTGCTGGATTAAGACCTACAGTGCTAGATTAACACTTACATCTTTGGATTAACATCTACAGTATTGGATTAAGACCTACAGTGCTAGATTAACACTTACAGTTCTGAATTAACATCTAGAGTATTGGATTAAGACGTACAGTGCTAGATTAACACTTACAGTTCTGAATTAACCTTTACTGTTCTAGATTAACATCTACAGCGCTGAAGTAAAACATACAGTTCTTGATTAACACCTACAGTGCTGGAATAACAACTACAGTTCTGGATTAACACCTACACTGCTGGATTAACATCTACAGTGCTAAATTAATACTTACAGTTCTGGATTAACCGCTACAGTTCTGGATTAACCGCTACAGTTCTGGATTATCACCTCTGGTGCTGGATTAACACCTACATTGCTGGAGTAACACCTATACTTCTGAATTAACACCAGCGCTGGATCAACGTCTACACTGCTGCATTAACACCTACAATTCTGGATTAACCCCTATAGTGCTAGATTAAAATTGACAGTTCCGGATTAACAGCTACAGTGCTGGATTAACACATACAGTGTATTCCTATAGGTAATCTAAGAGTTCTAAGAGTAAATCTTATCCGTTAAAGAGTTAATCTAAGAGTTCTAAGAGTAAATCTAATCCTTTAAAGAGTAAATCTAAGAGTTCTAAGAGTTAATCTAGAGTTAATCTCACTTTGTAAAAAAATATTTGAATAGTTAATCTAACTCTATAGAGTTAAACTAAAAGTTAATCTCAGTTAAATAAATTCTAGAGTTAATCTGAATGTTAATCTCACTTTCTAATAGTCTAATAGAGTTACTCTAATTTGAAAGAATTAGTCTGAGTTAATTAACTCTGCAGAGTTAATCTAAGTGCTAATCTCACTTTTTATATCGTTAATCAGGAAGTTAATCTAACTCTATGTAGTTAATCTGAGTGTTAATCTCACTTTTTATATCGTTAATCAGAAAGTTAATCTAACTCTATGTAGTTAATCTGAGTGTTAATCTCACTCTATAGTTAATCTGAGAGTTAATCTAACTCGTTAGAATTCATCTGAGATTGTTAATCTCACTTTATAGAGTTAATCTGAGTGTTAATCTAACTCTGTAGAGATAATCTGAGTGTTAATCTCACTTTATAGATTGAATCTGAATGTCAGTGTAACTTTATGGAGTTAATCTAAGTGTCAATCTCACTTTATATCGTTAATCAGAGAGTTTATCTAACTCAATATAGTTAATCTAAGTGTTAATCTCACTCTATAGTTAATCTGACAGTTAATGTAAATCTTTCGAATTGATCTGAGATTGTTAATCTCACTTTATAGAGTTAATCCGAAAATTAATCTCATTTCATAGCATCAGTCTGAGTGTTAATCTAACTGTATAGAGATAATCCGAGAGTTAATCTCACTTAACACTTGCCACACTTCAGCTGTTAATCCAACACTGCGGATGGTCACTCTAATTTATGGTTTACTTTAATTTACGCCCTCCTGTGGTTTCGACACGCACTCACCCCAACCCACCTACCCACACTCTCACACTCACACACACACACACCCACACCCACACAAACACACACTCCACCCCTCAACATGCACATGACAGTTGGAAGAGCGTCTCGTGCTCACTTGTACCCACGGCAGCGGCGCGCGATGGAGCGCGAGAGGGACTCAGCCTTATTAACTCAGCAGAACTAACAGGTAGTTTTTGGGAGTTTTGTGTAGTTTCGTTTTTGTTTTTCCTCTCCGCGCGCCCCCGGAAGTGTGCCGATGGAGCCTCGCGCGAACTTCTCTCTTCTCCACAAAGCCTGTGCTGTGCTCGTGGCTCTGTGCACGCTCCACATCTCCGTCACGCTGCTCTTCTACCTGAGGGACACGGGCAACGAGAACGAGCACGCGCGCCCCTGGCCCGGCAATGGCACGCTCAGGAGCATCAGCAACGGGACGAGCACGAGCACGATGACGAGCACAGCAGTCCCTACGACTAAAGCGCTGGAGAAGTGCCCGGAAACTTCCCCCCTCTTAGGTAAGACTGGGGGTCCCTGCACTTCATTAAAGCGGTAGTTCGGCCAAATCTTAACTTTAGAGTTTTAACACACATGGTCGGTCAGCTGAGACATGTTTGGTGTCCCTGCTGACAAAAATCACCACTAAAAGTTTCTGTTGGTTCCTGGTGGGGTCCAGCGGTCACTAATGGTATTTAGTGCTTTCCTGATGGATTGATATCACAGTGTAAAGGGACTGATTCCAGATGATGGTTTCCTAATGGGATTCCCCACCAAATAGCACCCATATGTCAAACAGAAGGCCCACCGGCCAGATCAGGCCGCAACACAATCTTATCCGGCCTGCGAAATTATTTTAGCTTTATATTGATATTACCCTGTTAATGTCCTGTACTACAACCCCCAGCATGCACTGCAACGTAGTGCGCACTAGTGGTTGAGATTTTTTTAGCATGGTCCTTTTAGTGGTTGAGTTCTACACTCCTGAATTAGCACGATGCCTAAATGGTCTCTAATAGAGTTGATGATGTGGTTGATGCTGTGTCACACGCTAGGGCTGAGCGATTAGTCACATTTTACAACCCCATTTCCAAAAAAGTTGGGATGCTGTGCAGAATGTAAAAAAAAAGAAGGAAATGATGTGCAAATCATGTAAACCATATTTTTTAAAGGAACATACTACAAAGACAACTTATCAGACGTTGAAGCTGAGAAATTTTATTGTTTTCTGAAAAATATTTGCCCATTTTGAATTTGATGCCAAAAACACATTCCAAAAAAGTTGGGACGGGGGCCTGTTTACCACTGTGTTTCATCACCTCTCCCTTTAACAACACTCTGTAAGTGTTTGTGAACTGAGGAGACACTGCTGTAGTTTTGAAAGTGAAATGTTTCCCATTCTTGTTTGATATAGGATTTCAGCTGCTCATCAGTTCAGGGTCTCCTTTATCATATTTTTAATTTCATAATGCGCCAAATGTTTCCAGTGGTGACAGGTCTGGACTGCAGGCAGGCCAGTTTAGCACCTGGATTTCTTTAATACAGAGCACTGCTGTTGTAATATGTGCAGAATGCGGTTTGGCATTGTCTCGCTGAAATGATCAAAGCCTTTTTTTGCCTGAAAAAGACGTTGTCTGGCTTTTGAACTGTGCACTGATAACAATCTGAGTGGTCTTTAGCCCGGAGGGCAGAGTGTCCATGGTTTCCAAAAAGAATTTCAAATGTTGATTCGTTGGACCACAGGACACTTTTCCACTTCACTTCAGTCCATTTTAAATGAGCTCGGGCCCAGAGAAGGTGGCAGCATTTCTGGATCCAGTTTATGTGTGATTTCTTTTTTACATAGTAGAGTTTTAACTGGCATTTGTGGATGCAGTAATGAACTGTTTTCACAGACAGTGGTTTTCAGAAGTGTTTCTGAGCCCATGCAGTGATTTCCTCTACGGAATCATGTCTGTTTTTAATGCAGTGCTGCCTGAGGCCCCAAAGATCACTACCAGCAAGTACTGGTTTTCGGCCTTGTTTCTCCAGATTCTCTGAATGTTTTAATGTTATTATGTATCGTAGATGACGAAAATCAAAAGTTCTTTGCTGTTTTATGTTGAGAAATGTTATTCTTGCATTGTTGCACAGTCTTTCACAGAGATGAACCCTCCCCATCTTTACTTCTGAGAGACTCAGGCTCTCTGAGTTGCTCTTTTATACCCAGTCATGTTACTGACCTGTTGTCAATTAACCACCAGGTGTTTTTTTTAGCATTACACAACTTTACCAGCCTTTTGTTGTCCCCGTCCCAATTTTTTCAGAACATGTTGTTGGCATCAAATCCAGAATGGGCAAATATTTTTTAAAAAACAATAAAATTTCTCAGTTTCAACATTTGATTTATTATCTTTGTTCTATTTTCAGTGAAAAATAGGGTTTAAATGATTCGCACATCATTGCATTTTGTTTTTATTTTCATTTTGCACTGCGTCTTCCAACGATCTTGAAAACAAGATAATCATGATAAAATGTTTATTGTGCCGGATTCCGTCTCACAGTGATGCACTTGTTTTGTCTTGGGTTATAAATCCACCACATACCTTTCCTTTACAGCAGTGCACCCCCTGCCCCCCCACCCCATTTACTCTCAGATAGGCCATGGCATGTTTAGCTCAGCTCGAGCCAAGATGAAGGAAAGAGATTCTGAGTCAAAAAAGGAGTCTGAGTCTGAAAAGGAACAACAACAAATACTGTGTGAGCTTTGTTGCACGGTGGTGTCTGCACCACAGGGCAATACGACCGTCTGTTTAATCATCCGAAATTCACTCTGTCAGAACGTTTGTGTTTTTTCCTTCAATTAATGCAGGATGTTTTCAAAATCAACTTTGAACAGTCAAAAACTGTGATTATGATATTCGCCATAATCGAGCAGCCCTATCACAAACTTATATCTACGTCAGGGGTGTCAAACTCAACCAGTAAAAGGGCCATATTAAAAAAATCTGTGGGCCAGAGATCATCTGTGTTTAGTGAACCTTGAAATATTGAATAATAAAATAAATGAACAAACAGGCTACAATACACAGCATTATGCACATTACAATAGGCTACATTACATTGCTCTTACATTGCTTTTAGCTCTTGTGAGCTCCTGTGCCTTTATTTTCATTTATTTCCACTGTTTTCTCCAACATGTTCTCCCCGTGTCTGCGTGGGTTTCCTCCGGGTACTCCGGTTTCCTCCCACAGTCCAAAGACATGCAGTCAGGCCAATTGGACATGCTGAATTGCCCCTAGGTGTGAATGTGTGTGTGACTGTATATGTATGTCTGTCTGTCTGCCCTGTGATGGACTGGCGACCTGTCCAGGGTGTATCCTGCCTTTCGCCCAATGACAGCTGGGATAGGCTCCAGCACCCCACCGCGACCCAGAAGGATAAGCGGTTTAGATGATGGATGGATGGATGTTTTCTCCAAATTACTACATCATTAAGTCGTTCAGATGTAAACAGAGTCATTCATTCTTTACAGTGGTGGTGATGGGAACCAGGGGTCACCATGACTACAACACAAGTATAGCCACTTTATTTACTATCCACAACCACCAGTCAAGCGACACGTGTCTTGAAACAAGTTTTATGAGAAGTTTAGGTTTTCGTTCTAACCATAGTGCTGAGACAGCACTGGCTCGTGTTGTCAGTGACCTCAGGCTCAGCGCTGATACACAAAATCCTTCTATTCTGGTATTATTGGATCTTAATGCAGCTTTTGATACTGTTGATCAAAAGATTCTAATCCACCATCTTCGAATACCCTGTTGGCCTCCCAGTTTTAGAATGATTTAAATCATATTTAGTTAATGGACAGTTCATGGTTTCACTGGAAAATCATTCATCAAAAAACTGTAACATTTCTTGTGAAGTCCCACAGGGTTCAGTTTTAGGGCCTTGGCTTTTCTCTTTGTACATTATCTCTAGGTGATGTCTTTAGGAAACATAATAGCTACGCTAATGATGCACAGTTATACATTTTGATTCTGGTAATCAAGACTCTGAAGACAGGCTGACCAGCATTGTGTCAGATATTTATCAGTGGGTGTTGCAAAATTTAACAGCTTATTATGCTTCTAAACTGTGGAGCTCAATTCACCCTTGTATTAGACAGCCAAGCTGTCTTACCTTGTGCTTCCACTCACTGACCACTTTATTAGAAACACCTACCTTGTGCTTCCACTAACCGGCCACTTTGTCAAAAACACCTACCTTGTGCTTCCACTTGTTGGCCACTTTATCAGAAACACCTACCTTGTGCTTCCACTTACTGGCCACTTTATCAGAAACACCTACCTTGTGCTTCCACTAACTGGTCACTTTGTTAAAAACACCTACCTTGTGCTTCCACTTACTGGCCACTTTATTAGAAACACCTACCTTGTGCTTCCACTAACTGGCCACTTTATTAGAAACACCTACCTTGTGCTTCCACTAACTGGCCACTTTATCAGAAACACCTACGTTGTGCTTCCACTAACTGACCACTTTATTAGAAACACCTACCTGCAGATATGCTAGCTCCATGCTTATTGGTGGTGTATATGCTTCCATGACTTTTCAGCTACTTTAGCCTTATAGCTCCAGTGCTAAAACTATAGAAGCAAATTTCAGACACCAAACAGGTTCCTTTGGCTAAGAGGATAGCTGTGTACATTCAATTTTATCATCAAGCTATCACTTTAAGTGTTATACATTTCACACAGTGAGGTGGTTAATCTCGACATGTGTGGTGTACAACAGCTTAACTTCAAAATGAAGTTCAAAAGCGGTTGACTCATGCTGCATCATGAGTTAGTCTTATCAGTACAGGAGCAATAACATTGAAATCATCATAGTCATTGTCTGGCAGACATGCTCTTTCATTATAGTTTCAACATCTTCAACACTTCATGCTTGAAAAGGAAGTAGTTATGTCCTTCAATACAATCAGATTTACATTACATAACTAGATCAAAATGCACCCATAGAGAGAAAAATATCCACAGTGGGGAAGAAGAAAATGAACGCCATGTGACCTTTTGACCTTCCACAAAATACATAGTTTGTGTTCAATGAGTAAAGCATTCAAGGAAAGGTGTCCCACAGGGTTCCGTTTTAGGGAACTGCTTTTGTCTTTATGCGTTATCTCTATCTCCATTCAACCTAACGAGAAACTGTAGAACAGACTCAGTTTATAACACAATCTCACATTTAGAGTCAGTTATTCATTCAACCTAATAAGAAACTGTAGAACAGACTGAGTTTATATCACAATACCTACATTTAGAGTCGGTTATTCATTCAGCCTAATGAGAAACTGTAGAACAGACTGAGTTTATATCACAATACCTACATTTAGAGTCAGTTATTCATTCAACCTAATGAGAAACTGTAGAACAGACTGAGTTTATATCACAATACCTACATTTAGAGTCGGTTATTCATTCAGCCTAATGAGAAACTGTAGAACAGACTGAGTTTATATCACAATACCTACATTTAGTCAGTTACTCCTTCGGCCTGAGGAGAACGACAACAGGAATTTAGAGGTTTATTGTGATGACTTATTCAGTCGTACTATTTGCCACTAAGAACATGCTGTTCGTCTAAGTGCTATGATTGTTCTCTTTCCTGTCCTTTCGGTACGCGGGTCTCGGTGGAGGTAACTGGCGTTACACTCTGGTGTTGTGGGTGTGAGAGAGAACGCACTGTAAGTCCTAACCGTGTGAGAGAGAACGCACTGTAAGTCCTAACCGTCACTGTGGCCTCTCTGAGTGTAAACAAGGCTGACTGTAGCAAAGAATTCTGGGTAGATTATCTGCTAGCACACGGAAACCCATGACCAAGAAAAGAGACAGACAGATAGAGAGAGGAAGTGTGCACTGCTGCAGTTCCAATATAACCCCACAAATGCACATTCACTCTCAATTTCATACACAGAGAAAACATTTCCTGTCTCACACACACACACACACACACACACACACACACACACACTCACACACACACACTCACACACACACATACACACACTCACACACACACACTCACACTCACACACACACACACACACACTCACACACACACACTCACACTCACACACACACACACACACACACACACTCACACTCACACACACACACACACACACACACACTCACACACACACACTCACACACACACATACACACACTCACACACACACACTCACACACACACACACACACACTCACACACACACACTCACACTCACACACACACACACACACACACACACACACTCACACTCACACACACACACTCACACACACACATACACACACTCACACACACACACTCACACTCACACACACACACACACACACTCACACACACACACTCACACACACACTCACACACACACACACACTCACACACACACACTCACACACACACATACACACACTCACACACTCACACTCACACACACACACACACACACTCACACACACACACTCACACACACACACACACACACACACACACTCACACTCACACACACACACACTCACACACACACACACACACACACTGACACACACACACACACACTGACACACACACACAGGCACACACATGCAGACACATGCACTTATGCTGCAATCTTCTGGAATTAAGTAGTCACACTGGCCACTTTATTAGAAACACCTCATTTTTACTTCCACTAACTGGCCACTTTATTAGAAACACCTTCCTTGTACTTCCACTCAATGGACACTTTATTAGAAACACCTGCCTTATACTTCCACTCACTGGCCACTTTATTAGAAACACCTTCCTTGTGCTTCCACTCACTGGCCACTTTATTAGAAACACCTGCCTTATACTTCCACTCACTGGCCACTTTATTAGAAACAGCTACCTTTAAGGTATAAAACACTTAGAGTTCTGTTTACCCGAACCAACAGCCCAACAGGCCCAGCAGAATATCAGCTTTCTGGCAAATTTTTTTACGCGCGTCGGCCATCCCATCCACAGTGCAGTATGGGCTCCAGTTCCGCCATTCATCCGGGCTGTAAGGGCTATAATTCAGACTTTCTATGAACTTCCAAGGAAGCATGTGATGACGTAAATGAAACAGTAGGAATAATAGATTAGATTAGATTCAACTTTATTGTCGTTGTGCAGAGAACAGGTACAGAGCCAATAAAATGCAGTTAGCATTTAACCAGAAGTGCAAAGTACAGTACTATTTACATATAAAGTAACTGTGATAGGTGATGCTGTGGTTATAATATGTATAATTAAGGACAGTGGAGTGATAAAAAAATATAGATGTTGCAAGTATAAATATTATATATGTGGAGAGAATGTAGGTCGTATGTACTGCGAGACCAGCATGTGTAACATCATAAGTTTAAATTGATAAGTTTAGATACCAATATAATAATAATATTTTTGATAAACAAATGAAGAATGTCTTCCAAAGTAAGTAACACACAATGCAGGTTTCAGATTTATCAGTACCAGTCAGGCCTTGTTAGGTTTCAAAGTTGCTGGTATGGGTCAGTTTCAGGATTCATATTTAGCAGTACCAGTCGGGCCTGTTTGGATTCAGGATTCAGATTTAGCAGTACCAGTCGGGCCTGTTTGGGTTCCCGATTCAAATTTAGCAGTACCAATTGGGACTGTTCCAGTTTAGGATTCAAGTTTAGTAGTACCAGTCGGGCCAGTTCGGGTTCAGGATTCATATTTAGCAGTTCCAGTCGGGCCTGTTTGGGTTTAAGATTCATATTTAGCAGTATCAGTTGAACCTGGTTGGGTTCAGAATTAAAACTTAGCAGTACCAGCTGAGGCTGCCTGGGTTCCGGATTCATATTTAGCACTACCAGTCGGGCCTGTTTGGGTTCAGGATTCATATTTAGCAGTACCAGTTGAACCTGGTTTTGTTCCGGATTGAAATTTAGCAGTACCAGTAGTGCCTGGTTATGTCAGGGCTCAAAGTCACATTTCAGGTTCAGGTTTCAAATTTAGCAGCAGCAGCCGGGCCTTGTTGGGTTTGGTCTCAAATCCTTGGGTACGGGTCAGGTTCAGGATTCAAACTTAGCAATTCCATTCGGACTTGGTCGGGTTCAGTTTTACTTTTAGAAGTACCGGTCTGGCCTGGTCAGGTTCAGGTTTGGTGTTCAAGTTTAGCAGTCGGGCCTGGTCGGGTCTGGTTTCTAGGCGCAGGCATGGTTTGGGTTCGAACTTCATGCCCTTGCAGATGTCTACCAGAACCATATCACTACCAAGTTGGTGCCACAGCTGTACCCAAATACTGTCTGGTCTACAGTGGTCCTGTGATTAAGAGTGAATGGGATAGAGGGGTCTGATAAACTGTGCAGCAGCAGATAGACTAAAGCCTGTAAGTATGCACTTGTATAGTGAACCTGATTGTTTTTTGTATGTTTTTAAAGTGCATTTACATGTTCTGTGTTGACTGTCGTCTTACCAAATCTAATATTAATTGGTCTAATCCCCCTCTCTGCAGTGGGTCCTATAAATGTGGACTTTTCCCAACCGGTCAATTTGAGTGAGATGAGGCAGGACCCGAGGGTGTCTGAGGGTGGACGGTACAAGCCGCGGGAATGTGTGTCACTTCAGAAGGTGGCACTCATCATACCGTTCAGACACAGAGATGAGCACCTGAAGTACTGGCTTTATTACCTTCACCCAGTATTGCAGAGACAACAGCTGGATTATGGAGTCTATGTCATCGAGCAGGTAAGATAACATACACAAGCATTGTAACCTCTTTTACTGCCATGCTTCATTTGCCTTTTATTCTGAGTAAATATGATGATCAACCCAGCGAAAATGGTCCAGAATTACTTGGAAAAAGATATTGTTACAGTATCACACATTACATTTAAAATGACTCTGTAATTGATTGATTAAGAGACACTTATTAGTCCCACAATGGGAAAATTTCACCTCCGCAATCTAACCCATCTGTGCAGTGAAACACCACATACACACTAGTGTAGACACACACTACGGGGCAGTGAGCACACTTGCCCAGAGTGGTAGGCAGCCCTATCCACAGTGCCCAGGGAGCAGTGGGGGTTAGGTGCCTTGCTCAAGGGCACCTCAGTCACAAACTGTCGGCTCAGAGGATCAAACCGGCGACCTTCCGGTTGCAAGGTTGGTTCCCTAACCTCCAGCCCACGACTGCTGATATTTACAGCACTCATACTATAATGTTTGTATTTTTACAAGACTGCACATTCACATCAGTATATTATTGTATTCAAAAATATCCTATATACTGAATAGTAAATATATGTAAACACATATCAGAATAAGGAAAAGTTTAGGAAAAGTTAATATTTAAACCCTTGATGTATACAAACTCAGTACCAAAACAATTTGGGACAGTAGTGAAAATGTAAATAAAGCATTGATTTGCAGGTACTTCAACCCGTATTCAGCTAAAAACTGTACAAAGACAAGATATTTGATGTTTTAACAAACTTTGTAGTTTTTGTATATACTTATTCTGTCTTTGATGCCTGCAACATGTTCCATCACTTTTCTTTTTAACAATGTTCAGTAATCATCTGAGAACTGAGGAAACCAGTTGTTCTAGCACCTTCACTCCCTGTGAAGCCATGCTTTTGCAAAACTTGCAGAATGTGGCTTGGCGTTATCTTCCTGAAATAATCAGGGATGTCCCTGAAAAAGACGGTGTCTAGAAGGCAGCATATGCTGCTCCCAAATGTATATGTATCTCTCAGTATTGGTGCTTTCACAGATATGCAGGATACACCCCTTAAACCATGGCAGACTATGGCTATTGAACTTTACGCTGCTAACAATCTGGATGTTCCTTTTCCTGTTTGGCCTTGCGAACACAACATCTATTATTTCCATAAACAGTCTGAAAGTTTGATTCATCAGACCACAATATACGTTTCCGCTGAGCATCAGTCCATCTCAGATAAGCGTCAGCCCAGAGAAGATGGTGGCGTTTCTGGGTTTTGTTGATATATGGTTTCTGGACATGCTTGCAAACGGTGCTATGCAACCTCTTTTAGTTACGCCCAGCTTTACTCTTATAAAGCACCAGTACAATGCAAACACTTGTAAGCTACTTCAGAATGAGAATCAGGCTCACACTGGACATTCTGTGTAGTGGATTGCTGTAAATTGTGAGGACAAAGCCTCTAGACTCCAGTATTTTAGCCAGTAAGGAATGTATCTCTTGTAACTTCCTCTAATTATCTTTTGTAACTTCCTCCTTAATCGACTCTGACAGTGTCACTAGGGATAGTCAGGGATCTCTTGGTCCACTCACATTAAAAGTTAATGCTTTTTCTAGTAACTTGGATGTCACTTTTGATTCTTAATTAAATGTGTTTTTTCCATTTAAGGAATAACAACAACTTTTCAGGACGCAAATATAATTATTCATGCATTTGTGTCATCTCGCTTGAACCATTGTAATGCCTTATTTACTTGCCTTAGTCAAGACTCTGGCTGGTCTACTCCATTTGAGGGTAAAACTGTACATTTGTTTTTTCACCAAAGTATCGCTTTAAAAGGCAGCCCTCTTTGATTCTTTAATAATGTCTGAGAGTGTCTCTCTGAGGAGGTTAAGTCGCCCGTTAGAGTGAGTGAGGGGAGTAATTTGTTTACAGACCCAGCACATGTCTTTCCCTCACTATCCCTCTCTTACTCCTTCATTCTCTATCTGCCTCTGCAACTCCCACTTTCTTGCTCTCCTGTTTTAACCCTTACATGTCAAAAGTTGGGCACAAGCAACTTCTCATCACTTTCACTTAAAATGGACTGGTGAAGTGGAAAAGTGTCCTGTGGTCCAACAAATCAAGAATTATGGAATTATGGATGCTGTGTCCCCCGGGCTAAAGACCACTCAGCTTGTTATCAGTGCACAGTTTCAAAAGCCAGCATTCATGATGGTATAGGGGGCATTAGTGCACATGGCATGGGTGACTTGCACATCTGTGAAGGCACCATTAATGCTGAACGATATATACATGTTTTGGCAACATAAGCTGCCATCCAGACGACGTCTTTTTCAGGGAAGGCCTTGATTATTTCAGCAGGACAATGCCAAACCACATTCTGCATGTATTACAACAGCATGGCTCTGTATTAAAAGTGTCTGGGTGCTAAACTGGCCTTCCTGCAATCCAGACCTGTCACCACTTGAAACATTTGGCGCATTATAAAATGAAAAATAAAACAAAGGAGACCCCGAACTGTTGAGCAGCTGAAATCCTATAAACAAGAATGGGAAAACATTTCCATTTCAAAACTACAGCAGTGTCTCCTCAGTTCCCAAACACTTACAGAGTGTTGTTAAAAGACGAGGTGATGAAACACAGTGGTAAACAGGCCCCCGTCCCAACTTTTTTGGAACGTGTTGTTGGCATCTAATTCAAAATGGGCAAATATTTTTCAGAAAACAATAAAATTTCTCAGTTTCAACATTTAATATGTTGTCTTTGTACTACATATCAATGAAATATAGAGTTTAAATGATTTGCATATCACTGAATTTTCTTTTTTTTACATTCTGCACAGCGTCCCAACTTTTTTGGAAATGGGGTTGTATTATTACATTATGATGCCTGGAGACAGATTTGAAAAGAGTAATCATGCACATTCAACTAATCCAGAACAATCCGCCCACCAAAAATATTAATGTAGTCAGATCACAGATGAAGGAATAGAGGATGGCAGATCTAATAAAGTGACACTAAATAGACCGTGTAAGGATCATACAATGATTTTCAGCGAATCCATTTGAATAAAATGGACGGTACATACTATATTTGAGTTTATGTGCAATGGACAGGTATCATTTTTCCCTTTGTTGAAGAATTAGCACAGAAAATTGTCCAGCAAACCAGAATCCTAATAAAACATTTCCTCTTCTACTCGAAAACTCAAACGCGGTGTTCTTCACAGTTTCTTCAGTGAGGTACGAGGCAGAAATGATTCATATAAAATCCCAGCATTCTGTTGTTATCACTGGCAGTGCTAGCATACATGGAAACCCTAAGGAGCTTGTAAGAATCTTAGGAAGTCTTATGAAGTGCCTGCTCACTGTTTCAGACTGAGTAGCACACTCTCTTATCACCTAGCCTATGACTTTTAACCTTGGACCACAGTTGCCTGGTCAACACGGCGCCTGTTTTGCGTCAAATTAGCATTAGAATGTAGATGGCCGAGGAGTGTGTGTAGCTTACCCAAGCAAAAACAACCTAACCCAGGAATGTTTTAAATTAAGAGACCGTTCACTGGTTGAATAATGAATGGAAAGCTCATAACACTCAACATGGCGTATATTTACAGAGAAAGTCCCATCCTTCAATAAAATGAGCCAGCCAGTGCTGCGAATAGAGGAGGGTCAACGATATTGTGGTGCTAGCAGGGAAAGCCCCCTCACTGTGGAGATCTGCGCAAGCCCAGTAGCCAGAACACCCCAAAAAAATCATGTTTTTATGTGTTATTCATGGAAACATATCGGTATCAAAATTAAAATGACCAAGTAATATGTAAAATGGTAATGTATGTATTTGTATGTCTGCATTTCAAATTCGAATCATATATGCAACGTTGGGCTAAAACTGAAAATTTGAATTCTGCAATTTTAATTTGCCATTTGGTTTTCTAGTATTGACGTTTCATTTCCGCAAAGATTTAGATGTTTTGTGAACAGCGTTGTTTAAATAAATAAAAAATTCCAGAGCTGCATATTTAGGCTTGATGTGATTATGCAAGAGCGTTATGTATTTATTTTTGTTTGTGTAAATAAACCACTTTAAAAGCAACAAGAGGAACTAGAGAGGGAAAGTTTGTAAACAAAGTCGCTGATTGTTTTCAATGTAATTTGGTTTCTATAGCAGTTCCAGGTGGTTGCTATGGTTTTGCTATGAGGTTTCTATTATATTCCAGCCTGTGGTCAGGGCGTAGCTTGACGGTTGTTAGGTTGTTGCTAAGGTGTTGCTAGAGTGTTGCTATGGTATCCCAGGTGGTTGCTAAAAACAGCATATACTCTGAAAAGAGCATTGTCCTGTTGCCCCGCCCTGTTTGAGTCAGTGCCTGAGCCCCTGGCCGTGTGTGAAGGACACAGGTGTCTGAGGGGGGACTCTCTCATTCAAGTGTGCACAGAAGGAAAATGAGCATGCAAAGGCCGGTCTGGCTTTGGACACGGCTGTGACTTTTGACCTTCGTGTGAGGGTTAAGGAGTGGAAAAGGACCCTGAGAAGGGCAGAAAATCAGATTCTGGCTGTTGGTCATTTGAGTCCACATTCCATTCAAGTTTAAATATATATATAAAATGTGTTTATTTATTTATTTATTTTTAGAAATATGGCCATTTTGTGTGCCCCTGACAACAGTCTTTAAAGTTCCAGTTGAAATATTACTTAATAAAAAAAGCAACATTTAAACTTTGCTATGATTTTACTTTATATATTATTTTTGACCAGTATTTGTTGGTAATATTAACTCTAAAGAAGAAAAAGGCAGTGATTTTGTTTCACATGCTCAGCAGTGTTAGTCCTTCTTTTTATGCTCTCTGTTAATGAAGCAACTGAAATTCTCACTTCATCTCAATGTTACTGATTGAAAGCTGAATAAACATAAAATGTTTTATATGCTGAAATTTAAATTATTCCACATTTATGCTGCCTACATTATATATATCAACATTATATGTAAACAATTCTTTTATCCTACAACCCCATTTCCAAACAAAGTCGGGACGCCGTGCACAATGTAAATAAAAATAGGATGCAATGATCTGCAAATCATGCAAACCACATTTTTAAAGGAAAATACTTAAAAGACAACATATCAAATGTTGAAACTGAGAAATTTTATTGTTTTTTGAAAAATATATGCCCATTTTGAATTTGGTGCCAACAACACGTTTCAAAAAAGTCGAGACGGGATCATGTTTACCACTGTGTTTCATCACCTTCTTGCTTAACATAGGATTTCAGCTGCTCGACAGTTCGGGGTCTCCTTTGTCGTATTTTTCATTTCATAATGCACCAAATGTTATCAGTGGTGACAGGTCTGGACTGCAGGCAGGCCAGTTTAGCACCTGGACTCTTAATGCTGCTGTAATACAGGCAGAATGTGGTTTGGCATTGTTTTGCCACTACATACAACTGGAAATATATAAAAACAAATACAAACAAATACATTTAAAAATATATATTTCACAAATATATTTTTAAAATTCAAAAATATATTTGATAAATACATTTACAAATACATTTTGACTATGTTTTATTTCCATACTTCCCAGCAGGGTTGCAAAGATGGCCACTGGGTGAACAGACTTTCCTATAGGGACTTTGGTGTAGCTAACACTGTCTAAATCTGCTAACTGACAACAACTAATGATAGCTAACTCTGCTAACTAAAAACCCCTAACACTAGCTAACTCTGCTAATTAGAAACCCCTAACACTAGCTAACTCTGCTAACTAAAAACCCCTAACACTAGCTAACTCTGCTAACTAAAAACCCCTAACACTAGCTAACTCTGCTAACTAGAACCCCCTAACACTAGCTAACTCTGCTAACTAGAACCCCCTAACACTAGCTAACTCTGCTAACTAAAAACCCCCAACACTAGCTAACTCTGCTAACTAGAAACCCCTAACACTAGCTAACTCTGCTAACTAGAAACCCCTAACACTAGCTAACTCTGCTAACTAAAACCCCTAACACTAGCTAACTCTGCTAACTAGAAACCCCTAACACTAGCTAACTCTGCTAACTAAAAGCCCCTAACACTAGCTAACTCTGCTAACTAGAAACCCCTAACACTAGCTAACTCTGCTAACTAGAAACCCCTAACACTAGCTAACTCTGCTAACTAGAAACCCCTAACACTAGCTAACTCTGCTAACTAGAAACCCCTAACACTAGCTAACTCTGCTAACTAGAACCCTCTAACACTAGCTAACTCTGCTAACTAAAAGCCCCTAACACTAGCTAACTCTGCTAACTAGAAACCCCTAACACTAGCTAACTCTGCTAACTAGAAACCCCTAACACTAGCTAACTCTGCTAACTAGAACCCTCTAACACTAGCTAACTCTACTAACTAAAAGCCCCTAACACTAGCTAACTCTGCTAACTAAAAGCCCCTAACACTAGCTAACTCTGCTAATTAGAAACTCCTAACTCTAGCTAACTCTGCTAACTGCTGTGCTGTTTGTGCTGGTGTGAGTGAACAGCTAAACAACTTCTCCATCTAGAGGAGTAAAAAGTCCCACAGTGCACCCGAACTGGTTATATTTTTGCTGCAAATGCCAGACTGAGGAACAGAACAGGATCATTTTACTGAAAACACAATCAAATTAAAAAGTTAAACAGTCAGATTTTGAGCAGTCTGGCTGAGTCTGGCCTTCGTGGTTTGGGCTCAGTGAAAGAGCAGATTTAGTGGTGTTTAGCAGCTTTTCTATTCAAATCTGTGTGCAGCCATGCTAGAAAGCTTCAGCCCTCATGCTAATTTGCATGTGGCATCATAGTTATCGCTGCGGTTCCACGTGTAAAGCTGCCATTGTCTGTATAGACAGTGTTACGGTCACTGCAGTGCAAACGAAGCATGAGAACAAGTGTCAGCATAGGAGGAAATCAGTCTCACTTCCTCTGGCCTCACACAGTAGTGAACCTTATCTGGCCTGCTGTCCCGTCAGCTGGACCGAACTCCAGCTGCTTCTCAGGTCTTTGAATGAAAGAGGTCCAGGTGGCAATGTGGACTGTTTCCTTCCATCATCAAACTGACGCATACATTTTCAGGAAAAACACAGTTTGTGCTGCCTTTTTACGTTCCAGGCTCCAATCATTCCAACCACTGTATCACTTTAGGACTGGTTTTCACCTGCTGTCTGTTACGGCAGTGTTTCTCATCTGTTTTTTTTTTTTTAAACATGCAGATCTTCATGTTTTCATATGCTTATGGACTAATATCTCCAATTCTAGTATACAGTAGTGTTTATTTGCTTTGTTTACTGACTAATATCTCCTATTTTAGTGCATAGGAGCATTTATAGAGGTTGTTTGGACTAATATCTCCTGTTCTAATGTATAGGAGCATTTATAGAGGTTGTTTGGACTAATATCTCCTGTTCTAGTGTATAGGAGCATTTATAGAGATTGTTTGGACTAATATATCCTGTACACTAGAACAAGGGAGTTTATTGAGGGTGTTTGGACTAACATTTCCTGTTCTAGTGTACAGGAGAGTTTATTGAGGTGGTTTTGGCCTAATATCCCCTGTTCTAGTGTACCAGAGAGTGTATTGAAGTCGTTTGGACTAATATCTCCTGTTCTAGTGTACAGGAGAGTGTATTGAAAGTCATTGGACTAATATCCCCTGTTCTAGTGTACAGGAGAGTTTATTGAAGTTGTTTGGACTAATATCTCATGTTCTACTGTACAGCGGAGTATATTGAAGTTGTTTGGACTAATATCCCCTGTTCTAGTGTACAGGAGAGTTTATTGAGGTCGTTTGGACTAATATTTCCTGTTCTAGTTTATAGTAGCATTTATTTACTTTGTTTACAGACTAATATCTCCTCTTTTAGTGCATAGGAGCATTTATAGAGGTTGTTTGGACTAATATCTCATACTTCATACCTCCTGTCCATATCTTATAGAATAATATCTCCTTTTGCAGTGTACAAGAGTGTTACTTATAGTTGTTTATGAACTACTATCTCCTCTTTTAGTGCATAAGAGGGCTTGTTGAGGCAGATTGCCAGCTGAAACCCGCTGAAACCATTAGCATGCAAAACCAGTAGCTTTGCTGGTTCGTTAAACCACTTAAAACCGTTAGTAAGCACTAGGACTCTACTGGCAGTGGAACTGGACTAGACCGGTTTGATTACGGACTAATAATTTAATTCCAGTAGAGTCGCTCATCAAGTCAAGTCAGTCTTTATTGTCATCTCAGCTATGTGCACAGTGAAACGATACAACATTCCTCCAGGACCAACACAGGAACACAAGTGCGAGACAATACAATAAACACGGTACAGACAATACAGTACAATAAATAAATATGAAACAGTTACAATAAATACAGAAACAGAGCACAGGCAGTGCACAGTACTGAGAGTATGTGGAGCTGTGCAAAGGAGGATGTAACATGCTATGACATATTGGCAGCTTAGCAGATAGCAGTCACTGAGGTAGCAACCAGAGCCGCAATATACAGTATACAGTATACAGTACACAGTACACAGTGTGCAGTATTTGGTTGATACAGTAATTCTAGCAGCCAAAAATGCAAATATTCAGATCTACAGTCATATCAAGTGAAGTGTTTCAGTGAAATGCAGTAACTATATTTAGATACAATGTTCCAGATATAATTTGGAACCGCAAGAAGTGGGGAGTGAGTTAGTCCCATTATTATATATGTGTGTGTGGGGGTCCGAGTGGGTGTCCTTCAGTTCAGTCCGTGGGAGTAGAGGAATCTGATGGCTTGTTTAAAGAAACTGTTGACACTTAATGACCAAAATGCTAATTAATGCTAGTTAGTAATTATGGCTCAGAGTAAGAGTCCTTTTGTTTGTATGTAAAATTAGCACCATGTCAGATATTCATCTGCTCTGTCTGTGTACGTAGGACGGTGAGGACACGTTTAACCGTGCTAAGCTGCTGAACGTGGGCTACGCAGAGGCTCTGAAGGAGTACAACTACGACTGCTTTGTCTTCAGCGATGTTGACCTCATCCCTCTAGATGACCGAAATACCTACCGCTGTTTCGACCAACCACGTCACCTCGCAGTGTCCATGGACAAGTTCGGCTTCAGGTAAGTGGGAGATCCTTAAGTCTACCCGGAACACTTCTAGGAATTTTACCAAGTCTCGTCCTGGCAAATTGCTGGACACCCACCCTTTGCAGAAAGGGATGAGGTGAAAGGTGCTAACACTCTAACCTTATCAACTCACTGAGATGACCCTTTGTCTCATAACCTGAAGGTGATAACAGTCATCCCGCTTATCTCTACCCCCTACACCTCATTTCATATTCTCCTTCTACATCCCCCCTCCTTACCCCTCCTCAAACTCCTTTCTGTCCTCCCTCCTCCCCCACAGTTTTCAGTGTATGTAAGGTCTTGTTACACTGGACTAGACTAGATTGGTGACCAGACCAGACTGGTGACATACTGATGACCAAGCTGTGCCCGTGCATGATTGTCTGCATGCACATGAATAAGACTAGACTCCTGATCCTGCTGATTGACTGGTGATCGACCACGCTGTGCCCGTACTCTGTATGTGGAAATAAACTCCAGTCAACACCGAAGCTCCAGTCTCCTGACTCTTCCTGCTGAATTTCAAACACTTCCCACCAGCATTTGGACTCACAATCACATCCACACATAACGCTTTTAAAAAAATCAACTAACTATAACTCTGTGAAAGGGTCTATAGAGAGAAAGCCCCTCCCACTACCGCACCTTGCCCAGCCAAACACACACACACACACAAACAAAACCATCAAACAGTTCAAAGCATCAAACCTAACCACTCTATTCAGCCCAGAGAATCACACTGAGCAAAACATGAAAGTCCAAACCTGAACTGACATTGATAAGATTCATATACACAAATCCTGAACAGGTGAGCCCACCTGTTCCACACAGCCATCACTTTAAGACACTTTTAATTTAGTTTCTATAGGGAGATTCTCTCGAAAGAGGCCCCGAGTATTCTGTTGTAAGGATGAAGCAACCTGAACCAAAAAAATACGCTTATATACCTTGACGTATGTGTAATCGATTGCATTACATGCGATGCTGGAAGTGATCTCCGTTTTGTACCAGACACTTTTTGACGTGGCGCTCCATGTTCCTGAACGTATCGGGGGGAATAGCAACAATTTCACGTTCCTTCTAATCCTCCACAGTGCGAGACTTGTTCCACTGGACTTTTCCTTTGAGCGAACCCCAAAGGAAGAAGTCTGGTGGTGTCAGATCCGGTGACCGTGGTGGCCAAAGCCCCTTTGAAATTACCCTGTTGCCAAAGAAGAACAGAATTTCTGCCAAGCTCCTTGCATACTGTATATTGTGCACTACCATCCTGATGAGAAGTCAAGTGACTGAGTGAAGGGTATGGGGGTATGCACCCGAAAGTTGCAAATGGAGGTTAAACATCGCAACGGCTGTCCGGCGCCTACCTCATCGCTCCGACGCAGGGGCATCCCGGCTTGTTCGAAGCTCCATATACTGAGGTACACATTGCACGTTGTTTTGTTCAGATTGCTTCGTCCTAGAGAGAGTTATAACAGAATATTCGGGGCCTCTTTTGAGTGAATCTCCCTGTAGTTTCCACCATATTTACGTTTTACAGTTTCATACAGTAGCATAGCAGTAGATGGTGCGTAATCAGAGCTTCTGGGAGGGAATTGTTGTGGATTATTTATTATTATGGTTGACTGTTTTTGATGGGGACCTTTTGAAGCAGAGTTTCATGCACTGTGGGGTTTGTCTTTCTATTTACATGCATACTGGAGTGCAAAGTAGTCATGAGTTTTGTATCACAATGAGTTTCTATTCTGTTTTGTTTGTTTTGATCGCAGGTTGCCTTACAACCAGTATTTTGGAGGCGTGTCAGCGATGAGTAAAGAACAATACCTGAAAATCAACGGCTTCCCCAATGACTACTGGGGCTGGGGCGGAGAGGACGACGACATCTACAACAGGTCAGAAAAGCAGTACGACGAAGGAATAGTTTGATGAATATGTACAGAAATTTGCCCCCTTAAGCCAAAAGTAGTCAATCATTTAAGGCGTATTTAGTGTCTTACGTTTGCTTTCCCTTGTGGGAATTCTAGGAGAACACCAGTTGGAAAGTCCTATTGGTTCCAGTAGGGAACGGTTGACTTAGCAGTTCAGCTAATGCCAGCTGAAACCCGCTGAAACCATTAGCATGCAAAACCAGTAGCTTTGCTGGTTCTTTAAACCACTTAAAACCGTTAGTAAGCACTAGGACTCTACTGGCAGTGGAACTGGACTAGACCGGTTTGATTACGGACTAATAATTTAATTCCAGTAGAGTCGCTCATCAAGTCAAGACAAGTCAAGTCAGTCTTTATTGTCATCTCAGCTATGTGCACAGTGAAACGATACAACATTCCTCCAGGACCAACACAGGAACACAAGTGCGAGACAATACAATAAACACGGTGCAGACAATACAGTACAATAAATAAATATGAAACAGTTACAATAAATACAGAAACAGAGCACAGGCAGTGCACAGTACTGAGAGTATGTGCAGCTGTGCAAAGGAGGATGTAACATGCTATGACATATTGGCAGCTTAGCAGATAGCAGTCACTGAGGTAGCAACCAGAGCCGCAATATACAGTACACAGTGTGCAGTATTTGGTTGAAACAGTAATTCTAGCAGCCAAAAATGCAAATATTCAGATCTACAGTCATATCAAGTGAAGTGTTTCAGTGAAATGCAGTAACTATATTTAGATGTTTAGTGTTCCAGACATAATTTGGAACTGCAAGAAGTGGGGAGTGAGTTAGTCCCATTGTTACGTATGTTCGTGTGGGGGTCCGTGTGGGTGTCCTTCAGTTCAGTCCGTGGGAGTTGAGGAATCTGACGGCTTGTTTAAAGAAACTGTTGCCCATTCTGGCCATTCTGTGAGGGCCCAAATGCTGCGGTACCTTCTTCCAGATGGCAGAGGAGAGGGGTGTGTGGGGTCAGTCATAACACTAGTGGCTTTTCGGATGCAGTGTGTGGTGTAAATGTCCGTGATGGAGGGGAGAGAGACCCCGGCGATCTTTTCAGCTGTCCTCACTATTCGCTGGAGGGTCTTGCGGTTGGAGGTGGTGTAATTCCCAAACAAGGCAGTAATGCAGCTGGGTCATTCTACAGAAACATCCATTTTTATGTCCCTAATGTTTACAGATATTACACTTGAAAAACATGTTAGGGTTACAATTTATTTATATTTTAAAATGAAACAATAAATTATTTTAACAGTTACACCTTCTTGAGCCTCAATTTAGCAATATTGGTTTTTAAATAAATTTTCTAGAATTCCAAGCACCACAGAAGAGCTCGTCCCCACAGTCATGTGTAAAGGCTGAGGCCATATTTTGACTACAATAATCTATACATGATTATGAAATGTATGATTTAAATGACATAAAGAAAACAATGACAAATAAATATAATAAAATATATAATGACAGTTGTGGTCCCCAGGAGTCGTGTCACTGGTGTTACTGCGTAACAAAAAATCTCTTATTTTGAAATAAAAGTCACACTGATGACATCACTCGACTTCGTTTTACCTGTTTTCTGAGGATCTCTGAAGAAAAGCTCATGGTGAGTCCACTGAGTCTTTCAGTTATCAGAGATTTTCTCATTTGGCTCATGATTTCATATGGAGCTTTTAGCTGAAGTCACTGGTGTGACCGACTTTATTCTGAGGTAATTGTGGAAAAATAGAATACAAATAGATTAATTTACATATTTTAGTGGATATTCAATGATTGACAACATGTGGTTTGATGCTCTGCAGAAGCCATTTTGTAAAATGCATTGTTCATTAAAAATGTCTCTGGTGTTACCTTTATTATATGTAACACCAATGATGATCAGTAACACCAGTGACTCCTATGGAGAGACAGAAAAGTGGGCGTTTCTGTAGAATGACCCAGCTACTCAGGATGCTCTCTATAGTGCCTCAGTAGAAGGTGGTAAGGATGGTGGATGGGAGATGAGCTTTCCTTAACTTCCTTAGGAAACAGAGACGCTGCTGAGCTTTCTTGGCTATGAAGCTGGTGTTCAGGGTCCAGGTGAGGTTCTCCGATCGTGCTTGCAACGATCTCCACAGGGGAGTTGTTGATGGTGAGTGGAGAGTGGTCACTCAGTGCTCGCCTGAAGTCAACAACCATCTCCTTTGTCTTGTCTACATTCAGATGTAGGTTGTTGACTGTACACCAGTCTGTCTGTCACTGCCCCTCCTCTCTGTATGCTGACTCATGACTGGATTCAGCTAGATTTTCCCCTCAGGCCTTTAGAGCTATGAGGCTAGTATAGCTAGATGGCCATGTCTAAATAATCAAAACCTGTGTGGAGTTGTTCAGTAAGCTCTGATAGACTTGATTATGGGGTTTCTGACTCTGTATGACTCACTGTTATCTATTTATCTATAAACACGGACTAAGGTACGTTAGCATTGCTAAAAACAGTAGCATTTTGAAACCTGAATTTAGTCCATGTTTATAGCTAACAGTGTGTCATACAGTACCAGAAACCACATAATCAAGTCTATTAGAGATACTGAACAACTCCACACAGTTTGAGGTGAGTATGTGGTGATTTAGGCCTGCAGTTAGCACAATGCTAATTTGTAAAGTATATGCTTCCATTGCTCTTGAGCTACATTAGCCTCATAGCTACAGTGCAGAAACAAAGAAGCAAATTTCAGACACCAAACATGTCTTGATCTTGAGCTGATCAACTACATTTGGGGTAAGAGGCATAAATGTGCAGGATCTACTTTCCTGCCAAAATGTTGAGTCCACTTCACTGGCAAATTGCCAGATCTAAATTACCACCAAATTGCCAGATTTACTTTCCCAATCCACTTTCCTGCCAAACTGGCAGATCTACTTTATCATGCATTCTCTGAATCAGCTTTACTGCCAACTACTTCCACACTATATAACTATAACTCTATGAAAGGGTCTATAGAGAGAGAGCCCCACCCACTAACCCACCTTACCCAACCAACCAAACACACACACCCACAGCCCACAATAAACAAAGTTCAAAGCCTCAACACTAACCGCTCTATTCAGCCCATAGAATCACACTGAGCAGGACATGAAAGTGAACTAACACTGATAAGGATCAAAAATCCTGAAGAGGCGAGTGCAGCTGTTTCACACGGCCACTGCTTTAAGGCACCAGGCGTGACAGAAAGTCTTTTCCAGTTTCCAGTTTCTCGACCTGATTTACATTCTGCAGTTTCATACGTTAGCAGTCAAAAGACACACCTAAGCCCTACTGGAGCTGGATTAGTTTCACCAGAGAAGGTCTGGTAATGTATTATTTGCGTGATTCGACTGGCTGATTTGCATTGGATAAAGGATCTGTGTAATTTACCCAAATTGCCCAGACAAAACATCATTGCACAGACGTTAACATCAGCGTTACGCGACAGGCGGCACACATCTGAACAGTAGCAACACATTGTGCATCTAAATGCTGAATATGCCACCATTAAAGCCATGAAGCCTGAATTTAGTCCATGTTTATGGATAGCAGTGTGTTATGGAGTGTCCCAAACCACACAATCAAGTCTATTAGAGCAGCATTTCTCAACCGAGGCCCTGGAGACTCACTGCTCTGCACTTTTTTAGTGTTTCCATGCTTCCAGCACATCTGATCCAACTAATCAGCTCATTTTCAAGCCCTTACTGTGTTGAAAGTGGTGTGTTTAAGCAAGGAAAACACTGAAATTTGCAGGACAGTAGGCCTCCAGTCCCAAGGTTGAGAAACATGTACAAGAGATTACTGAACAACTCCACATGGTTGAGTATGTGATGATTTAGGCCTGCAGTTAGCACCATGTAGCCTACATTAGCCTCGTAGCTACAGTGCAAAACTAAAGAAGCAAACTTCAGACACCAAATTCGTCTTAGCTGATTGACTACATTGGGGTAAGGGAGAAGTGGGTACATTAGGTTTGTTATTAGCCATTAAAGCATTCAGATGAGGACTGATTAAAGATGAATTGGAAGAAATACATGAAAACAACCCAATATATTAAAAACATTAGAGCACTGGTCACCAACCCTCCTCATGGAACTAACCTGCATCTAATGTGCCACCCCCCCCCCTTTTACCATTCTTAAGGCATTATAAACATGGCTATATATATTTATAAAATGCATTACACATTATAGCCATGCTTATTATGCATTATGAATTGTTAACATAATGCATTATAAGTACGGTTCATAACAAATTATAAGAGCTCATAAGTTGTATTTGTCCACTCTAAGTAAAGTGAAGCGTAATGTACTAAAGCCTCCTCCAGTGTTAAGAGTGAGGCTTCAGGTTGAAGTATTACTGAAGGATTTACTGAAACACTAAAACATACACATTAAAGCACATTACAGGCTTCAAATGTCAGAGTTTAAACTAGTGCTGCCATCAGTGTTTTACCCACTGTGGGAAAGGTAATGTACACCACCGTTAGCTTGGCACCAACTTAACACTGCATATCCAATAGAATGCTAGCAGAGATTAGCATTACTGTACTGTAGTGTAGTGTTACAGAGTGAAGGGTTCTAACGCTTGACATTAGAACCAGTGAGGGAACAAATTACAATGACAGCAGTCTACTATCTCCCCTCTCCCTCTCCAGACCTTCAATCCACAATAACTTCACGCTCAGTGTGATGTCAGAGGGGGTTCAGGGGAGGGGCTGATGGGTACTTGGTTTGCTGTGATGTAATGTACCATGTAAAGTGAGACGCTGGATAAGAAAAGCACATTGTAGCAGTAATTCTAGGCTGGACAGCCTGTTTGGAGCATCTGAGTATTCAGGACTGAAGCCCTGAAGATGCAGCTTTAACAGCACCAGCGGCAAGAAATATAATACTGGAAATCCTGTAAATAAACTTTGTATTTGTCTTTACTTTACGCTCTCCAAGCTGGGACTGACCTCTTTGGCACTGACAGTATAACATGTTATTAACACTACTTATAATGCATTATATATATATAATACATTTGGCTATAAAGTGTAATTCATTCATATATACATACACACATATATAAAACCATGTTTATAATGCCTTATGGATGCTTACAAACGTGACATTCATAGAAAGTGTTACCGTAATTACTAACCACTAATGTAGTTGATCCAGCCAATCAAGGACTTCTGAAGAAGTTAATTAGCTGGAGCAGGAAGGTAGATCTCCAGGACCAGGGTTGCTGCATTGGAGGAAAATCTTATTATTGGCTGAACTCAGCAGTGCTGAACCCTGGTCCTGGAGATCTACCACCCTGCTGAGTTAGGCTCCAGCCCTAATCTAACACAACTGATCCAGGTAATGAAGGCTTTTAGGGGTATCTGAATATTAGAGCCGGGTGTTTTGGATCAGAACTGTCCAGGGTGGTAGATCTCCAGGACCAGGATTGAGCACCCCTGGCTTAACTGGTTAAACTGAGACAGAATTGAATGACCTGAAAATAAACTGAGCCTAACCCTGAGAGGAGAAACTGCTCTCTGCTCCCTCTACTGGCTGCTAATGGAAGTGATCTGAGGGCAGTTTCGAAGGAAAAAAAGAAAAAGGTTTGAATCCATGCTGGAAATTTGTTTTAAGGACAAAATATAAACAGCGAAGTTGATGCTTATGACTGAAATTCTTCAGAATGCTCCTCGAACCGTTAGTTTGTTTCTGATCCGGTGTGGTGTCTATGTTCTTGAGTGCTGTTGGAAGAGCATGTCAGGTGGTTCCTCATAAAGCTGCCTGAAAGAACAGCAAGAGTATGTAAAGCTAGGTCAAGACATAGTGGGGCTACTGTGTTATTTCATAGTCTTGATGTCTTCACTATCACTCTAAAATGTGCAAAATAGTTATCATGTAACAAGGAAAACTCTTTTATAAGCAGGCCTGACCAAACTTTTAACTGGAACTCTATGGCTTTTTAAAATATCATGGCGTTGACCCCTAGATAAGTCACAACACTCGAAAAGGACGCCTTTACTGGGGTACTGCCTGTTTTGAGAGATCCAGCCATACGTAAGTTCAAATGTGGGCTAGTTGTGAGTGTGTACTAAGCTCACACATGACTACACCAACATGGGTAGCACCACACAAACTAGCTTTGTCATTACTAAATATTTACATCTCCTCCCCAAAGCAGGACTTGGGGAAACCAATGGTAGATAACACTGAGAAGACCAGAAACATGACCTGACTTTTGATTGTCGCAACTGTAAGTTTAGGAGTTAGGGGTAGATGCCTCCCAATAGAAAGTGCCCTAAAAATGATGAGTTTAAATAGATCATAATATAATCTTTTATATATAATATAATCTTTATAATTTTTTAAATAGTGTTTTTTACTGTGAGGGTGCAGTCTAATTCAGTAGAATGCCCCATGTAGCTGTCATGTAGCAGTAAAGTGTTACTGTAGTTAAAGTCCTATTCAAGCAGGATTACTTTTACCAGAGGAGGTCCGGTATTGTAATCTGTTCTAGATTTGACCGGCTGATTCATACTGGATAAAGAATCTCTGTAATTTTCCTTACTAGCGTTGAAACATGTTTACCTCAGCATTATCTGACAGGCTCCACACTTCCAAACTATAACACGCTGTGTGGCTAACTGGCACATAGACTAGTATTCGGCTAGAGGTCTTCGTGGGACAGTTTTTAGGCCCGCTCCCACCCGCTCCTGCGAGATTTCACTCTGCTCCCGCCCACTCCCACAGAAAATCGTAATCATTTCTCCTGCTCCCGCCCACACAGTTCCACGCACATCCAATATCCAATAACTTACTTAAAGTACACGGTATATTTGTTTTTCCTGGACAGCATTCTGACTTTTGATTAGGCAAAAGTTTCAAGCCTGGCAGACCAGCTGGGAAATCAGTCTGCAGCACGGAATGTTTATTTCATCATGAATTACATAAAAATCGCCTTTTGACCTTTTTATACGGTTTTCTGTTTAATTTTCATTTATCTTCATAGCTTATTTCAGTGTATTTACCTGCGTGATGTGCGTGGCGCATGGAAAAAAATCTGCCTCGGGTCTATTTTCTAAATACTGCCCCGCTTCATTGCGGCATCTGGGACTCAATTCGAGCAGGACTACTGTTACTGAGGGAGTTTGGCAAATTATAGGAGGTAGTTTATAGAATTATTACTTAGCAAACTTGTAGAAACTACAGGCATGGCAGATTCGTACTAGACTAAAATCACAAAGCTTGACGATAATTGCTTAAATTACAGCACATCCACAGATGATACTAATCCTGCTCGAATAGGGCTTAAGATGTTCATTTAGTAAAACAAAGTCGGAAAATCTCTAAGCACAAACAAACATACACATAACTGGTGCAACCAAGTCCTTTTATTTGAATGTTTTATGTTTATGTTTATGCCGTTTGGCAGATCTTATCAAGAGTGACTTACAATTTTAATCATGTTTCAGAGGTTGGTGAATGTAGTGTTGGGAGTCTAGCCCAGCTGGTATAGTGTGGTGCTCTAGCCCAGCTGGAGAACTGAAGTGCATGAAAGGCAGCGTGTTATCCACTACGCTTTACAAACCACTGTTCACCATCATAACGTTAGGCTACTTTTGACATGAACTTGTTTATTTACTTTGTTTTGTTTTCTTTCTGGAGGTTGACGTTTCGAGGGATGTCTGTGTCTCGGCCTGATGGCGTCATCGGACGGTGTAAGATGATTCGGCACTCAAGAGACAAAAAGAACGAACCAAACCCTCAGAGGTAACAGTCACAAAACCAGAACTTCTTCCCTTGATCCTAAGTATGTAGCTATTAGTGCCACTTTACTGTACTGTGTACATATCACCTGATTGCGTAGCCTGTGTTATGACCTGTCTAGGGGTTTGAGATGATCATAACAAAAAAAAATGACAAAAGAGAGCCAGTTGACGTTTAAACAGGTCAAATCGTGTTATTTTCTCTTTATGCTGCTCTTTTGTACATACGACAGAGGAGAACGTCAGAGTGGGCATGCGCCAAAACAATAAACATAACCAGCCTAGCTAGAGATGTTAGAGAACTAACTTACCTACGCTAACATAAAGAAACAAAAGTACAGTCAGTCTTTCCTAACTCCCTAACTATACCAAAAACAGGAGAAAACAAGATCAAAAGAAATGGCACCCACTCCTACAACCTGGTCGGCATAAGAGTGAACATTTACAGAGACAGATCATGAGCTTACAGTTTAACTGCAGAGATAACTGGGTATGGAACAAGAGGTAAAGCTAAGCTATTTCATTTGGGAGGAGAGCAGACAATCGCTAGCAATAAAACAAACAAGCTGAGCTGCGGTTTGGATCTAAAAACAATCGCTCCAAGCCGCCATGGAGGAAAGCCTCGATGACATCCGGCGCAGCCGTCGAAGATATACGCCGTGCAATTTCAGCCAGCCAATCAGATGCAATTTCGTTACGGGACTCCAGGCAATCACACGCACAAGTGGGCGGGTTCCTAATAAGCGAGAGTATAAGAGAGAGAGAGAGAGAGAAAGAACGAAAGGGAAGCAAGCAAAACAAAACATACGTCCTATGGACGTAACAGCCTGATATGCAGAAGGAAGGATATTTACATATATTTTTCTAAATATTTGTCAAGCTTGTATATTACCAGCCGTTTGAAAACGTTTTAAACACCCCAATCTAATTACGTTTCAAATTTCTAAGTAAGAAAAAACTCTGGCATTTTTTTCTCTGTAGAGGAACATTTTCATTTTGAAAATCAACAAAACATGGAATTTGCCCTGGGGTGTCTAAACTCTTGCATACAAATGTACTGCATACTGTCTTTCATGCAAATATAAATATATTTCAATATACACCGATCAGGCATAATATAATGACCACCTCCTTGTTTCTACGCTTATTGTCCATTTTATCAGCTCCACTTACTATATAGGTGCACTTTGTAGTTCTACAGTTACAGACTGTAGTCCATCTGTTTCTCTGCATACTTTGTTAGCCCCCTTTTACCCTGTTCTTCAGTGGTCAGGACCCCCATGGACCCTCACAGAGCAGGTACTGTTCTGGATCAGACACAGCAGTGCAGTAATACTGACGTGGTGGTGGTGTGTTAGTGTGTGTTGTGCTGGTACAAGTAGATCAGACACAGCAGTGCTGCTGAAGTTTTTGAACTCTGTGTCCACTCACTGTCCACTCTATTAGACACTCCTACCTTGTCAGTCCACCTTGTAGATGTGAAGTCAGAGACGATAGCTCAGCTGCTGCTGCACAGTTTGTGTTGGTCATCCTCTAGTCCTTCATCAGTGGTCACAGGTCGCTGTTGGCTGGACATTTTTGTTGGTGGACTATTCTCAGTCCAGCAGTGACACTGAGGTGTTTAAAAACTCCAGCAGCACTGCTGTGTCTGATCCACTCAGACCAGCGCAACACACACTAACACACCACCACCACATCAGTGTTACTGCAGTGCTGAGAATGAGTTTAGCATATTGGAAAAAACCTCTAAATAAAGTTTTTGCGCAGGCCACATTTTATGTTTCATTTCCCCCCAAGATATTAAATTTAACAAATAACCAGTAAAAGTGCATTAAAATGTGCAGAGGTGTGTTCTCTGTAGAGGATGCGTCGACTTATTCTCACGTAGAAAATCAACAACAGCATGCAGTCCGACCGGTCGTGAAGGCCCTTCCCTCACAGTGTGCTTCATTTTCGCAGGTTTGACAGAATCGCTCACACGAGACAAACCATGGACAGTGACGGCATCAACAGCCTGACCTACAGAGTGGTGAGGACAGAGAAGGACAAGCTGTTCACCAAAATCACAGTGGACATCGGCAAGCCTTGATCTTCTGCTGGCCTTCAGAGTTCTTACGGTTGCTTTAAGCCACTTGGCGGAGTAACTGTGGAGCGCTACAGCACGGGAGCTGTCATTTTCTAGACGGAAACGTATTTGAATGTCCGTGAAGGAGGACCTCAAACTGTCTTCATGATGCAGTCCAAATGGAAACTAACCAAAATCCTACTCAGACACATTCGCTGAGCGAAGCCAACGGTGTCCTGATCCAGTTCTGGAGCACCGCAGCACTACTTAGCAGAGCTTTAGTTATAATGTGTGACTGAAGGGAGCAAAAATAGAGAGATGGTAACGTTAGCGTGAGCTACTTAACCAGCTGGGTTGATCTCAGTGAAGATATTGTTCATTTATGACCAAAGAAACTGTCCATTCATGGTTAAAGGCGAAAAAAATACAATATTATAGCATTACACCAGCTGCTTAGCTAGCTAGTACGATCTTAGTAAACAAACTGGAACGGCACTAGCATACATGCTAATAATATTTAGCATTAGCTACTTAGCTTGGCTCGGTTTCCCAAAAACATCTCAGTGTAAGGATGGCTCTTAAATGGTAGAGCGAGCATCACACCGAACACTCTCTCTACCGGTTAAGCCAGTCTTTACACTAAGATGCTTTTGGGAAACGGTTCCTTGTACATTTATAATTGTAGGGGACTAAAGTGGAAAGGGAAAGGTGTTAGCGTGCATGCTAATAACATAAGCATTAGCTCCTTTGCTAGGAGCAAAGGGGTTTCAGGGTCCTCCAAGCAGACCAGCATACATGCTAGCATACATGCTAATAATAATAGTGAGACCAAAGAGACTGTTCATTTAACACTGGAGGAAGAAAAAAATAATATTGTTGGCATTAGCTGCATGGCTAGCTAGCATGATCTTAGTAAAGAGGCTATGCATTTATGATCGGTGCGGGAAAAAAAGATGAAATGGGTCCTAAAATGTGTGCTTTTTTCTTTCTTTCTTTCTTTTTTTCATGATTTATACCTTAGCTTTACACAGGGGATCAAATCGGGTTCTTTCCGGTTCTTTTCTGTCACCTAACATCTGATTCAGCTCAGATAACCATTCCGGTTCTGTAGGAGCTGATTCAGGCTGTCTTAGAACAAGGAAAACAGCTAAACTGTGCAGTTTAGTGCTAAACCAGAAATGTTTTTTTGGAAGTTTTGCTTTCTAACATATAAAAACCATCTAAGCCTTTTGGTGCTGTTAACCTGAAGTGTTGAGGAACTCACCCAAACTAAACTGATCAAACTAAACTGACCAAAGAGAGAGTTCAGACTAAACAGGTCAAAAACAAAAGCGAGTACATTTAAAATGCTGCACTGTAGCACCCCTTTCAGCCAATCAGGCTCATCTCGCTTGCCTGAATAGACCAGCAGCATTTAGCGTTTAGGCTCAACCCAAACCATGTCACCGAATCCAAAATTGACCCGAGCTTGATAAAATTCTGCCCAGAACTGACCCAGACAGGCCCATAATCACCCAAAGTGCTGAATAGAACCTGTCATTTTGACCGGTAGCGCTGGTTACCTTACCTAACAGAAGTTGCTGCATGGTAAGAAGTTAGCGCATAAATAAATGGAATAAAACATATCCCTTTAAAACAATCCCAAATCAAGTTTACACTGATTCTGGATTATTTTAAACACAGATTTCTCAAGTTTGAATTCATCAAGCAATGCTTGCACATGACATACCAGCTTTTAGTCTGGTAAAACGTTCTCTAAGGGACTGTTCTGAGTTCTGAGAACCTGAATGTAAAATCTGAGCCCAACACATATTCAGGAAATGACGTGGGCACTCGGGTCCCGTCGGATTTGGACAAATATTTCAAGCTCTACCAAAACTTTGCGGCTCTACGGCTCACTGCTCAGTCTGCATGTTTTAGCCCAGGATCGGAATAAGTGCTTGGACCCCTAATGAACCCAGTTCTAGCTGATATCTGCCGTTTGTTGGGCTGCGTCGGACAGGCGAATTCTTCACAGTGCAGTGACTCTTCTGAAACACTCAGGGATCAAGAACTCTGCCTTGACCTTTTCTCTAAAGGAGAGGAAGACCAGCCTTCCTGTGAGACTGAAAAGGAAGAACCCGGCGAAAGAGTTGAAAGTCAATCAAAAGGAATATAAACATGTGACTGGAAGTGTTGTTGCTGGCGACAGGCCTAACAGGAAAAGAGGAAAGCAGTGCCTGTGGGGCTGAGCTGGCTGGTCAGCTTTTCTGCTGCTGCTGCAGTCTGGGATGACCTCTTGAATCAAACTAGGACTGACCTGCGGACTCATCAGTACTCCTCACTCCCTGATGCTCTCCATTGAGAACATCTGCTTATACTCACCTCATTAGAGACAGATTGCGTTGCTTTTTCAAAAATAGCATAAGTCACTTGTTATGAGGAAAAGATTTTCCATCAGTTTGATGTCATTTGCCTAATTTGGACAGGATTAAAAGTACATGGGGTCCTAGGGCAATTTCCTTTTTCGAAGGTGCTGCTGAATGACTGTATCTTGTCCAGGCCGTGTCGTTTTCCTCTCTCCACCCCTGAGAAAATTAGAGGCCAAATTGCCTACTGTTTTTCGCTAAACTCAGCAGTGCTCCGGTCATTTTAGTCCCATCCAGAGACACATTTGCATGGTTTTCCAGGCAAAAAAAAAGGGTTTTGACCGCTGCTACTCACCATATTTAGTCTCCTAGCATGCATATCTATAGTAAACACTTCGCAAATTGCGAAACGATGGATGCTGGGGAAAAAAACGAGTCACCTACTTTAAATTACAGGGGATCTCCAATGATTTGTTCATTGTAGAGGCTTAGATTTCTTTACAGAGGTGGTGAGAGGAACCAGGGCCATGTCTACAACACAAATACAGTCACTATCCAAAACCACCAGTGAACCTACACGTGTCTTCTGAGTTTTATGTGATGGGAAAATAGTGGTAAATCTGAAAAACACAAGTTTTCTTTTGGGACTATTTTGCCTCACAACACCCTGCATGTACCCCTCCACCATGACTGTGGTTAAAGACATGTTTTAGGTGAGAATTTTCTCAAAACTAATGTAAAACAGTGTCTCAGACATCTGGCAGTATATTTATAACCATTTCACGTAATAAATTGGAGCTTTTAGAGGTGGCTGTCTGGTTCCCATCACCACCACTGTGAACAGTTCTGATGGTCGGTTGAGCGTTTCACCTCAACCCCTTCTGAATGATTTTGTTCACATGTTTTTGACAGAATTATGCAAATTGTTTTGGAAAATCTGTGAAATTCCTCTTTAATATCATCAACCTTATAAATCTGTGTTCATAGAAAATACAACCCACTAGAAACTTTTAAAATTGATTTTAATGCCATCCGGATTTTGTGCAAGTTTAATTGCCGAGGAGGCGTTGATGAATGAGATCCGAAAAGGAGCACTGTAAAATCAGAGGACGTGTAGCTTCACTGTTTGGGTAAAAAAAAGGTCTTATCACTAACATCGTAATGAAATCTGAATCGGTACACTTCTCTAGAATCAACTTTGTTTATTTCTCAACATGCAAACATGCTGAAACTTAAAAAAACTGGTGGAATTCATGTTTAATCAACCACGCTTAGATGTTCACTGCAAATCATGATGTCTTAGCAAGAGAAAACATTTTATATGTAGTCAATATATCTAATATTTCTGATTATGGGTTTGCTGTAAAAATATTACAAGATTATTCAACCTTTTTCCACACATTTGTACTTGTTTTTAGTGATTATATGCAGTGAAAGTGTCCTATTCCACTGGTAGATGTTTCAAGAAGTGATGCAGATAATTGTGTTTGTTCTAAGCAACATCTGCCAGTGGAATAAGACATTTTTATAAGACAAAACAACTTAAAACAAGTAAAAATGTCTAGAAATAAGTTTGATAAGCTTCTAATATTCTTACAACAATCTCAAAATTAGAAATATTGAAGTCTCAGGGAACTAAAAAGTCAGTGGCTCCCAGTCTGAGGGATTGCAGACTGTATATTCCAGTTAAATATGAAACCCCCTATCAGCCAAAATATGTTTGTTGTCGGGAGAATTGCCGGGAGAATTGCCAGTGGGCTGGTAGCGTTTTGGGTCGCTTACTGTGAGCCAATGTAACTATATACTCACACATATAAGGACAAGAACGCTCAGACAAACTGGAAAGTCCAGTCCAGCTGTGCTGATCTACAACAAAACACGCATGGTGTCTCGGAAGCATCGGAAGCTGGTGCTAATCTTCACCCTCCCAGCTTATCAGTGTTGAGAGATAACTTGGGAAGAAATTGGGGGAAAAATAAGAAAAGCTTGTGCACCAGTTAGCATTGTTGCTTCAAACTGTGTGGAGCTGATTATTAATCTCCGGTAAACCTCCAGTAAATGACACGCTGTTGTCTATAAACATGGACTAAAGTAGATAAAATTCCAGCCTCGTAGCTCCAGTGCAAAAATAAGGCAGCAAACATCAGACACCAAACACGTCTTGGCTGATCAACCACATTTGGCGTGAGGGTTTTTCACCAAAAAACTACTGCTTTAAAATATCTACAGACTATTACAGGCCTTTTAATGTGTTTGTGTTACTGCAATATCGTTCACACTTTAAACTGTATAACTGATCTGGGAACTGCTGTTAAACTCACTGAACACCAGCAAACTGTAAGGCACTTTATATATATATGATCATTTATTAACGAGTAAATCGCTGTTGTTGGAAGAAAATCTTATGTTTTTCAGTTTTTGATATAATTTGAAAAAACATGTTACCCTTTACGTTGTGTGTATATTTCATAATGAATGGACTAAAAGAAACAGCCCAAAACTGCTTGGGAAAAATTCTGGTTCCATTGACTTACATTATAAGTTAAGTAGGTTTTTTCCTTCTCCGGTAAAGTTACCATTTTGGAGATACGAGGTTTTAGCAAATGCTTTTACTATCCATTGTAAGATTCTGTGAAATGCCTTTTTGTACATTGTGTGTTTTATGGGGAAACGTGCACTGAAGTGATTCATGGAAATAATAATGAATGAAATGGTTCACGCCTTTGTGTTGCTCATCGTTTTTGTGAACAAATCTGAATGACGTCGGGATATTAGGGTCCGTTTTGTGGAACATCAGAATCGGAAACGTTTTATTGGTCTTGTAAATTCGATTTTTTTGCCAATCTATTGCTTTAATCCACTATAACCCTGCTGTACTGGACAGATGTATTTCACTCTGACCAATAAAGGCCGAAACAGGGAATACGCCAGCCAAAGGTGACAGCACAACTCATTTGTTTGTTTTGTTTGTCTATTATAATGTGACCTCAGTGACCAGTCTGAGCCAGGGTAACAAAAAAACCGAGGCTCGCATTCCAGAGAAATCCGGAATTTACACAAACGGTGGGAAGACTGGAGACCAAAGACCAGTGCTGCCTGTGTTGTGTGTATGTATGTTTTATCCGCGTCTTTTCCTGTCTGAAAACAGTTTTTTTTTTCTGTTCTGGACTTTTCTGACGGGAGGGAAAAACCCATTTATATCGCCACATCCTTCCTATGACCTCGTATTCTACTAGCATTAGTCATTATGACTGCTGGAATTCACTCTGAGGCCTTTTCTCACGCTGGCTGCCATCGTTTCAGACCAGCACAGCTTCAAATGACTTAGCTAGCTATTCACCAAGCCACAAGTCAGCTTACAGCATGCACAAGCCTACTACCTAGCGAGTTACATGAAACCCGATCAATCAACCCTTAGACATTAGCAGGGCTAATAGTTAAACAAATCAGGTTATGTTGAGTGGTGTTTATGGTTAATGTCGTTTATGCAGGGATTCAGTTTGACTTTGAAAGGTGGTGGAACTTTTCCTAAGTTTGCTAAAGCTAGCTTGTAGCTATTACAGCAAACAAGGGTACAGAAATGTAGCTAGCTAGCTACCAAGCCACAAGTTAGCATATCGCTGTTGTTGGAACAAAACCTTGTATCTCCATTTTTGTTGTTTTTCAGTTTTTGACATAATTTGAAAGTGTCTGTTGTTCTTTATATCGTGTGTAAATTTCATGATGAATGAACTAAAAGAAACGGCCCAAAGTGACTTGGAAAAAAGTCTGGTTCCATTGACTTACATTAAAAGTAAAGTATGTTTTTTCCTTCTCCTGTAAAGTCACCATTTTGGAGATACGAGGTTTTGCTCCGACAGCAGCGACATGTACATTCTGAGCCAGCTAACTAGCCAGATAAGTCTGTTTTCACATAACCTAATTCTTTGTGAACATTAGAAGGGCTTAGTTAAAGGGATCCAGTTTCTTTTTGAGTGGTGTTTAACCTCTTATTGAGGGGTATATTTTGGTTTGTCCATCTGAATTTACATGACCAAATCGTAAGACAAATTATTCAGTAACTGCATGAAATAAATGTAGATTTTTATTTTATTTATTTATTTTTTTGTAAAAGCTCCCCTCAAATTAACAGAACATGTGTTTTATGATCACACATATTGCTGTATGCTTACAATTTACTGCTGAAAGCCAAAAATCTCAGACGCTCTTTGTATTATTTTATAAAAATTATTTTTACAGAGCAGATCACTGAAGAGACGCCATCTGTTTATAGTTTATAGCCCAGATTTGTGGAAAAATGGGTCGACTTTCAGTAGAAAAAAAACTTGTTCAGCTTCTTTTATTATAAGGGCTTAAAATTACATCACCCATCTATTTGACTGGAAAGAAGACAGTTTCAGCTCTCATATGACCCCCACCTTTAGAATGTAGCTTATGAAATATGAAAGTTATGAAGAATATGACGAAGTGTGTTTTGGAACCACCGGTGGTCTCAAGGAGTTGAAAAGGTTAATGTAGTTTATGCAGGGATTCAGTTTGACTTTGAAAGGTGGTGGAACTTCTAAGTTTGCTAAAGCTAGCTTGTAGCTATTATAGCAAACAAGGGTACAGAAACGGACTTAGCTAGTTAGCTACCAAGCCACAAGTTACCATATGTACATTCTGAGCCAGCTAACTAGCCAGATAAGCCAGTTTTCACATAAAGTAATTCTTTGTGAACATTAGAAGGGCTGAGTTTCCTTCTGAGTGGTGTTTATGGCTAATCTAGTTTATGCAGGGATTCAGTTTGATTTTGAGGTGGTGGAACTTTTCCTAAATCTGCTAAAGTTAGCTCACATAGCTACTGAAGCCAGCTAGAGGTTCAGAATTTGGCTTAGCTGGCTAGTTTTTCACTTAAAGTGACAAATGTGGACATTGTGACCTCTGAATTAAAGCTAAAACCAAGCTTGGGTAGGTAAACTCAACTTGACAATGAACTCTACTCAGATAAACTTGATTAGTGCTTGATTAGCACTTCATTAGCGCCTTCATTTGTCCTGTTAGACATGAAGTCCTATTTTCAGATGTAGTGATGGTGAATATGGTTAATGTTTTAGTTCAGTCTCACTAGAACAAGAAGACCTCTTCGTAAATAGATAGGTGCCATTTTTTCCCCTTCGAAGTTACCTAGAGGGCACCAGAACATCTTACCAGATCTTTCCAGTCCAGTTTATATCCTGAATTTATGGTTTCTTGAGGAACAATGTCAAATAATTTCATGAATAAAGACCATCTCAAATGCTTTACTCGTTTATTTGAGACACAAGATGCCTTGGGAGAGAATCAGCAGGTGCCATCCCTCTTGACTAAAATGTCCATTTTGGTTTTTCTAGAAAAAAGCAGAGAAAAAGAGAGTTTAAATATACCCACATAAGAAAGTCCAGGTCTAAGCTCTTTTTCTCTATGGGAAAAAGCGTTGTTTTTGAAAGTCATCACTATTGTGGCCTAAAACTGCCAAAGCCTGTAAACGGCCACGTTTAACAAAGCTAGCTTGTTTGTGTGGGGTATTTTGGTGTGTTACAATATTAGTTTGATGCATAGTAGCATTAGCTTGCATGTAGCAATATTCAAATTTTGCATTTTTAATGATCTTGTAATTCAGAGGATCCAAAAACTCTACTCATTTTGCCCATAAAGGAAGGTGGCTTAGACCCAGAGTTCCTTATATGGGCCTAACACCAACTATAAAATGATGTAAAGGTCCATTTATGCTATTGATCCACAATGCAAATTCCCATGTCAAAGGTCACCAAAGTTTTGCAGGCAACATTTTATTACTGTTCCTCGACTGCACCACTTTCCATTGAAATGAATGTAATATAGTGTGATGTGAAGTCACTCACAGTCTCTGCACACACAGCGCACACTCGTTGGCGTACGTGTTTCCATCTGAACCGCACACAGGAACCAGGTTCATGGGACACGCCAGGATTTCAGCCAAATCGCTGCACGAAGGCTGTAGAACACATAAACGCTCTGTTGTGGAGTGACTGTCAGAATGGTTCACAGTGGTGGTGATAGGAACCAGACATCCACCTCTAAAATCTCCCTCACAGAAAGTTATTACATGAAATGGTTATGAATTCACTGCCTGATGTCTGAGACACTGTTTTACATAAGTTTTGAGAAGATTTTGGCCTTCAAATCTATTCGTGGTGGAGGGATACATGCAGGGTGTTGTGAGGCAAAATAGTCCCCGAAGAATTTTTTTCAGATTTTCCACTATTTTACCATCAACATTCCAGATAAAACCCAGAAGACTTGTGTAGGTTCACTGGTGGTTTTGGATAGTAAATAAAGTGGCTCTATTTGTGTTGTAGACATGGTGACCCCTGGTTCCTATCACCACCGCTGTAAAGAAATCTGAACCATTTCACACCAACCCACTCTGAATGACTCTGTTTACAGCTCAACCACTGACAGCAACATTCTTCCATTGTACATTGCTTTCCTTCTTTGTTTCTGGTCTTTTCATGTTCACAGTGCACAGCTGACACTGTCTGAATACACATGTAATCCGACTCATGTGCATGTAGAGGCGGTTGAAGCTGTTTCTGAACCTGAACAAACCAGTCTGTAGTCAAGCACATGGAAAAAGCTGGACCTAGACAAAAACCAGCGTACAAAAAAGCCTTGATCACTCACCTTTCTGCCAGTAGGCCCCGACCCCTCCGACCCTGAAGGCATTTAAAGCTTCTTATTACTACACTTAAGATTATTACATACATTACAAACCTCATTAAATGAGTATATATGAAATATACTACCTGCAACGAGGAGGATCAACACGCAGAACACGAACGCGGACATTGTGAAGCAGTGTCTGTTACGCAGTGCTCACATGGAGATTTATAGCTAACCGCACTGAGAACTCCCACACCTGAGCACACAGTGCACATAAAACAGCAGGATCCTCTCCACCCTAACTGATAAGAAGGTTTATCGCAGTGTGGTCATGAAGCACCAGCACTCTGACTCAAATACTCAGGGAGGATATTTAATATTTAAATTAAATTCATTACAGGCGTAATTTGTAGGTGTTTGGGGTCCCATCCTGGCTGGCTACTGTAGTGTTGGCTAACTGCTAACTCACACACCTTAGCCATGCTAATGCTAGCTTCAATAGCTTAGATATAGATACCTAGATGCTGCGTTGGGTCCAGACAGGCACGACAACGGTGCCGCCATTTTGGGGAAGTCAACATCGCTGTTGGACTGCATTCAGTAACATTACAGAGCGGCAGTTTAAGAAACATACTGTCCAAAATTACATTATTTCAGGAATGTTACACTCAGAAAGCAGAAGAAGGTGGACGCGCAGGCATATCGCCTCAGATAGCATCTCAGTATGTATTTCTATGTTCAGTAGCAGCAAAATGTTTGTTTTCACAGTTCTTCCTCTCTCTTGTCTGGGTTTGTACTGCACTTTTCCACACATTGCC